AACCCACGAATACTATAAAAGACCCCTTATATTCAGAACAGGAGTTTGGTTTGCATATTTAGTGTGAATTTTTCCAGATATGATGGCAAAACTATAACTGTTTAGGAATACATATCAACCTTCTCAAATACAATATCTGACAGTTTCAAAGCCAAAACGAATGCTTCGCAATTAAATATCACCCGATCGTGTTAGTCCATATTTTATATCAAACGATGAAAGGAATTGCTTTACAGTATAGATCTATGAGGCATAGCCCTAAGGTAGGCCTGTAATTTAAAGTTACTTTTCACACTGGTTAAAAGTAGTTAAAACACTTCCTCAACCTCACTACTGCACACTTTATTCGGGTTTAAATTTTTATTAACAATGGTGCTCTTGTCTTTTCCACGAAAAATAAGGACATTAATGCGTTACCAACAGACATACACACACAAATACAGAATTGAGTTCACACAACATTTTTGAGTCCAGACAGAAAACGCTAAAGATTATTCAGTAAGACATCAGTTAAATTTAATAAGCAATAAGGTGCAGTGTTTATAAATAAATAGTGAAAATAAGGATATGTTGAAATTATTCTTACTGCTACCACCGGTTCTAAGGAACCAACGGTTCAAGGAACTAGTAGCAGTACCAAAAACCAACGTTTACATTTGAGAAAAGAACTGTAGTACTTACGACTAATTCAAACTGTCCTTCTAATCAAACTGTATTATAGGTGTTAATTAATTTGTTGGCAAATATATACATAAATAAATACACAGGCCACAAAACATGTAACATGTAACGTTAACAACGTAAAGCTTTGAAAACTTACTACGGTTTGCTAAAAACACTTTCACTTGATGTGGTTCAGTACAGAAGTTATTAATCTCCTTTGGTTTTAAAAGTTTTTAAGTTTTCGAAAATCAAAGTTATTTTCCATTAGTAGCATTATTTGTAAGAAGCTTTTAATGTTAACATATTAATGGCAGTTTGAAGAAACCACCTTTATCCAAACAAAGGTTTCTTATTTAAAAGATTACGTAATCTCTAAACGATAATCGGTACATATATCTAGCAAACATTCGGAGGAAATGTGACAAAAAACGCACAAATCTGGGGTTTTGTACGTTTGTAGTTTTACTTCCTAAGTAGGAAAAGTACCGATATCGTTGTCGAAATGTAAGTAAGTAGAAACCAAAAGTGACACATTGGAAAAGCGAGTTTAGCTACATCTGTTAAGTTAAACCTCCGTTACGGTACGATCACAGCGAAATCAGAAAGATCTTCCAAGATCGCAGCAACATCCACGATCACCCACTTACTGCACTTGTGATTTTGCACTTTACATAACTGTCCTTCAATCACCGTCAATGAGTGGAAACCTTTGTAAGCTACGGTATTGGTGACGATGATAAAAAAAATGTAAGTTTCCTTGCACTGATACAACACTAATTCACGGCATTTTCCCCGGTTATCAAAACTCAAGAACAATCGTTGCACTTGCGATTAATTAAACCGGTTAAGTAAGGCACAAAGTTTTTAATCTCACTTGGTTTGGATGTGCGGGATGTGCTGACTAAACTTGATCGGAAATGGTTATTTGTAAACAACTTTTAATGTAAACATATCAGTGACAGCTAGAAGTGAGAACTAATCCAAACAGCTGATCGTTATTTCATAAAATGTAATAGTAAACATTGGGAGAAAATTTGACAAAAATCGAACAAAATTGGGTTTTTGGTGGTTCGTTATTTTGTTTTCAAAGAAGCGAGGCATTTTTTTATAGCCAAAGACACTCTCACCAATCCAGTAAATACAGAAAAATGATTAGAACCTTGATCGGTACTCTAGTTTTCTAGGAGTAGGCCGGTAAAATGACATTTTGGCGTTACAGACGGAGTCACAGAATGGACAAACAGACATACAGACAGAAATTTAGATAAGATTCGTTTCGGCTTTCTTAGGCTATGAAACGTAAAAAAACCAAAAACTGCATGATTCTAAGCAATGTACAGACAAAACTGTAATTCTATTTATATAGATTTTAATTTGTTTACATAACAACAGATAAAAATGCTACAAATTCGTTTACATCCATACGAAAATCGTTAGAGTTGGTGATGTAGTGAATTCAAGTAAAATATTGCAATCTTATTTGTATAAATTGTAAATAAGAACTTACGTTAGCTTTTTTCTTTTTTTAAGATTTGCAATAGAAATCCGTAAATTATTTCAAATAGGCTATATCACGGATTTTGTAGTCACAAAGTGACGCTGGCTGTTAGTAACCATAAAACAAATCAGCCCTTACAGAACACAACAATTGGTTGTCGTCTGGTATGACTATTTATTCAAAATAACTCGTCGAGTGTTAATCATAAAGTAGTTCACAATTTGTGCTAAATATGTAAGAGCGGCAAATGTTCCATTTTCTGACATAATCAAGACGTTTGCTGCTAAAAATCAAATGTAATTATTTTTCAAAATTATTATTATTATTTCAAAAATACAATGCACTGTCTCTTACAAAGAAAATTTCACCTGGCGGACAAGTGCCACTCACTTCTGCAGCTAACCATAAACGAAAAAAGCAACAATCAACTAACTTTCGACAGTCTCAACTCAGCAAACAAACCGAAGTGATGTAAAGAACAAAGAACTAAAGAACTACTGGAGTACTGGATTGCGCTCACAGTCAGTGGCACTGCGGGGCGGGCGAAGTGTCCTTGGTCTAGCTTCCCCCAACCCAACCCCCACTGTTGGCAGAAGCCGACGTAGCCCATACCGTTAACTTGTCAACTATATACAGTCAACGCCCAAACGATATATATTATAAAACGCACCTTTTTAGTCACTGCACTGTTAAAATATATAAAGATATTAAAATATATAGAGGTATTGCAAAGGTCCTTCGTACGGAATAGGCGTATACGTATCAAATGCGTATTGCAGTTACTAGTTCTTTGCGTTTAAACCATAGAAACACCCCCAAAGCAGCAAACCTGCAGACTAAACGAATTTCCAATTGACTGATTGGATTTACACTAAAATGTCACCTTACAAATATAACATATTTATTACCTATTCAAATATAATTAGTTTAACGATAACTTAGGTCTGCTGCAACAGGGAGGGTAAAAAAGTTTTTTTTTATTGTAAAGTTTAAATACTGCAGTTAAGTAAGAAATGTAGGTGTATGTATTTTATCAATTTAATTAATGTTCATAAACAGCTGTTGTATTGTTGTATAATCTGTTGTATAATGTTGTAGTTTTATCTTCTAAGTTTATGTTTTTAAATGTCATATTAAAAGTTCACTTCTGTGTTAAAATATGTCACGTTTCTTTACCAATGTATTTGTTTTATGGTAACTGTAGGAAAAATGTAATGTAGGCCTACAACTCGAGTGCAAAGTGAAATTGCCTCACTCGGGAAACCATTCCTCATTAGGCCTAAGTATTTCCTCGAGTGAGTCAATTGCTCCCTTTGCTCACTAGTTGCACAAATAACTATTTCTCCGTAACCATTAGATGAATAATAACACTTCAATAGACAAAATTATTTGGGTTTTTAAGCTCTACAAAATGGTTTGGAAACAAATTGCTAAATCATATGTTTTTTTAGTCAAAATGGGAAAAACCAATTTCTACCCCATACATTTCTACACAAATTTCTACATGCACAAAATCACATATTTCTTATTAAAACATAAACATAACTCAAAACAATCCTACTTTGACAGTTCTCAATGTTTATTACAGCTTTTTGTTGCTGTACATGACCAATCTACCAGCATTTGTAACGGCCATATTTATAGCAGTAATGACAGCTGGATCTATTTTTACGAAGGTTCGAATATAGCATAAATCTGTGTACGTGATAATAATAATGCATATAATAAATACATTAATTTATATATAATTAATATGATATATAAAAACGACCACGCGTTTGCCTAGAGAATATTGTGAAGGGATCGATCACCGCGCAGGGCCTATGGATGGAGGCGAACCATGCCATATATTCTGTGACCATGCGGCGGCGCCGGTGAGTCGGACGGTAGGGAGATCAAAGAGGACCGCGACCTGGCTGGAGTGTCGGCAGCGGAGCGGGGATGCACGCGTGCGCGCGCAGCACTTACAACACGAGTTTCCAGCCATTGCCGCTAGGAACGCCACCGCATAGAGGTACTGAACTAGTTCTGCTAATCTCCGCTAGGATATTTTGCTGGGTACGCTTTTTAGTACTAGATGCATTGTCTTTTAAGGATTCATAGTCAATGCTATCGTATTGGAGTGTTGTAAACTAGGCAGCTGAGCGGAGCAATTTTAATAATGACACAACAAATTGATTGTCCTTGAAAATGGTCGGGTAGTCTTTAGAGTTAAGGAATATGTCATAATATGCTGAAGTTGCCGGTGTGATTTTATAATACGAAGCATGAAATGTTGGGATGAAAAACACAATACCATGATTTATTTGGTTGAAATTAGAGATTATTTCTAGGTTTGTTTACTATTCGAATGTTAGAATATACTCATAAAGATTGAGTCGGACTTGAATACTAAAGTATTCATTCAACTATTCGTACTTTCAAATATCCGAACACCCCTAATTAAATGTTAGCGTTGTAGGATAATGGAATCAAAGGAAAATATAAGTTTTTAAGTTCAGTTTTTGTGGATAAAAAGGGAAATTATTCATCTTAAGGATCACTGAGCGCCACTATTGCAGTGATAGCGAAAATACCGCTGATCAAGAGTAAAAACGACTGAATACACCTGGCCACAGTCAATTGCTTGCAAACTGCCAAGCTTCCAGTAGGTATATTTAGTGAAAAAATCTCTTTTTAGTGCTTATCTGATTCTCGATTAGCGCCATTTTACTGTATTACGTACAAATACTCAAATGGCCCAATATATGTTAATAACATCAAATACTCTACGCCACTCAAATGAAATAGCAATTCTAGCCTACCTCTATTTCACTAAAAAAGTAATAGTATAATATACCCTGATTCTCGGTTCAACACTGAGACAGTAAGGTTGATTCTGATATTGTTGAATTTCTCCGGTTATCTCAGCAACCTTTCTTCTCTTGCTGAAGTTGATTAGCTCTGGAGATGATGGCAAGTAGTCTGGGTTTCCTTCTTCAATGTGCAGAATATTTGTTAGATACATCCCTGCAACATTCGTTTTATGATTAATTGTAAATTAAAATGAAATTGTACAACACAAGAATGTAGTTCTACTTTTCGTAATCTTTCAACAACTTTCAATTGGTGGAAAGACAACATTTTTGTTTCTTTTTCTCGTCATAAAGATCAGATAACCTCAAAAATCAACTAATTTACACGGTAAAGAAATTAGAGGTAATATTTCTTAATATTCAACAAGATGTTATGCGATCACTTACCAAAGAAGGGGACACAAGGGGGATTAATTGATCTAAGTTTCTCTTGATACTTCCGAAAGTGATCGTTATTGAGTTCTCTTGCATCTTCCAAAGCTTTTTCCAGTCTTGCAGGGATGCCCTGTAGATGTTAATAAAAACTCAGTTATTATTAATATAACTAACTAACTTAATAAACCAGAATTACAGTGCAGTCCACGAGAGTCTGCAGTTGGGGGAGGAGCCTGTTTACCATGTGACTTCGAAGGAGCCAATGAGGACAGTGTGGGGTGGCCCCAAATCTAATAATGTTTGCTGATTTGAAACTATTGTTTAGTATATTTTAATTAGTATCAAAAAGCAGTGAACGGGTGATGTTGCAACGTCCCGCTAGTCCAGTCTTGGTATTGACTGCCACCAACTGCAGACTCTCGTGGTCCCAAGTATAAATTAAATACACATGTTAACTTTTTATTAGAATGGCCAACAAGGATATTTACATCCAGGACTATCAATATAGGCCTAAGTGGGATGATTTAATTACTTTGATAGTTGACGATTGAATTTACAATAGACAAATAATTCACTGATTGCTAGATATATTTTAAAATAGATCAAGATTTCACTGGTTGCTAGAAATACTACTGTTTAATGGAAAAAGTCGACCTTTTAGAAGATTGAGTCACAGAGGAACTTGTATGCAAGTGGACTGCAAAAATAAGAATGAGTGGATGACTAGCAGAAAAAGAAGAGAGGGAGAAAAAAACTAGTTGGACTTGTTTCAGGCCGACCTAGTGTATAGAAAGTGAACAGTTTGTATTCACTGTGATTATATGAAATGAACAAATGACATGATGAAATGACACTATTCTAATACCAAATTGAAACTTCAAATAATTTATATAAATCTTTGACAACATACACATATAAAATAATCTTAAATTACCATACCATACATTATTCTTCTTCTAAGATGGAATGTATGCAAGTTTTGCCATGTAGTATTATTTTAATTTATTTTATGATTATGAGGGACTAAACATACAGGTAAAAGTCTGCTCATATATTGTTAATAGAATGTAATAAAAGAATAGTTAAAGCTATAGAGAACAGATTATTTTAACGAGTTTCTTAATTATTTAGCTGTTAAATAATGAATACGACTTCAGGACAACCAATTAATTTAACTAATGATGAATTATTATCTAATCATTTGGTTACAAGCTACAAGAAATGTAGGCCTACTTACTTGGAATGTGCATTTCAGTCGAAAAACAGATGCAGAGCCCATGGCAGAAATGACAGCTAGGACACCATTGAAATTGTTCAGTTCTTGGAGAACAATCATTATTTCAATGATACGAGAAACAATAGCAACTCGTTCGTCGAAGTTTTCAGCCTCAACGATATTTTTCTCAAGCCATAGAGTGAACTGAAACATTAATAAGTGATATTAAACTTCCAGTAAGGATACCAGATAATGTTTGTCTGCCTTAACATTAAATATTATTTTATTTTATTGTTAAGTTTGAAAGATGACTATTCACTACATAATATCATTCAATATTTTTATAGAAATTCAAAGTCAGACCATATTATTTCGGTTTGATCACTGCAATACTCTTAATTTCATTTTGAAAAGGGCATTTGTATACAAGAATAAACCAATCATCTTCTTGCAATATTTGAGGTTTCTTGATGGGAAAACTGAGTGTTTTTTCTTCTTCATTGTGGGGAATACTTACATTTGTCGTATGCTTGATCATGGCAAGAAGGTTGGGCGAAGTCTGCTGTTTGTCTCGTTTAGTCCAAACGCTTCCAACGAGTTCAGAAGGCTTTACTGCTCGATACAAGTCAAACTCAAGCAAAGTCAACTGACGAGCAATCTCCACTGGGTGCAACTGGAATGAACCACATCACAATTCAACAAACAGTAAAACATTCAACAATAAACAGTTAAATGATAACAGTATAGATAGAATATTGCTTCATCTAACAAAAGTGGTTCTCAGATTCATAACTGTTTTACTGGTGATAAAATAAATCAAATTAAGATATTAATTTCTCTAGTTTGATGCAGTTTCTTGTATTTTCTTTATCAAGGAAAATACACAGCATTAGCCATACTGCCTAGAAGAACAATAATGTAGTAAGGGAAACAAACCTCATGTACAATTAATCAATTGATTTCTTTTAACTTTCTTTGTTAAACAGTCTATAGTGATGTGTGCACCAACCAATCAAAATATCATATTTCACATTGCACTCACGAGGTCTGTTCAAAAACTGTCCAACTTTACTTTTTATCTAGTAATCCAACAACCGCATTGAGCTGCACCCTGATGGAGGCGACTGTAAAGCACGTCACGTGACCTTGAAATGGTGTCAATTTGTTGTTGGTCGCCAAATGTGAAACTGTGTACGTAGGGTTTTTCTGCTAAACAAAATGACGGATCGGGTGGAACAGCGATGCTGAATTAAATTTGGCCAAAAACTGGGTGATACCCAAGCTCAAACGAGTCTTAAGATTCAGCAAGTCTATAGAGAAGACGCTATGGGTGTAACACAGATAAAAGAATTGTACAACAGATTTAAAGATGGCCACACTTTGGTGGACAGTGAACTTCGACTCGTTGAGTCTACTATTTTATTTTATCGGCCGTATGTGTGTGTACCCTATGTGTTTGTGTAAATATCTATGTTACATGTTGAAAACTTTTGACCCTGACGACCTTCATGTAAAGTAATCATCATATTATCCTTGTATTAATTGTTGTGATGACCTCCTAGCAGTTCGAAACTAGTTGTGGAATACAACGATTGGATTGCCAGAATCAGGTATTTAAACAATTCTGAAGGCTATTCACACAACAATGAAACTACAAATTTTGTTTGTTCAACAAAGCTAAAAAAATATCATTTATATATGGTAATTCAAAAATTATGTTTTGCTTATTTTGTAGTACATATTAACCAATACCTGAAAAACCGATACCAATTTGTTATAGTTTTACAAAATTTTCTGAATGGATGGGTTATACTGGATGCATTGCACGACGTCCAAGTGATCATCCAATGATTTAGTGAACATCTCCCACGGTTGTGGAGACATCATTGTAGTCTTCTGAAATCACTACAAAATCCAGAATATCTCCCTCAGTCATGAAAACATCACCACTAACTTTTGCGACAAAATCCTAAATATCGATCTGCGGTAATTGAAACACCATCATCACCATCACCACCGCACACACGGTCACGCAGTCGGCAGTTTTTGGTCACGGGAACATTATTAATGTCTTCCAAGATCACGGCAAAATCAGGAATATCTCCAACAGTCATGTAGACATTATCATAGTCTTCCTCGATCGCGGAAAAAATTCTTATAATCTCCCGTGATCATGAAGATATCATCATTGTCTCCCGCGATTGCGGCTAAATTCTTATCATCTTGCGGCCGTGTTAATATCAATTTCGTCTTGGTGATCCTGAAGACATTATCATCGTCCTGTGGTCATAGCAAAATTCTGATAAAATCCTGAGGTCGTGCGGACATCATCAACGTCTCCTGCGTTTAGGGAAAAATCCTGAATACCCCTTGCGGTAACAGAAACATTATCATTGTCTTCCGCGATCGCGGGAAAATGACATCATCATCGGCTCCCGTGGTCACGGAAATGTCATTGTTGTCTTGCACGATAACGGTGATAGCGGTAATTTTCCTATCATGTGATCTTCGCAGACGTGTCTGGTATCTGTATTGAAATCGACTTTTGATCTATTCTCGATACCGATACCAATGTCCAAGTATCGGGGGTATTTAGAATCGGTATGAAGAATCCACACATCCCTAAATTTTATACTACTTACGGTTAGAATATTCCATTCTTCCTCAGGCATACGAATGTGCCACTCGATGGGTGGTGGGGATCGGTCAAATGCAAACGTTATAGCTCGCAGCTGCTCTGTTTGTTCTTTCTAAAAATTAAACAGAGAATAGATATTAATCAAGCAGTCATTGCGGACATTTTTATTTCAAACAAAAATCTTAAATCCAACCATCATGTTCAGCTAAATAGGGTCATCAGACTTTTAGTGAAACTATTTTACCAACCCATCTTTTTTAACTTCAGGTTTTCTGCAATATTGTTTCATAGAATATAAAACAGCGTCATACTCTATTCGTTACAATATTTTATCCACTCCGCAAAAACCTATTCACATCTATCTACCTCTATATTCCCTAATCCCCCCCTAAACACCTATTCCCTCTCCGAGTTTTTAGAGAAAAAAATTGTATTTTAGCTTGTAAGCTTTATGTTTTATGACCTTTGACTAGTTATATTCTTGACTGTTGTTAATACATGTATAATGTCAATGGCAAATAAAGATTTCTATTCTATTCTATTCTATAGATTAGTCAACTAACCCCAACAAAAAGATTCCCAACAAGATAGTTAGATATCATCAGTATACTCTTTTTGAGATTGTAATACTTTTTTAAAGAGCCTCATGTAAAACATCGAAATAGTGTGACATTAATTGGACATTACAAATTTCAACTGGGACATTGTTTATTTATATTTGGTCTTCTGGATATCAATTAGTGGTTATCAATATTGAACGTTTGAGTACAAAGTTAATTAATTCGGTTTTTTTTATTGGCTGGTCTGCAAAACTAAAGGCAAGTCTTCAATTGCTTATTGCCTTGCTTTACCTCTGTGAAGATATGATATGTTTATATTTATTGTATTGTTTATCAATACAGTATAGTTTTAGCTTAACTGATACAGGTATGCTTAAAACATTACACTTTAATTTATTTGGCTGCTGTCTAGAAAAAACTTAGTAAAAATATCAGCTTCAATAGTAAAATTGCATACTTTATATCGCATATCTAAATTTATACAGGAACTTATTTTAATTCACTGCCTCACCTTTCTTTGAATGATTTTGTGCACAGAGTCCACCCATTTGCGCATTGATTTTCCATTTACAGCATTCAGAAATTCATGTAACTTTTCTAGTAGTGATGGATCTCTTTCAAAGTCGTAATAATGGTGATCCACCCAATGCCTTAATACATTGAGAACTCTGAAATTGTTAACAATTAAAACATTTAATAATATTTTTAATTCAAACATCTTCATTCATTTATATGTACATGGTACAATGAACATTGTCAACATAATTCTAATACCTACTAAAATTAAGTGATGGGTCCATACCAAAATTGATTCTCGATACTCGATACCGATACCTGAAAAATCTATTCTAGATACCGATACCATTTTTTATTGTTTTACCAAATTTTCTGAATGGATTGGGGTGGTTCTACCCCTGTCTTTATGTCCTTCCATTACGTATTTTTGAGGTAATGGGGTGTTTTTCAAGTAAAGAAAAAATGTATGCAGCAATGATACATTTCAACTAGCCAATTTAAGTTCAAACCCTTCTAAACACATTATAATTCTACCATATTAAAGATAAATGAAGTTCTAACAACAAGAAAGAAAGAAAATGATATTTTACAGGCGTGCTAGCCTGACATTTTCAGTCATGCCAAATTTGAGGTAATATCATAGTGATCATCGCCAGCAGTAATGGAGACATCATCTTCGTCTTCTGGGATCACTGCAAAATCCAAAACATCTTCCTCAATTACGGAAACATCATCATACGTCTTTGGCGGCCGTGTAGACATTACCATCGATTCCCAGGGTCACGGAAAAGTCATCGTCGTCTTGCGTGATCGTAATAAAATAATTAAAATTGTCCAAGGCCGTATAGACATCATCATTTATTAACTCCAACGGTCACGGAAATGTCATTGTCGTTGTCTGCGATCGCGGCAAAATCGTGAATATTTCACCCAGCCATGTAGACATCATTGTCGTCTCCCGCGGTCACGGAAACATCATTGTCATCGTCTGCAACCCCGGCAAAATCATGAACATCTTCCGCGGCAGTGTAGACATCATTGTCGTCTTCCAGGATCGCAGCAGAATCATGAACATCTCCCGCAGCCATGTAGACGTCATCATCGTCTCCCACGGTCACGGAAATGTCTTCGTTGTCATCTCCTTCGGTCACGAAATTGGTATTAGAATCGACTTTTGATGATAAAACAGCACTTTTGACGGTATTTCTCAATACAGATACCAACGGCCAAGTATCGGTGGTATAGAGAATCGGTATCGAGAACCAACACATCCCTACTAAAATCCAAACAATAATGTAACGATGTCCAATCTCTCTGATTTAATCTTGACAACTCCTGAGAGTATCAACGTAAAACAGATCCCAATATTCAATTGACTTGGATTTAATCTGTTTTACTTTACAGTCCTTTAACCTTTCTTGCATGCAAGATTTTTAGTTTAGGAAAATAACATTTACCAATAAAAGTGGTTGAGAATGTAAAGAAAATATTGAGGCCTCAATGCAATATCATGACAAAAAGTTTGACATGCAACTGCAAGAGATTTTCCAGAATTTAAATCACTGAACAACTAAATGGGTATCTTTAGGGTAAAATTGTTTAAACTCAAATATAAATATTTCTTATACTATCAATTATATACAGGTAATTTTAAAACAACGATAGTAAATATTTTTGCAGTATCACTGTTTTAAGTTTTTAAAATGTTAAAACCAAAAATGTTTTAAGATTTTAGAAATCAAATAATAATATAAATAGACTAACCTAAATTGTACTGGTTGACAATATTCTTTCCTATATCGCTTCCAATCTTCCCGTTGAGAGTTTTTTGAGGTTTTCTCAGAGTCTTTCAGCTCTTCATAGACAAGAGAAGGATCTGGTATGTTGAACCTTTCTACCAATAAAGACAGGAGGTCCTAAAAAAGAATAGCAGATTTTCATGGTACAGTAGTCCCTGGATAATATGTCTTAAATAGGCAGATTTAAGAACAAGCTAGACCATCAAGATACCATTAAATTAGTGAATTAGAGTTACCATTAGTTAATTTGATTTTACCTAGCTCAGTCCTGTGTAAAAGAGAAAGAAATTACAGGGCAGAAATTTAAAGAAGGAATTTAACGGATGTTATCTCAAATAATCACAAGTTTCCAAGGTTATAGTCAAAATGTAAATGGAATTGGACAGCTTGTTATAATGAACAACATTAATACAACAAAGTATATCAATACACTCTTCCAATCGAACCGAAACAAGCCAGATTTAAGACACATAACACTTATCACATTTTAAGTTTTGACCAGCATGTTGTTAAGCTATATATACTAAAACAGAGTGACAATTTAGCAAAATAGCAATAATATACAAAAACATGGTTTTATATACATAAATAATAGTGATGGGTCGATTCCAAAATTATTCGATTCCGATTCCGATTCCGATTCTGAAATTTGGGATTCGATTCTCGATTCCGGGTTCGATTCCGAATACCATGGTTCAGGATGACAAAAAGGTTTTTATAAATTAATTATTAAATAAAAACCAAACATTATTAGAACGAAACACACAATTTTAATGAGGATAAACACAATAATAATAATAATAATAATAATACAATAACAGTGAAAGAAAACGAATGAACATAAACCGTAAAATTAAACCTACAGCACATTTTTTCAAACATTTTTAACAATGACTTTTACTTTTAAATATAGGCCTAGAGCTTATAGGCCTACAAGTTTACAATTACCACTCAACGTGAACAAAACTGATTTTAAAAATAATTTTAAAGGTTTTTAGAAATTAATTATTAAAACCCAAACATTATTAGAACGAAACACACAATTTTAATGAGGATAAACACAATAATAATAATAATACAATAACAGTGAAAGAAAACGAATGAACGTAAACCGTAAAATTAAACCTACAGCACAATTTTCCAAACATTTTTAACAATGACTTTTACTTTTAAATATAGGCCTAGAGCTTATAGGCCTACAAGTTTAAACGGTTGTTTAACATTTATAGGTTGTTAAAACCTTCCAATTCACTGTACAAAATTATATTCCCAAGTCGCTTTTAGGCTAAATAAAAAGGACGATCGCTCTAGTCTCGTTCAGTAGTGACGTTTCGGGACCGACGGACCGACGAATACGAATAGAAGTGTTTTGTTAGACTTTGGTAATGAATGGTAGCTCAGCAGTCGGCTCTGTTTAGGGATGAGCATCTATAGTCGATGTTTTCGCATCACCGATTTTTTCTATCGATTTTCGTTGTTTTTCACATCGATGTTTTTGACCAAGTATATTGAGATATCGATGCTTTCCGTTACTGGAGAGTACAGAGACCAGACGAAAAATTGAAGAAAAAAATCTATGTCTTAGTCCCAAAGGCCAAAAACATCGATTTTTTCACAACGATGTTATCGGTTACTGATAACATCGTTGTACCGATGCAATGCTTCAGTTAGTAGCACGAATACTAGAAAAATACCGGTATGGATCATGAACATAAACAAATGACGTCGTTGGCCCGAATCCTATACGAATAGCATTGAACATATGTTTTGGGTTTGGCAGTTCCATTTAAGCAATGTGAAATAATGTTTATTTTCGGGCCAAAAATGTCATTTGTTTATGTTTATGATCCATACCAGTATTTTTCTACTTTTCTAGTATTCGTGGTTAGTAGCCTTGGTACCGCTGGTTGATCTAAATCGATGCTCATCCTTTCCTTGTATGTCTTGTGAGCTGTGACGCAATGCTTACTCGCTCCAGTCCAGTTTGCCCGAATCTCCAATTCCCATCGGTTAACTGTTTCTCATTGTACTAAGCCTCTGTATTGAGTTCGCATCTATTATTTCATTTGCAATACGCTCGCTCTAGTCTCGCTGACTTAGTGACGATACGACCAGAACTTGTTGTTTGCTCAGAGTTGCAAGCAAATCATTAGCAATCGGAATTTATTTTGTTTCTTTGTTGCTTTATGTGACGTTTGTGGCTGATTTTAACCAATTTTATGAAAGAATCGAAGACAGTTGGAATCGATCCCAAACCCACGGAGATTCGAATCGAATGCTCGATTCGATTCCGGCGGAATCGAGAGTATTTTGGAATCGAGAATCGGAATCGGCCCATCACTAAAATAATAATAAGTTGAAAATTGAAATAGTGTTCTTTACCTGTGGTGAACAGAAGCTCCTGTACGTAGTGAGGAATGTACGGACAAACGTTGGGTCTGCGTAAATGTGGTACGTGAGACGTTCTATCAGCTTGCATAATGTAGCACCCTGCAATAACAATAGTTTAATAGGCTTGCAAATATATGACAATTTATAACTTTTCTATAATATTTCCCTGCAATTTGCAACATGGTATCAGAAACTATAGAAACAAATTGAAATGACTGACAGTTGGTACAAACCTGTACTAAGAAAATCCTAAATTCATTGTAATTCCATCCAAAACCTTGCCTTTGATGAAGCACCCTTGACTTAGCATTTGCTAAAATAATGAAACTTGAAGAGAACTATTATTCTTTAGTTAGGTTATATTGATAAAATGAAATATTTTGTTAATTTTGATTACCTTTGAATCACTCTTATTAATGCATTGTTCCAATATTTTAAATGTTGAGTGGACATTTTGTAATGGATTTTTAATTCATTTTTTTATCTGCACAAGGCTTATAAAAAGGCTTGTCCGCAGCATTTTTTGCATCACCATTGTATTTTCTTTCCATTATTTTGGGTCAATGACAGGATTGTGCGATCAAGTAATATTATATTGTATAGCTTAAGTATGATTTCCAGCTGTTTTGGATAATATACATATAGCACTTGTCGGTTGCTGGAATCTGGGTGGGTCAAAAGAATTACGTAAGTACCTTAATCAGAGGAACTCCTGCATTCTCACGTTCCTCAAGCACAATGTTTGACACTGAGTCTGCAGTTGCAAAACGATAAATACTGGGGTGAGGTAAAAGAAGGGGATGTTTCTTCTCTTCATCCAGCAATATACTGTCCAACGTGCGCTCCAGCATACTGCAAACCGAGATATGTGACATGAATTGAGGTAACAGCTCTGCAGCTTCAGATCAGAATAAAGATGTAACATAAGAACTTACACCTGAAATTATACCTGCGATTGTTTATATTGTACACCTATTTTGGCTTTCAATCAACCTTCTTTTCTTTGAAACCCATTGTTTTTGTCTTTAAAAATGTTACAAAAGGATAAAAGGATAAAGCCGGGTTTACACGCTCCAATAAAACATAAAGACTTGTCTGCAACGACTAATCGTTACGTTTTGTCGTAGGTTGAGCGGACCATTTACACGTTCCGTCTTTTTCTCTAACTTTAGCTCTCAAACCACACCCAGATGTATCTTGTTGTGAAGTAGTTAATAGGCTCCCTGTATATTTGACGATGGATGAGTTATTGTTATGGTCTGTTTACATTATTTCTGTTGCAACAAGTTTTAAGAGGAAAAGAAAACCTAGAAGTAAGTGGTGTCGGCATTGGCTACTGAAAAAACAGTTATCTCATGTGGAGTTGCTAAAGGAGTTGAGGAACGAACCCTCTGACTGGAGGAACTACTTAAGAATGACTCTCCACATATAAAAAAAAACACCATAATCAGAAAGGCAGTATCTCCCCATGAAAGACTCATTTACGATTCCTTGCAACTGGTAGAAGTTTCAAAGACTTGGAATTCACAACACTCATTTCTAAAACATCCCTCTGCAAAATACCTGAAACATGCAAGTTGATGACAATTGCCCTGTCTGCAGACGGGTTAATTTCTTTATATTTGTTGATTAATTCTACATTGGCCCCAACTCTATTAAAAAGTCACGAGAGGCTTGACTTATGTCTGACATAGTGACAAATGTGACACAAAACAGTAAAAATAAACTACACACTACACAACATAGTCCAAATATACCACAGCGGTTAAAACAACAGTACTACACAGTATAATTACACAACAGTTAACTGGACCAACGCGACATCGGAGGGTCTACAGGTTGCAACGATGACCGAGTCACCGCTTACACTCAACGACTTGTCGCTACGATCTACAGAAAATCGCTACGATCTAAAGAAATTGGTGGAAATTTCCACCAACCTTCCAACCTCACTCCAACTCAGACAAAACGTAACGACTACCAGTTTACACGTTCCGTCTTGCATGAACGTTTTGTCGTTGCAGACAAATCGTTACGTTTTATCGTAGCGTGTAAACCCGGCTTAACAGACAAGTTTCAATATAATCAGTACTGAATAACTTGAATATATGAAACTATTTATTTTTTTGAATATAAGCTCTGAACTTCAATGCTTTTGTTTCAATATGATATCACAAATAAAAGTGTACAAGTCTGGAATTAGGGTAGGTAAATAATGACACGAGTTAAATTAAAGCTGCTCATAGGGCCGCACGAGTGCAAAGGTGTTGACCAGGCTAAGATATGATGTGGTCTGGGCAGAAGAGAGGGGTTTAGGCAGCGGTGGAAGGGTGGTGTAATGTGGCGTGATATTACGTCATGGGAATGGCAATGAGCTCCTTTATTTAAAACATTACATGATTAATCGTATTGCCAATACAAACATACGATCAGATTATTGTATCATTGTGTTATTAATGTCAGTATATGGTACAAAGTCTTTAATAAGATAGTGATAGATTATTCTTGTATGAATCATTGAGTGTGCCCAATGCAACATACTTTCAGACATAATCATTCCTATTTTTATCAACCAAGCAAATTAGTGTGAGTTTCGGCACATCCATCTGTATCGGTATGTTGAATGACATTGGCAGTCATCGAAACATTGTCTATATAGTGTTAGCTCAGTTCTTGTGTTTGGTTTAATTACAGTCAATTACGCTAAAGCTAGATTAGTAGACTGTCTATCCAATGAAAGGTAGCCCAACTTCAACAAAATTTTTCAACTTACAGGAAGTATGATACTAAACATTTCATACAGTCAAATTTAAGGATACAATAAAATTATTTATCATTGTTAACAAAATATAATAACACTATTAATACAATTTTTGCCCACCTTTTTGTGTTGAGCATGACTAGATCTGCCATCCAGTTGTTTTTGTCTTCAGCTGATTTGGCAACCAAGGTCACATTGGGGTGTACCCGAGGTGCAATCTCAAACGCATGTTTCAGTTCTAAATTGGAAAAAAAGCTTTTAGGCTCAACAAATGAGTATGAAATTAAGTTATTAACTAATTCTGTGGTCTATTCAACTTACTCAAGTATTTTTGCTTATTCTAAGAAACCGTGATAGATTAACAGATCCTGTATTAAAACTTTTTCAATAAAAAACATTTATCAACAACCTGCTTGGGAATACACTGCCACAATGTTAAAATGATATTTAGGAACGTAATATTTTGTAGCTAACAAGTGACTTAACTGAAACTAAAAGCACACCCAAAAACGAATTACGCTTACAGATGTCCCTAAAACAACGTATACATTACAAGTACATCAGAATAAATATTAATCACATTGATAAGTTTCATAAAGAACATTTTTCTCGTGCTGTCAGATTCAAAATGTTGGACACTAAGATTCTTAGTATTTAATAGTTTGTCACACACCTATTGAGTACATTAAGGTGAAAACCCCAATACTTCCAAAGTTACTCCATTCATTTTACAACTTTCCTTTGTATTTTATTTTTAAGGTATGGTATTGTTCTTAGTTGATTGGAATATTACAATTTTACATTTTAGCTTTACAAGCTAGAATTTAAATAAGAAAAAACACACAATGAATAATAGAAAAATCATTTAAAAATGAACTCCTGTAGACCAAAGACCAGCAGCCCGGGGAACTAGAAATAGAACTTGAATTTTTATGATCGAGGAAAATTCTATGGATTGTACGTGGATTTTATATGAACCAGGAAATTTTGAATAATCCCAAAAGCTGATGGATAAGCATCTATTCATTAATGGTATTCTGTTGGTTCTCTTTTAAGGTCGTCACGTAGTCAAAAGGATGTAATCGCTGTGGATGATCGTAGGTATCGCCGCAATGGTGGTAGATAATTACGGTGTTTTGTGATTGCAGGAAATGATCACAGTGTTGTCAAGATATTGGAAGTATACAAATTCATTGTTTTTTTTATTTTTATTTTACTGCATTTCTGGCTAATCTGAAACTGGGTTTGGCCCCTATCAGTTTAGATTAGCAACACTCAAACTAGGTGTACCTTGAGCCAAACAATGCTTACCCTCAGTATCCTCTCTGTCGATAATTTCAATTTTGCGAATGAAAAGTTTTTCTTTCAACCTGAGACCGCTATTATCATTTGAGCCGCCACTGAGCTGAGCTGTCACGGAGACTGATGTACGTTTGTTGGGTTTGCATAGACACAAGACTCCGTCAAACAAATACACCTGCACCAAATACAAACTAGTAAATACTAAATAATTGATAAAGATTGTACTGTTTAGGGATGGACGGGTCCCGAAATTTCGGGAATTGTTCGGGAAAAAAATATTCCCGATTATCGGGACGGGATTACATTTGACTCGGGAATTTTTCGGGACGGGATTTGGTCCGATCGTCGGCGATTTTTCCGCTTCGCGAGTGCCGATAACGCCGTTATTGCGAGCGATAGGTCCGCGAACGCAGGAGACGAAAGAGACGAAGTCATTTCGACGATTACGCCGTGACCGCGGAGTCCTACCGACGACCGCGCCGTGACCGCAAGTCATGACGACGATCGCGCCGTGACCGCGGAGTCATACCGACGATCGCGCCGTGACCGCGGAGTCCTACCGACGATCGCAGCGTGACCGCGGAGTCCTACCGACGATCGCACCGTGACCGCGGAGTCATACTGACGATCATGCCGTGATGGCGGAGTCATGCTGACGATCGAGCCGTGATCGCGAGTCATATCGACGATCATGCCGTGTCCGCGAGTCATACCAACGATAACCCCGTGACCGCGGAGTCCTACCGACGATCGCAGCGTGACCGCGGAGTCCTACCGACGATCGCACCGTGACCGCGGAGTCATACTGACGATCGCGCCGTGACCGCAAGTCATACCGACGATCGCGCCGTGACCGCAAGTCATACCGACGATCGCGCCGTGACCGCGAGTCATACCGACGATTGCGCCGTGACCGCGAGTCATGACGACGATCGCGCCGTGACCGTGGAGTCATACCGACGATATCCCCGTGACCGCGAGTCATGACGACGATCGCGCCGAGACCGCGAGTCATGACGACGATCGCGCCGTGACCGCTAGTCATGACGACGATCGCGCCGTGACCGCGAGTCATGCTGACAATCGCGCCGTGACCGCGAGTCATACCGACGATCGCGTCGTGACCGCGAGTCATGACGACGATCACCCCGTGACCCGCGGGTCACAAGTTTCTATAGGTACCTGTAAATTGTTACCCATTTTTTGGTTTTTATAGATCAGTGCCACAAATGGTAAAAATTGATTTCGTATGTCTTTTTTGGTAACTGCAATACAGTACTTTCTTTTTATGCACAGAAAAAAATCCCGTCCCGTCCCGTCCCGAAAATTGGGAAGGAAATAAAATCCCGTCCCGTCCCGAACTAAAAATTCAATCCCGTCCATCCCTAGTACTGTTAGTGTTGGTTTTAATTTGAATATGATTAGGTAATTTTTTTTAAGAGGTTGGCGGCCTCTTTTAACCTTGCATTTGCCCGTTTACATGACCAACCGCCCGTGCGTGGTTCGTATACACCAAAGCAAGGAGTGAGCCGGTATAGTACAAAGGTGATCTGTACTGATAAAATGTTTTCAGTAGTGACCAGGATCCGAACCCATGACATCGCTGCCTTTGGCCCGAAGTCTGCGATACTACCGACTGAGCCACCCACTCACTAAAAAATTTAGTGACATTCCTGTTAAAATTTTCTTGTGATAATTTGCAAATAAATTTATGTACTTTACTTTAAAATGGATATTTTGAGAGCAAAGTGTAAAAAATAGTTATTTGTGCAACTAGTGAGAAAAGTGAGCAATTGACTCACTCGAGAGAAATCCTTACTCACGAGCCGTAGGCGAGTGAGGAATAGTTTCTCGAGTGAGGCAATTGTACTTTGAACTCGAGTTGCACATTATACTTTTCCTACAGTTACCATAAAACAAATACATTTGTGAAGAAACATAACCTATTTTTACACAGAAGTGAACTTTTATAGATTGGGACAAACGTTGTAGAAGATTTGACATGAACAGCATGTGATTTTGTGCTCCCTTGTTTTTTCGATATATCAGTGGTAAAACTCTAATCTTTTGTAAATATTTTTAGCTACAAACATGGAGCTAATGTTTATGTTTTTGAAAATGTAAGTAGTATGTTTTAAAAAGAATTTTTACTATCATAAACTATAACGAAAGATAAAGGATTTTTATGATTTTTCATGATCTACTTTTACAAAGTTGATAAGGCCTGCTGATAAGGAGGGACCAGCTCAAGGTGCAAGCTACTGACCTTTGTACTGCGAGATAAGAGCACCTGTTGCTCTAACTCAATTACTTTGTTTACAAACATTGCTATCTTAAGACTGGACTTTTAATTTGTTCCTTTAAAATAGTTTGTTGATTTTGTTTGTTTTGATTTGGTATTTAAAAAATATATTTTCTTAAAATCTGATAATGGCTGTAAATAAAAATACTTTTTCTGCCATGCCAAAAGGTTGGATTAGAGAAGAACATGTTAGGAAAAATGGCCTAAGCAAAGGAAAGACGGACATATATGTCAAATCCCCAAATGGGAAACTTTTCAGGTCAAAAACTGAGCTTGTAAAATACATAAAAGAGAACAATTTAAACTTGAAAATAGAAGATTTCAACTTTTCTACTTCAAAAAAATCTGGTAGTAAAATTAATCTATCACTTAATAGCTCAACAAGTTCATTGAGTGAATTAAGTTTCTCAAATAGTTGTAAACTGAATGATGTATCACTGAGTACAAGTCAGAAAATCCAATTTATTTCAACTGAAACACAGACAGAAAATATCTACAACAACACTTTGGTAACAGATGAGCTACTCAGCAACCAATGGCTCTCTGACTTAACTTTGCAGCGATACTTTGACCTTATAAATTCTAGATTTCTTTCTGTGCACAAATGTTTGATCATCAATCCACTAATATGCCATGCCGTGAAAAATATGGATGATTACACACACTTCTTTGACTCCCTTAAAGTAAAGGACTTTAAAACTTTGATCATGCCAATAAATGATTCAAAGCAACTGGACGGTGTGAGTGGCTCTCACTGGAGTGTTCTTGTGTATACACAGACAAACAACCGCTTCCTCTACTATGACTCATTGGGTGAACATAACTTGAAAGATGCTAAAGTCGTAGCAAATAAAGTGTCACAGTATTTAGATGCGCCTGGATTCCATTTTCAAATTGTTGATGGACCTAAGCAGATCAACTCTTATGATTGCGGAATATACGTCTGTATGTTTGTTGAACTCCTAGTCTTTGGATCAAAACCTATTAATCACAGTACATTAAATCTGAATGAACTCTTTACCTACAGTCTACCTACAGTGTCCCCGACTGATCTCATTAAAAAAAGATCACTGTTAGCCTTCATATTAAAAAACAGTGTAATGCTGTCAAATGAGGAAATACGCCTACTTACAACCGAACAAGATTTCTCAGCCAGTAACAACCCTACCGCATCTTCAAAACCTCTTACATGTGATGTAACCACACAAACACAAAGCACGAATAAGAACAATGAAGACTGGATTAAGGTGAGATTTGATAAGTCAAACAAGTTAGGTCTACCTGTCGCACAACACAACAGTACACCTATTAATACAACTAACAGATTCACCATGTTGAACCATGCTGATCAAGAAGACCATGATGAGAATCAGAAGCCAGAAGATGAAACAAGAAGTAAAAGTTCTACAGGAATAAATATTACATCAGACCAATGTGAAAATAATAAACTGCATATGGAAGATAAAGATAACTGGAAAACAGTAGCAACCAATCAAAAACAAAAAAAAGTAAAAAAGTTTGGTCGAAATAAAACAACTGCAGGGGTTTCAAACTATAGCAGGAATCATCATTTATCTCCTAACAGTGAAAACAAAAATACAATCAAAGAACCATCAGTCAAGGATAAAGTTAAAAAGTTTACAAAACCTTATCCCATGGAAAAAGTTACAAGCATTGTTAAAACTTTTCATGTAGATCAAGAGAGAAAAATTGATTTTTACGCGGACAGCCAAGGAAGAGGGGTTGCAGAGATTGTTGCTAAGTGCAGCCAGGGTAAAGTCCTGATGGATGGGCTAGTCAAACCAGGAGCAGGAATTGAATTCATATACAATCAAGCTGCTAAATCTCAGAAGAGACCTTTAATTTTGCTGGCTGGTACAAATGATGTATCTGTGAACTCTCCTCGCGATGTTTATGGAAAAATGGAAGGTGAATTGAAAAAACTTAGTAAAACCAGACCAGTATGTATAACAACCATCCCTACTCGTTACGATAAATCTTCTGATGATGTCATACACTACAACATAGCTTTGGCAAATAACTACATCCGGGAGTTGGTTGCTCGCATTAACAACATACATATTATTGATTTTGACCTCTTTGATAGACAGCACTTCACACGCCATGGTATGCACCTCAACAATAATGGAAAAAGGAAGCTTGCCTACTTGATTATTCAATTTGCAAGAAATGTATTTGAATGTACAACTGCAAAAGAAAATGAAGGCCAATTTCAATTGCTCACCACTGAAGAGGGGGCAGCTATTCCTAACAACAGTTTTGAGAAGACAAGATCTATTGAGGTGTCTGACTGTCATATGGCAAATATTCTTAAACTCAGACATGAAAGAAAAGCAGTAGGTTTCGCACACAGCATATCTGCGGACTTCCATGACCCCCGCCACATGACTGCTGGTGTTGCGGTTATTTTCAAAACATTGTGTGGTAAACCTACGCCATCTCACTGTGTGACAAGACACTTGGCTATACAAGAAAAGGATAACATGGCCTCAATCTTTAGTTTAATTACAAAACCCACCTATTACAGCAAGCCTAATCCATATGACTACGATGCAGCGTTCCAGGATTTGACAGAGAATTTCAAGAAGCGGGGCCTTAAACATTTGATCTGTTCCCCAATAGGATGTGTCCGGGACAATGTAGATCCATCACATTTCATTAACAATATAATAAAATTTCAAAAATCAACCAATGCAACAGTGACAATAGTTTCATATAATCAAAATTCTCACCGGGTCTTGAGAAACGGAATACCACATGACATCTTTAATAAGCAATTAGAACAGCTCGTGGACATAAACTCAAGAACTGGCTGCGGTAGTCCACACTCTACAGGACTGGCAGTAACCATAGTAAATGAGAAGGGAGAGCTGGGGAAGCATCAACAACATCCAACTCCAACCAGCATGGCTGCCTTCCCTCCTCTTACAGCACCAAGATCAAGCCAAGAGCCACAAGATTCGTCCCCTGGGAAAGTCTCGGACCCCATAGTGAGCAGCTGCCCCAACTCCCCATCAGGAGAAACTCAGGACCATCCGGTCACTGCTTCACACACTGATGAGAGCTTTTCCTCCGACAGCACCAACAACTCTGAGAGCAGCCAACTACCTGTGGTGAATTCAGCTGTGTGTGAAGTTGTTGGGGGTGAAACGGTTGAGCTGGGGAATTGTGCAGTGGAATCAAGTGTGTGTATGTCAAACGAGTCTGAGAGTTTTTTAATGTTAAGTCAGTCCATAGTAATTGTAACATAAAAAATTTTAGTTTGAATATTTTTCATCAAAATATTAGGGGATTGATGTCATCTTTGGATTCTTTGGAAATAACTTTATCTGAGCTAGATCCAAGCGTTGTTGTCTTGACAGAGCATAAAATGACGAATGATACAATAGAAAGACTCAATATTAATGGATACAGCCTTAGTGCTAGTTTTGGCCGAAAAAAGTCAAGGGGTGGAGGGGTTGTTATCCTAACTAAGCCATTCCTAAATTGTAAAACTATCATGCCATCTGAAATCCAAAATCTTATCTCAGAACAAATTTTTGAATGTTGTTTAATTGAAATACAAAAGGCTGTATCAAAGGATAAATTACTTTTAATTGGTTGTTACAGAAATCCTATCAAGCAAAACGAATCAGAGTTTATTAGAAGGTTTAACATTTTAATTGAAGTTCTCAACTTAAATTACAAATACATAGTTTTTATTGGCGATATTAATATTGACATGCTTGACAAAAATTATAGAAATAGGAACAGTTTATTACATATTGTGAGAGCAAATGGATTTTCTTCATTAATTGACTTTCCAACTAGAATCATAGAATCTACTCAATCTACCATAGATAATATTTTTACTAATTTGGAACCTTATAATTACAGAGTAACAGGCATCAACACTCAGTTGTCCGACCATGATGGTCAGATGCTAGAAATTTTAAATACTGTGACTAAACATTCTTCCCAAAAATTTTATTTTGAGTATAAAAGAAAATTCTCTGACTCACAAATTGACCAGTTTAAAAACTTACTTCAATGTGAGTCATGGGCAGATCTTTATGCCTCTCCAGTGGAAAATAAGTATAATATATTTTATGAAACATTTTGTTATTACTTTAACATATGTTTTCCTAAATCTCTGTCAAGGCAGCACACACAGCCTAACTTGATTAGCAATGAGTTAAAAGAAGAAAAACAAAAAATTTTTAATCTTAGCCAAACAGCCCGAGAGTTAAAATGTAAATCTTTATATAAAAAAGTTAGGAAATTAAATAAAACATTCAGGTCAAAATTGAAGTATTTTAAAAAGCAATATTATAAAACAAAAATTAACAAATCAAACAATGTAAATAGAACCTCTTGGTCTATTATAAATTCAGAAGTGGGAATAGGATCTAAGAATGTACAAAACATTAATTTAAAAGTAGGTAATAAGTTGAATTCTGACCCTGTATTTATTTGTAACAGTTTTATTGAATATTTTTCAAATGTAACTAGTATAATGTCTAACTTTGAACCAATGTCTGAGAATCAGGTAGACAATGAAATATTTCAGTTTGGTAAAAGGTTTCGATTCAGCTTTGTTAATGAGAATGAAATAGATATAATTATTAATAGTCTAAAGAACTCTTTTAGTATGGGCTATGATGAGGTTCCTGTGGTTCTTCTGAAAAAAGCCAAGACATTTTTACTAAAACCAATCACCCACCTAGTTAATTCTTCTTTGATATCCGGTATATTTCCTGATAAGCTAAAAATTACAAAATTAAAACCACTTTTTAAAAAGGGGGACAGGCAAATGGTGTCAAATTACCGACCTATAGCTTTGTTACCCTCTATATCTAAGATTTATGAAAAAGTAATTTATAATCAATTGGTAACATTTTTTGAAAATAACAATCTGTTTGACAACTTTCAACACGGGTTTCGCAGAGGTAAATCAGTTATAACTGCTGCCACTGATTTTATAGAATCGGTCATTGATAGTCTGGATGGTAAATTTAAGGTAGCGGGTTTGTTCTTAGACCTGCAAAAAGCATTCGATTCAATATCCCATGATTTATTAATTTCAAGGCTTAGTACCTTGGGTATAGAGGGGACTGCTTTAAATTTGCTTAAATCTTATCTCTCTCACAGAAAACAGTTTGTTGAAATTATCTATCATAACCGTAAAAACTATAAAATTCCATATCAATCTTATACCACTGACTTAAAATATGGGGTTCCACAGGGATCCATTCTGTGGCCTCTTTTATTCATTATTTATTTAAGAGATTTTCCGCAACTTAGCGATTTAAGTAAACTCTGCTTGTATGCTGATGATACCAATTTGAAAATCATAGCCTCAACAAATGAAGAATTAGAAAGCAAGGCAAAATCAGACATATGCGTTTTAAATGATTTTTTTAACTCCCAAAATCTAAATCTCAATGTGGATAAAACAAGTATTATAAATTTTCAAACTCGAACTACCAGAAATCAACGTCGACCGATTATTAAATTTAATAATAAAACCATTGAAGTTAAGGATAGTACTAAATTTTTAGGATTAGTAATAGATAAAAGACTCAATTGGAACTGTCATGTTGAAAAAGTACTTTCAAAAGTTTCTTCTGGATTATATGCCTTAACTAGATTAAAAAACTATTGCGAAATAAAAACTTTGAAGTTGGAAGTTGGTTTACTTTTCATACATACATTCAGTGATTTCATTTGGGATTTCCCTTTATGGCTCAACCAATAAGAGAAACTTAAAATCTATATTAAGAATGCAAAAAAAAGCTATAAGAATAATTTACAACCTTCCACCTAGAACTTCTGTTAAGAGAATGTTTAAAACAGAAAATATAATGACAGTTTTCGGTATGTATGTTTTTGAAACAGTGGTATCTGTTAAAAACAGATTTCATGAAATAGAGCTGGTTGGAAGGAAACATGATTATCTTACAAGAAATCGAGGCAAGTTAGCATTAAGTCCTCATAAATTGCGCCTTTTCGAAAAAAAACCCAAATACGCCGGAACAAAATTCTATAATAAACTTCCAAAGGACATACAAGCAGAAGTAAATATAAAAAAAATTTAAAAATAAACTTAAGAAATTTCTCATTAGCAGGGCTATTTATTCATTTGATGAACTGTAATTGACTTTTCTTTCCCTACTAATCAAACTATGTTTTAACTGTTAGTTTTATGTTCTTTTACAATTTTTCCCATTTACTATAAGCATGTATGTTTTATTATAACTTATAAGAAATGTGACACTATTCATGTATATATTTCTAATGTACTTGATGAATAAAGATAATTTGAATTGAATTGAATTGAATTTAATATAACATTTAATGTGAAGTGACAAATACAACAGTACAACAGCTGACCAGCTGATTTACAGCCAGTGCTGCCAACGTATTTCGCGCGCTTACGACGTTGCCTGCATGTTACGCGCTCACTATTTCGTGCCTTCACGTTGCAAATCTGGAGTGAGACAAAGTGATTAGAGTGAGACAATGTTAACATTGTCTCACTGATGAGCGAATTGGCCACTTTGCTTTCTCAAATCAGTGAGAGAACATGTACATTGTTAGGTAACTGTAGGAAAAAAAATTTATTAATTAAGAATTTAATTTCAACAGAACAAGGTGGATCGTAAGCACACAGTATTGTACTTAATGATTACTTGGTGTTCAGTTCAACTTCTTTACAGAGCAAGTTCAAGAAGTTAACAACAAGTCAAATATAGTATGATTTTATTACGTTAAACAAAACATTTCATTCAAGAAATTAAACATAGTTACTAACTTTAAAAAACTCAGGTGAATAATAATCCTTATTAAAAAGTAAACAAGGGCCTTCTGAATGTATAATCCTACTACAACATGGTAAGTAGCAGACTGTTCAACTGTTTTATTAAGTTACAGTGGAATGTTTAAAATGTTTTCCAGAAAAATAGAGAAGAGTTTAAATGTGATACTCATCATATCTAGGTTTACTTCAGTTCCGTGATTATGACCAGGATGGAATTTTACCACAAACAGATGGAAGATTATCCATCAGTAAGTGGACATCTTCACTTGTATAAGGGCTTAACAGCTTTAATATAAAAAAATAAAAATTAATATATACTTTTTGGCTAAATCCATTATGAAAGTTGGGCTTGCTCTTATTAGGCCAGACAAGAGAGTTTTATAAAACTAAGCGATTGTGCCACAATGCCTACTATGAGCCAAGCATTACCTTTCGTTCAGTAAGGCGTTTTCCACCAGAGCTTAGCTTGCAGAGGTAGTCTTCTCTGATAAGCTCATTGCAACACTGGCTTAGCTCCTTGGGGTCCCAACCTTCGATTGTACGTTGGAGCTCGTTAGTTTTCTCCAAGGCAGCTTGTCGTCTAACTCTACCTGGAGTTCTAACAGTCTCTCTAAAAACAAATAAAAATTGAAGATAAATAAAATAATATGAACGATGGAATAATATAAGTGTTGTAATGGTGTAACTGAAGTCATCATAAGCATCAACAAATTTGGTTTAAATTGTTAAGTCTGTTAAGGTTAAGGTCATTTTATTTAGGAGAAAACCCCTGTGGTAAGCCTAAACACAGGGTATTCGAAAAAGAATGCCAGGATTTTAAACGGCCATTGCTTGGAGACTATCAAAGATGATTAAGCAATTTAAACGTCAAATTGAAGGGGGGAAAACAATGTTGAAATTACTACATTTGTCATATCTGTTTTTGGCCGGCCAGGCAAATGTCCTTTCAAAACACTTCCTGTGTCACTAAACTGATTAAACCAGCGACAAATTGCTTTGTCATCGAGCGAATTTAAATTTAATTTACTTGAACCATTGATCACACTGTGCCTTCTGTTGCACCGTAAACATCTAGGCCTCCTCGCAACTGGCGTGTGAGTGCGTCACAACTGTGGCCTGCCACCACCACGCACCTGTTTTGCTCATGCTTAGGTCAACGTTTCTTCCCTTGCTACAAAAATTAGTTAACGTATTTCAACTCTAAATCAATGTTTAAGTGGTTATCTTGAATAGTCCCCAAGCAATGACCGTTTAAAATTAGGATACGACATTCTTTCTCGAAGACCCTGTAAATTGTTTCACTAATATATATATTTTTAAAGCTCAATTACCAAACCGTACATTACATGACATGAAATACCTAGAAAATGAATTTAAATTCCTTACACACAGCAATGTAAAACTGCGCTCTGGATTTAAACTCAATAAAAAAATTAAGACATTAGATAAATGATTAAGTTTATGCTTTACCTTTTAGGAACATTAGTCATAGTTTTGTTTAGGTCCATTTGTAAGGGTCTCAATAATCCTTCCACCTGCTCCAAACTTTCACGATCCTCTTCCACGGGAGTTAACATCAGTAGATCCTGAAAATTACCAGAACAAGTTATCAACATGCAGTCAGGTAGATGTATGCAATTTAACCATAGAAGAAAAGTTAGTTAGTAGGCATGAGGATTCCACTCATATCACGTATATAACTAGGTACACTATTAGCTATGAAGGGTGTTCTGAGAGTAACTGGCATTTCAACAAAATTGGCAAAATAATAAAACAAATGTTTGTACATTCATAAAAAAAAAATAAAAAATCCAAACCAGGGCATTTGTACAAGCTTTGCAATACTCTTTGAGTGTCTAACTGGGATTTTGATCACTGGTCAACAGACACTTTTGATACAGTACCAGTTTCAACAAATAAAGAGTTTTGCAATCATAAAACTAGGATTTAAGAGATTCTGTTGTTGACTTTAGTCACAGTTAAACCTAGGCCTACTAATGCGGTGTGTTCGATGAAAATATCAAAATTAATCAAGACAAACAACTAACATGGCTTAAAGTTTTCTTGTACACTATCCTCGGTGATATATTCAAATTGATTATGACTTCCTAAAGACATAAACACACTTCTATATTGGCAGTGTCGTTTATTGCCGCGATCATTTTAACACCCCTCAGCAGAACGTAAGAGTCATATCTAAATGTGTACTGAGTAGAAACATTGACACGAAGATAACGTTGCTAGTCCTATCTACTGCTAGACCGAAACATTTTTACCTTCTAGACCTCATATTTTCCTCTATTTGTCAGATTTCAACAATACAGAAAGATTTTAAATCTCCGCAACCATGTTCATACATTATATTGAAGATGAAACTTCAATAAAAATTCACCTTGATGTATTCAAAGTAGAGGAAACAATGCCAAACAGGGGCCAAAAGTAGTTTAGGCAGATAATACTTGACAGCTTCTCTAAAGCCGTGACCAGCAGATTGTAAGGCATTGGAGACATCAGGTTTGGCTATCAGATTGGATAGAGCTTCTCTACACCCTGCCTGGACAATGTCTTTGGCATATCGTCCATAAACATCAAACTCGGCCGCCTGCAAAAATACAAAATATCTTTAAATACATCAGGCACACCACATATATGTATTTAGACATTTGCCCTGAAAACCTAATACAATTTTAGATATTGTTTCAAGTTAAGAAAATCAATTTCATTAATTATTTTACTGCAAGAATAAAACATGCGCCACAAGAAACGTTAGGCCTAACAATGGTAAAATAACTGTCGTGGTGTATATATGTAAAAAATAAAATACGTAATCTTGTCAATCTTACTCCCTTCCAGCTCTATCTAACAGTGAAGTTTTCTTATCATCAGTGCCACTTAACACATTTGCTACAGACATTTTAAAAATTATATAAATATAGACCGCCGTCCCAAATGTCCCTCGCTCGGACCATCCCAATAGACCGACGTCCCACATGTAAGCCAGTGTCCCCGGCTTATTTAAATACGTCTGTTTTTGCTATAGACCAACGGCTCACATATGCACTGTTTTTTAAATTCATCAAAACTATGGAAATAAAAGCAATTTATTAGAAGTAACAAATATTGCATATCAATTGATTATAACAGGTTTTTTATTTCCAGTCTGAGCTACTGACCAATTTACTACCTCCAGTGATCATCAGTGACGTTCAATATTGGGGTCAGTCTATTTTGATAGCCCTACCCCCCTCCCCCACCCATAAATACATGCGTTGATCGGTAGCGAACTTGTTAAAGCTTGAGTACACACTGAATAATCAATTACTGTACAATTAATCATTCAAATAGAACTTTGTGACTTTCACAAATTATTATTACTTTTAGCGAATTTCCCTATAGGGACGTAGCTATTTGCAACATACAACATATGCTTAAGCAACCAGTTTTACCTCTGCAAGTTCCTCAAAACAGCAACCAATGGTGGGGATTTGTTTCTCTTCACTCATTTCAATCATGTCTTCAACCAGCCCCAGCAAAGTTACGGTAAGCTCGTAAATGTCCGAGATGTTACAGAACATACAGTCCAGCTTGAAACATAAATCACAATACATTAAGCAACATGCACTCAAGCCAAAGAATAACAAATTTAAAAAAAAAGAAGAACAAAATATATACAGATATTATATTTACACAATTACTGAGGATGACATTATCGTCAACTTAAAAAAAGCACCATTTGCCATATACGACAAATTTAGTTTAAAATAAGATTTGTAATTTAGCCTTTATATGTTTTGTGGTTATGGTTTCTAAGTTCACACAGTTATTTAAAGTAGCCTAAAAATGCCCTTTCACAAAAGATTTGCGATGATTAAAATAATTATAATCCAAAAATAAAGAAAATAATACAATCTAAACAATCAATTATCTTACAGGGTGTCCACAAAGCTGCAATTTAAAATTCCTGCTTTTCCTGCCAGTACCACCACAATACCCAGCTTAACATAACCTAAATAAACAAACAAATCAACAGACTGGGTGGGATATATAGGGTATTCCTCAGGGACGAGGTTGAAGAGGAGGCAATGCAACTAATTTAATTACTACAGATAGTCTAGAAATGAAGACAGAATCTTTATAGATCAATCATAAAGGCCTATGAAGAAAACGGTCCTTTTAAAACAAAAGTGCTATAGGAGAAAGGAACGAATGGCAACAGGGCGATCTCAAGAGAGTAGGGCATGCCTTGCATTGCTGATTAATTGTAAATCTGAGGCGGACAGAGACAAGCTTTCAGGGAGCTTGGAATTCTGACCCTACCTTCCCTGTATATATTGGAAACGGCTGTAAACTACCGGTTTCAACATGTGCCTATGCAAGGCACTGTTGTGCACAGCCACGGGACTAGAGCAAGGGAAAGTTTTCGCACTGTCCAACACTGAACAGCTGCATTTAAGAAACTTCATTCTCCAGTAGGTGTCAGGCTCCTTACTTAAAGGCTTAAAAGTCTGGAAAGTTCCCAACCGAAACGGATGCACGACTTTAAAAATCAGGCGTTCTATTCGGTTGACGAGTACACTGCACACTGTTGTAGTTGAGGGCACAGTATTAGGTTCCAGGGCATAAAGGTGAGGGAGGGGGGGAGGGGGGAGGGGGTGAGGGGGTAATGAGGGAGCAGACAAGTGGGCAAATAAAGGAACTGAAAGCCCGCTCATGGGTCCAGAGCTGACGTGTGGTATTGCTTACAACAAAGCACGGAGAGCTGTTCGCCAGTGGATGGGCATAGAACATCGAAAGAGCTGAGAAAGAACAGAAGGCAACATACAAAAAGAATGCGCCGGTGCGATAGCGGCAGATTCCCATTGGCTCAATAGGAAGAACCTGCGGAAGGTGGTTGGCTTCATCAGTGACCACTGGGTATTCCACGGACATCTATACAAGATGGGAAATGAAGTTGTCAGCCTCTTATGTAGAAAATGTGGAGGAGGAGTAGACAGCCTTCCACGTGATATTTATGTGCCCAGCCCTACAAGGTATGTGTGTGAGATCCCTAGGCCTATCTACTGAAGATCAAAGGGAAGAACAGGAAACCATAGTCAAAAGGATATCATGGTTCACTAAGAACCTGGGATTTGACGGAGAATGAGGACCTGTGAATGAGTGTGCACAATAAACTGTTTCAGCTGCAATGCAATCCCTTAGTCTACTTATATGCCTGGCCCTCTTAAAAAAAAAAAAATAATAAAAGTATATCATTGTAATATTCCATTCAGAGTCAGACAACCAACCAGCTGATGTATTGCTACCACATAAATATGGTGCTGATGGGCATCAATTCCGTCATCGTAAATAGTTTGGTCAACTGAAAAGTAGATTTAGGCTAAAATTATATTTAAAACTTATGTTGGGTATAAGAATATAATATTTGATTATTTTAATTACCAAAAATGAATCTTTGACACTAAGCCCAAATAGTTTTTAAAATCAGAATAATTTAATCATATTTTGAATTGTTACGAAATCACACTATCTTATGTAAGGTTTTTTAGAAAGTATTCCACACTATTCAGGTAGTTTGTAAAACTGAAACCTAGGTTAATGACTCATATCATTATTGTGCGATATTGAATTTGATTTGATGGTCGTCTATTGTCACTTGTGCAGTTTTTATTGCAACATCACAAAATTTTACTAAATTAAGTAACAAAAATCACAATGTAGAAAATATTTCTGGAAATTTACGCTGCCAGAAAAATCTAATGATCACCACAATTCACGTAATACCCTGTCTTAATCTATTTAAAAAAAAAGTAGTTATGTAAACAAATGATTTTTTATAGTCTCCATAAATAAAATTAGGGAGTAGGTAGATAGAAAACACATATGTATAAAAACAAAAGTTCTAAGTTCCTGATTACAATATTTTTTCCTGTTGTCCTTGACACACAGAAACTCACAAGTGATATTTTATAAATCCCACAACACATGGTTTTTTCAATCTGCAAGGTTTTTTTTGCTAGAGTAGTATAGTAAAATACTGATGAGTGAATGGTTATTTTATAAAACAAGGACATTGGTTTCAAGGTGGTTCCGGTCTGATAAATGTAACTATCCAAGAACCACTCTTACATCAATGAAGTCCTTTGTGTAAATAATTACAAGGAAAGCCTTTAGATCACTAAATATTAAAAAATATGGTTATATTACATAATATTGTCAATCAACCCAAGGGCAGTAATACACTAATAACCAGAAAACGTATAAAAACAAATGTTTACAGATAAACATCTATATTTTTACTTTTACTTTTATAAGCTCTAAGGAGAGATGTCAAAATAATTAGTCTCCATATCAATGAGAATTTCATAGGACAATGTCAGAATCGGTGTGTAGACTAACTGAAAAAAAGTGGTCTTGGCAGAAAAACTGTGTTATATTGGTGATTATAAAGAATAATTTTGCTCCGAAAATAGAGATTTTTTAGTTAGGTTTAACCGTGGAAGTCTACCTTGTTGTCATCTGGAGGAATCAACCGAGCCAGTTCTTCTCTGAACACTTTGATGATCATATGAAGATCTCTAAGATGTTGTTTCTCATCAGATATCAAATCTTTGACCACTTCCTCGTATGAGTGTGAAGTTCTAGGAGCTTTGGCAGCAGACTCGGTCTCTGCGAGTGCTGTGCTTAGACTGTTGTCGTCTTGACAAAACATGTCCATCAGCACCTTAAACACACAACAGAGAATACACTCATCTTTAGTGACGAGCTGTTCTTAATTTATTAACCTATTTTGACTTCATATTCATTTGGATTGACAAGAAAAAAGGAATGTAAATGATTAATTGATCTCCATCATTACAAACGTTACAGAAACTGAGGTAGCAACATTCCAAGAGCTAATTTAACATGTATGATTTAACAATTATATGTACCATAAGTACAGGGTTTTTTAATTTAGTTAAAAAGAGAAATTGTAAGTGGGGTTTTGTTTTTCTCCAGCAAGTTACAATAATCTAGGCAGATAATATGTTAGGATGAAATATTTTAATAAAAAATATTCAAACTATATTAGTGACCTAGCACTGTAGTTGTATAGGCCAAGTGACCAAATTGCACACAGAATAATTAAGTGGAAAGAAAACGTCAAAAGAAAATGCAATATAAATTCAATTATTTTAGCGAGAAAACGTAAAAGAGTTGGTTTTAGCTGAACTATTTGGTGTTCAATTTAATATGTAATGTCAAACCAAGAAGCAACATTATAAGCTTACATTTACCTAACGATTTAAGTGTCACGACTTGTGACTTATCAGTACGATTTACTCTTGTACCGTACCAACTCACCCCCCTGATTTGCTTCTTCATTCTAACCCATCCAACCACAAAATATCCAGCACTCAGGCTATGTTTAGGCCTGAGCAAGTAAATTTAAGGTTACAATAGACAACCTTCTCTTTCAAAAAATAAAAGGAAATAAAACAATTTGTGAAAAACAAAAACTACCAACTAATTTATTGTAATTTTCACCCTTCATGAAGTAAAAAATGCGCTGCATTTACGTAATTGGAATATTAAACGTTATTTTGTCAGAAAAGAGATTTATGCTTCTCTTTATCACCAAAACAGAACACGCCTTAACAAAAAGTATCTATATTTAGAAGAATTTAATTGACCTTAACACATTTAGCTAAATTAAATCAAAGGCCAAGCTCTAACTTTTTTTATGGTCGTTTGAGCGATCAAGATTGAACTAAAATGTTTAAGATACAAACAATTAAAGAAGAATTAACAAATATACAACTAGAACTACAATAATAATTTGATATCAAACTGTTCTTACAAACAACTAAATGAATGTTCTATAATAGAAAACTGCTAAAAGGCAAAACAATCAAGCGATGGGTTTTTACTGTGATTGAAATGCTAATTTATGAGGGCATTCAGAGACAATAGTAGCGATGCCTCGTTAATTTATCAGAGTTATTGTAAATTGGATTTATACTTTATCTTTAACCTAATTGGCAGTAAAAAAACACAATGAGCAAAATATCTATAATTAGCTTTGCTACTGGTTTTTATTGCCTGAAGAGTATTGGTTTGATAGTGTGTCACAAAGATAAGTGTCTTTGTATTCTACTTAGACCCTTCTTATAAAGTAACGTTTCAAATATCTATCAAATCTACATGAAAAACTTTCCCATGCAATGTATTTATTACAATAAATTTGTGTGACAATTCTGCCAAATTTAATTAGATAGTAAGCTATAAATGCCATATTATCAAATGCTTTTCTAAAATAAAATTGTTATCCATCTATCATGTATATGATTCAGTTACACTCAGGATAAAGATGCCCTAAAACCTTTAACTGACATTGTATGATAAAACAACTCATCCTGTATTCATGTGGTTGTATAATGTCAAACAAAAATATTAAATTTCAACTAGCCTAGAAATATGTTTGTACATAATGATTGTACAACTTGCTTCTAATAAAATAAATCAATTTAATTAATTTTGGTAATAAACCCAACATAATTATTTTTAAAACTATTGATTTGTGGAAAACAACCAGTGGGTAAAGCGGTTTTATTAATTGTACAGTATAATGATTGAAGAACTGCAAAAATGTTCTTTTAAAATTAAGAAAGTAATTTTTTAGACATTCAAACTTCCCTTCAAGACTTGTGATATAATTTCATAGTTCTATAAAAATGTATATAGGCCTAAATCTAAAATAGCAACAAAATTTACTGCCACATGCTCTGAAGCAAATGAAGCGCCGCCATGCTTACCACCTAGCCAACAGGAAGCAATGCATGAAAAGAAAACAAATGCCAAGCCATTTAATAAATCAACTAACAGCTAATAGTACTAAAACTAAATGATAAAGATAGTAAATACACACTACTACTGGCAAACAATTCAACTTCAGATTAAATGTTATTTTAGAAATCACGATTCATGAAAATCAGCTTAAAACATTAGGTGCATGAGATAAATAATCTGCAGATGACATATTTTACTATCAAAAGTAGACTTATTTGACAAAATAACAAATATTTGTAGTTTGCTTAACAGATGCTTATAATATTAAAAGTAGTGATAATCAAAACCGGAAGTTTTGAATCTTTAAACTGAAACAGAAACTTTAAAACACTAATTCAGAATCTTGAAATCTAAAAGCAAAACTTTTAGTTGTCTGGCCAAGGCTACAAGAAAATACAGATATATTAAAATATATATTATACAATCACAATCAAAACTTGAAGAAATTGATTCCTGACCTTGACATAATTAACATGAATATGTGACTAACAGGCCTAGGCCTACACTTAAAAACCCCAAAAATCTAAATTTACATTAACAACAAACTCTAAAATGAATTAAAATCCTGACACTAACACGAACATAGATACCAAAAAAGTCGGCATATTCAAAACCACAACCTCCGAAATTATCAATTTCAAAACTTTTGAATCTCAAAACCAAAACTTTCCAAAGTTTTAATTGAGTTTCGGTTTTGCCACATCACTAATTACAAGTCTACTAGATACATTGAATTGAAAGATAACTATATAGAGACAATGCCTTATTTACTCTTTTAGCGAATTTCCACTATAGGCTTATAGGGAATAAGCTATTACCATAGGTCTGATGTTATGACCTAGACATGTGACTAATTTGCTATTTGTCTTGATATCCCAAGATGCCAAAAATATTATCCGTTCAAATTTGTGTATGGAATGATACATTCTAGGAATAATAGGCCATATTCATATACAAATTTTATATTCTATGGGACCGTAACCATGATGATTCCAGTAAAAATCATCCGTTTTGAAGATTTTGTACTAACATGTAAACGTTTATTTGAATGAGATAGCATTCTGGCATGATCAGATAGAAAAAGGGATTTTATGGGGTAAAAATTGGTTTTTCTTATTTTACTAAAAATATAAAATCTAAACCATTTGGTAGAACTTAAAAAACCAATAACTTAGAATATTAAAGTAAATAAACGGCTAATGGTAATGCAAACAAAAAAACAAAAACTAAAAAGTCAGCCTGGGTAGGGTTTCTGTATTAGTGTTTACAGCAAATTCAATCAATTGTTATATCTAATTGTATTTATTGGCGAATAGAATTGACAAGTGTAAGGAAATATTTAGTGAAAATCAAATCAGGTAAATGGAAATTTGTTTAGTTGGAGGTTTGATGTGGTGAGGGTATTTTATAGTACCGGTACAGGGGGTCTCAGTTGATAAAAAAAAATTTAGTGAACTCGCCACATTATTATTGTGATTTCCACAAGTCCTGGTCTTTTATATGTTAACACTGGTAAATGCTATATTTAACACATAGTTTTGGTGGAAATGTTAATGTCTACAGATTGTAAATTCCAATCGTTTACTAAGTATTAAACCGTGTGATCTTGTAGGGTTCCCCTTTTAGGAGATGCAATATTAAGTATGAGGATTGTCAACCCTTTTTTGACACACCGTCGACTACATTTTTTACTAGATGAACGCTGAAATAAACATCTCACCAGCACAAGGTATGTTTCTTTGTTTTTAACTAATAAAGTCCTACAAAACTTACTGTTAGAATTTTCCAGAAACAATGCATGATTAAGGTTAACCAAAGCCTTTTTACTACTAGGTTATTTGAGTCTAGCCTAATGATACACAGCCAACTACAACATTCAAAAGTGTAGCAATACCCCAGAACCCATCACTATTTTATACTACATTCATTTTTTAAGTAAAAAGCACTGTCTACAAATCCTTTAAAGGAAAAATACACTATATTTCTCAGAGTTGTAGTGTCATGTATTTTTTCTACATCCCTAGGTCTTCATTCTAAACACTATTAACATTCTAGAGGATTGTATTTTCAAACCAATTATAGGCAGTGCCGGTTTTACCACTAGGGTGACTATGCCATGGCCTAGGGCCGCGAAAGTTTGACAGAAAACATTTTTTTTAGAAAAAAAAAAATATATTTTGCTTTTTAATCTATCAATTTGCTGCGATCGTGGGTGACAATGTTAATGTCCTCATGATTGCAGCTCACGGGAGGTGTTCTCGATTTTGCCACAGCCCTGGGTGCCAAAAACGATGTCCCCGCGATCTTGGCTCATGGGACATGTTAAAGAACTTGCTGCGGTCTCGGGTGAAGATCACAATGTCCTCATGATCGTGGTCCACGGGAGATTGATTTTTCCACGGTCCCAGTGTCGATGATGATATCCCCATAATTCGGCTCACAGGAGGTGTTCACGATTTTGCCGCGGATGCGAGTGTCGATGATGATGTCCCCATGATTTCAGCTCAAGAAGATGTTCTCGATTTTGCCACGGCCGCAGTGTCGATGATAATATCCCCGTGATATCGGCTCATGGGAGGTGTTCACGATTTTGCCGCGTCCCGAGTGTCGATGTCCGATGGCCCCATGATTTTGGCTCACGGAAAGGTGTTCACGATGATGTTGTCCTCATTATCATGGCCCATTGGAGATGTTTACGATTTTGCCGTGGTCACGAGTGTCGATGATTATGATGTCTGATGTCCCCATGATCGCGGCCCCCAGGAGATTTTCTCGAGTTTGCCATAGTCATGGGTGTAGATGATAATTTGAGGCCCAGGGGAGATGTTTACGATTTTTTTACTGCAATCACAGGGAATTTCCACCACATGGGAGGGGGCCGCTCGAGTAATTTGGCCTAGGACCGCAGGTTCCCTAAATCCAGCACTGTTTATTGGTAGGGCTAAACAATTTATTAATAAAATTAAAAAAAAGAACACATCCAGTTTTGATGTAGCCTACTTCTAAACCACAGATCAAGATCCATATTATATATAGACAGATCTCATTTACATTAATGAATCATTGTTTGGGACCCTGAATGCATAAACTTATATTTTCAAGCTACTATTCAATTAACACGTTGACTGCGCGTGCCGACTTTAGTCGGCGTCGCCAGCGCTCCCAGGTGGCGCGCGCCGACTAAAGTCGGCACCAGACCAACAGAAATATATTGAGTCAGTGTGAGCTTAGCCTCAGACGGAGACGTTATAATTGTTGCTAGCCTGCCAGCTTAAAATGCGAGCTTTACTTTGGTGTAGGTTGGTACTAAAATTTCCCGTAAAGTCCTGTCTGGCAATGCTTTTGTCCCGGTTTTGGGGATTTTTTCTCTTCAACCCACATTACAAAGACACTGGATACGGATCCGTGCAGTGCTGCTACCTTTGGGTGTTTCAGTGAACTACATCCACTCTCGGGGTAACGCAGCACAGTCACCACTGCTCTTTTGTGATTCGTCAGACTGAAATATTTGAATGCCAATTGCGTTCGCTGATTCGGTTGCGCGCCGGGGCTTCGCCCGCCACTGGGGAGCGCCTGTAAAGTCGGCGCGCGCAGTCAACGTGTTAAGAGGTTAGTTATTCATAGTAGGCCTATACTATGCAATAACAACTCTGTTTATTTTAATGGATATCCATCAATCTTTATGAACACAAATCAAAAAACTATATCAGCAGCTAGAAAATCTGAAAAGTGGGTGCAAATTTTGGAACTAGGATGAGATAAAATTTATTTACAGTTTTTTTCCCTAGGAGGCTAGGCTCGAGCCCGAGCCCGGGATTGTTTTTCACATTACCTACTTTAGGCTGGACCTAGGGATTGCGGAATTATCACTTAGATAAAATCCATTGGTGATTTAGCGAGATTTGAACCTGGGTGGGACCTCTTGGACCGCAGTCTCGCGCTCTTAACCACTAGACCAGCTCACAGCCCAGGTTTATAAAGTATACTAGATTTTGCCATTTAAAATCCACCATTAGTTAAAGGAATGTCACGGCCATTAGAATATGCAATCTTTCAAAATACTATTTTGTTGGGTGTATAAAATGTTTTTTGCATAGTGTACTATGTAAAGTTTATTTACATAGTGGGACTATTGGTGGTGATTAATTGAGAAAAGAGCAGTGAGTGTGGTGATTACTCATGATATTTAATGAGAGAGTGGGGGTGGCAGAGAGAGAGTGGGGGTGGCCCACAGACAGAAAGTCAGCTGAATGTATGCTCCTGATTTTATCAAGTTTTTAAGTGGTTGTACAAAGTTTTAAAGTTAAAATTTTAGTGTAGTTTGTGTAGTGAAATACAGTGAATTGAAAACATCCTTTGGTTTTTCATAGTATGAAGGAATTTAAGAGTAATTCGTTAAAATAGTATTTTAAAACCTGCAAATAATTTGGTTGAGGTAAGGGGATATCAGCTTATCATAGCTGATATAAGAAGGGTTAGCTGGACTCTGAACTTCCTACACTGCTTATATTGTGTTTGAAATCTGCCCTGCTTATCTCTCCATCACACATCACAAGATACAAGATATTTTGTACTCAATAGACTATTTGAACTGTCACCGGCAAATGTTTGTTTGTAAACATGGGTAAATGATTTAAAAAACTAAGGATTTATTTCTTATGACTTTATGGACATTTTTAATAGGCATGTAAAGTAAAAATATTCTTACAATGAATGCTACATTTTATTAACAACAATTTATAACAAGTCTATAACTTTAAGTTTTATACTTTTGTAACAGTATAAAAAGAGCATTTTCATCTTGATTTTATTGATTCATCTTATCCTTTCCTCATTTGGTGTTGCAATAATGCAATTTCTTAATACACTCATGTTGGCCTACAAGTCTACACACAAAATAACATGAAACAAAGACTGAAAAGTCTCTATTCTTAATGGAAAAAGTTAAATTATTTTACCATCAAATATATTTAAAAAACAAATAAATATATGAAACATACCTTATCTGCACACATGGCGACTCTGATGTCTTGGCAGGTGATCTCTGAATAACGGATGTTTTTGACATAATTGCCGGCCAACTGAAATATAAATACATACACTATAATCTAACTTAGGGTACTAATAAATTTAATGAGTAAATACAGTGCTCGATTTGCAGTAGAACGCGGCAGAGAGGTGTTCCGGTACCTCTCTTTTGGAAAAATAAAAATTTTGCATAAATAGGAACTAGTCACATTAAATAGGTTACAGTTCTGGCACCTCATTATTTACAAATCAAGCACTGAGTAAAAAGGTTTCCATAAAAAATAATACTACACTATAGGCACTGACGTAAGCCTGAAGTGGTCATTTAGTTATTCATAAGCCTATTGCATACAGTACTATGAATCAACAAATTAATCCAGCCATGACTGTAAAACAGTTTGGCAATGCAATATTTTGTTAACACATTCTGATACACTCATGGCAGATTAGAGTTTCTTTACAAAATAACATTAAACATAAACTGAAAAATCTGTATTTCTACCTTACTTTTGTAATGATTTATGTAGCTTTGGAAGATACATAATCACTGGGGGAAAACAGGCATTTTATTGCAAATATTTCCCAATTATAACTTTAAAAAATTAAGTCAAAAGATAAACATAAAAAACTAGAAATGGAATAAAAGAGGTAGGTATTACAGTATTTAGGCCTATGCCTATATTAAAAATCAAATTAGGACGATATTTTAAGTTTACGCCTACTTTAGAATACGGTAGCAAGAGTTGGAAATTTATTTACCTTTAAAATATCAGCAGATATGTACTCCAAAACCGCAACAATGTATAATGCCACCTGGAATTCTAACTTGTAGTTGAGAAGTTCCTGAAAACAAAAAGGCTAGTAAATATCCACCCATCTTTTGAACATATTCCCCTGTCAATTTAAGTTCTAAACACACGACACAGATACAAATCACAAAATTGATTGGGGAGAACCAGAAAACAATAGAGGGGCAATAGAGAAGATTACTAAACGGGCCAAAATGTCACAGCAACACCTACAGTAAAACCCCCTTTTAACCGCACTCCCAGTTTAACCGAAACCCAGGCTGACTGAAACCATCATAAAAATTCAAATCAATTTGAAAATTAGCCAGGCAAAAGGAACCATGGTATCCGCCGTGATGTTGGTAGTTGGTGCGGTTTAGCCAACAGAATGAATTGGAGCAGATGATGACAAAGATCTTTTACTGTGATTATTTGTCGTAATAACAATAAGTTTACACAAAAATATCAAGCTATGCAGCTTTAACAGTTAAAAAGAGAATTTGAACAAAATTGGGAGTAAAATGGAATAGCATCATGAAGACTTATCCTAGGTGGCCCAATTAGGCTTACATTTAGATAAAAGTAGTAAATTAACCAGTAGAAACTGAAACACCAGTGACATGGTAAATAAAAAAATTCATTTTAGTGACATGAGGGATTGATACAACAGCAGTAGGAGTAAGTACGCAGTAAGATAGTATAGTTGTAGGGAGTTGTTGGTAAAGAGAAGATGTCAGTAGTACGTTTAGAATTAGGCCTACAAGAAATTATACAGTAAAGTACCACAAAGTTGGCCCCGATAAATCAACGGTTTGGACTTTTCGGCAATCTCAAAAGAATTTTCAAGTATAATGTACATAACTCGCCCCTGGTGATAGTTATGATGTCGGGAGCAACCCTGGTGGTGAATACAGAACTTGATAGCAATCAATAGCGAACATTGAAAACAGCACACATTAGTCACACATTTTTTTTAAAGATTAGTTTACATATGTTAATGTTATACTGTATATAGTTTTGTAAATGCTGAATATGTATAGGGCCTATATATGACAAGTAAAAGGATCATTTTCCTGGTAACTTGGCAACTCTCAAACTCAGCACTCGTCTGGATCATATTACGTTGAGTTTGTTGTTCTATATTTTACAACTAGGTATTTTATTACAAAGCTTGCGTTGGTAATATACAATGCCTCATGGATATCTGAAAACTGGATTAGTAAATTTTCTTTAATTCTGAAAGAAAATACCTTGGAAAGCAACTGATGGATATTGTTAACTGGAAGGACAAGATGGGAATGTGAATGTGATTTCTTTTTTCCGCGTTCAAGAGCTTCCTTGGCTTCCTTGAGAGCCCAGCGGTCGATAGGGGTGGGAAATGTCCTGCGCACACGTTCATCCACATCCTGAATAGTGTGAGGCTTTGTAGCACACAACATTCCCAGCAGACGAAAGATAAGGCTCTCCACATACTCGAGGGCTTCCTCCCTGGCTGAGAGGGATGGGTGTACTTGATTCAGAACCTGTCACAGTTAAACAACACTTAATGGCTGATTGTGAAAAAGACCTCGTTTTAGCCTAATTTACACTAGGGCCTACCTAGTTATAATTAAATATAAGCCGCTAATTTGAACAGCTACCTATTATAGATATATGTTCTATCGTCTGTGGAGTGTTGCAATACTGCCATTGCCACTGGGTTGCCATACAGCGCAACTCCCAGCTGCCTTTAACCTCACGACATTACTTGAAATAATCAAGCTCTCAACAAAGAGCTTTATGCAAATTAAAATAAAAAGTATTTGGTTGTTCAGACAAATTATTATTTGCTCACTGGAAATTATAAAATTAAACAGTTAGTTAAAAAAATTGGGGATATTTTAAAAATTCCGTGGCTTTTTGGGGACATCCGTGGCCTAACTAAAAAATAGGGGGCTTTTACGGGAGATCGGGGATATCCGTGACATGTAGACACCCTGTAAGCCTACTGTATATAGGATGAGTATAATTAAGGTACGGTAGCCCAAGTTCCACAAGTGATGCAACCTCTTGACAATTTTCAGCAGCGTTAAAAAAATACAAGCCCTCTACTGCGGGAAAACACACATAGGCCTATAATAATAATTGTCAGTACACATTTTACAACTGCAATAGACAACGTCAAAATACATGAATGGTTCATCTTCAACACAATAAAATGTGAGTCTCATCATTAAAAAAAAACCTAAACCTAGTTATGTTGCGAGACACAAAGATGTAACAGACTTAACAGGGACGTAACAGAAGAAAAGTTAGACTATACTGTACTGACATTTAAAAAGAGTATCAAGTTTTAAAATTTAAGTTATAACGATAACAATGGTAAATACAGAAACCAACACAGATTCAGCCATGATTTAAAAAAGAGCAGAAAATTTATAGAGATGAAAACTCACTAAGTAAAACATAACCTACTTACAAAGTAGGCCTACCCCCGCCAAAGAGTATTAAGATTTTGGGTATATTGGCATTATCCGGAGGCCATCCTTATAGAGCGCGCTGCGGCGGTTATGTTAGATTTGTTATCATACATGGAAAGAACAATTGACTTACTGTCCAAATTTGACATGATTACAATTACCGGCCTTTGAGTTCTGCCTCCCATAAGGCAGCGATGTCGGTGAAGATTGAGTTGAATGCGTTGCTGCCTATAGCTGCCACACCAGATACAGGTGGTGACAGGTGATGCGCGCGCTGCGGTCAACAGCCTCACCTTGGCCTACTTGAAGGGGATATGGCAAGCGAAAGTATGACTCATGTGATATTGTTTGATTCATAATGAAACGAGGAAAGTCCTACAAACATATTTCTGATAACTCAACCTAACATATACCGCCGCAGTGCGCTGTATAAGGGTGGCCTCCGGATAATACCTAAGTACCGGAACCAGATTTTATATACACGCTTAAATGATTTTAAAATTGCACGATTTATGATAAGCCCTAAGGATTATCAGTAACCAATTACTACCTATTTTTACATTTGTAAGAATCTGGCATAACTATCGAGATGACTATTGAGTATAGTCAGAATCATCTTGATTTGATTAAAATAAGGCCACTTGCTTCAAGGCCACGTTTGCTAACAGCTGTTACACACATGATCGGTCTTCCAATTCTCAGCCATTTGGGCTGGGTACAGCACTAAGACAAAATTAAATAAAAGAGTAAGAAATATTTACGATAGGCCTAAAAGTAAAAAAATCCTTAGATTTCTTTACAAGAACAGTGTTGTCAGATCAAGAACGACATTTTTTCTTTACTAAAGTTAGCATTGTCAGGGACTAAGCTGTCTAAAACATCATGTCAACGCATTGGATATTGTCGACAATGTTGACGCTCAAATTATCAATGGATTTTTACCACAGCCGCAAAGGCCTATTTTAGAACACTGCTTATCAAGCAGCCTAGTATAATAGATGGTTAGTATCATTCTCATATAGGTAATATTCTGAACTATTGCCTGACTTAATTTAAAGGTAGGCCTATCTAGGCCTACTTAACTAAAATATCTGGGCTAGGTTATATAATTTGTATTTCTCTTACTTAAACCTACACGTGATTTGTTAACAACGAATATAAATTTTTAAGTACTTAGTTCGAATAGGCCTATAAGCCACAGGCTCTTAGGTAAATCTATACCTACCACATATTTTACACAGCTAAAATTTAACCTCATAGCCTACACTCGTACAAGTAGTGTTTTTACAACTCCTGCTTTTGTTTAGTCAATGAGACTTATTGAATACTGACTTTAATGATTACATAGTTCCTAAATTTTAGGGGGAACATAGTAAAACAGATTGTCAATACATCTCCACCGAAATTCCCAAACAGGATGAATCTTTTAAAACTTTTGACTGAAATCTTTAAATGATATTTATGTTTGAAATACTTGATGTCCCCCACAGTTGGATTCCATAAGTCCAAATTGGCTTCAGAATTACTTTGTTTAGAAATTAAATGTATTTTCCGTGGTCAATTTTGATCTAGGTACTATTCAGGAGCCATGAAATATTTTTAAATTTTATATCTAAATTTAAGCCCCTTGGTGTGTCAATAACAAAATTCTTTACAAGGACAGTGAAATTCTGACGGTTGAAGAAAAAATTTAGTGTTAAATACCTAAAAAAAGTTTGAAAATCACCCTAATCATGTGGCTCTAACCCTCTTGGACAATATTACCGCTACATACAGACTGAAAAGAACTCATGTTTCAGACCTCAGCTCAAGCTCTGTTTAAAATTTAATTTTATATTGTTTTTTTTTTTTTTTATTGAAATACTTTTAAGTCAGGTCTGTTGATAAATAGACATCGTAACATTTTATTAATTGTTAGGTATTTTATTTGCTGAATGTTCCAAAAACTGAATGGATTATAAATAAAATTGTGTAAAAAAATTTCCAAACAAACACAAGTAATGTTTTTAGCGGATTTCCCATATTGGGAATTGTAGGTACCGTAGGTCTCATGGGAAGACCTGGACCTGGGACTGATTTACTTTTTCTTATATACCCAGAGGCCAAAAAACACCATCCTTTCAAATTCATATTTACATAACCAATAGGCCTACACAATACACAATACATAATATATATAGGCCATAGGCTACATGAGTGTGTCCGTTAGTTGGACGTTGGTTTAGGACACTTTTTAGGATACAAATTGGTTTACTTATAACTGTCCGTCCACGCATTCAATGGCGAGGAGTTAAATCAATTGGCATGTATAAACAAGAGAAATTGGCTCTCTCGTGATTGAGATTGTAAATAACTAAATCGGGTTTTGGCGGGCCTAGCAGTAGCAGCTTTAACTCAACTCTCTGTTCAAAACTTACCACCTCACCACTTGCATACTTCGTAGAAATGTTTTTCACCAAATTCATAGTTCATTATTAGCACTGAACTACACTTCTAAAGAAACAATGGTACCGTAGCCTATATTAATTAATCAACAACATGAATACCGGCAGCGGGGCACGATAAACATAACGTCACTAAACACTACAGTATTCACTATTGGTCTGATCTCTAAATAATTGGGTTGGCAACTTGACAGATCGAGATCGCTCGCTGTTCCCAGCCCTTGTTGTGGCAATAGTTTAAACTACTGTTTGGACGGAGTCCCTAACGCCCTAGGCCTATATCTGTTATATTAGAGCCTGATGCAGGGCTGTGATTGGTTGAATATTTCCATGCAGTTTATATGGGATTTTGGACTCATACCTACTGAGTCCCGGCGTATTACCTGTTGCAAAAACATCTAGCATCCATTACTACCCGTCCTAAGAACATTGACCCTACTGACGATTATGTACATTGAATGTATGATTACAGATTATTTTTAAGTAGTTTTGTTCCTTTTGTGTTGAAAATGGGGGGACTCTGTCCCAGAGTCCTTCTGGACCAGCCGCCACTGAAAATTGGATCCCATCAAACTAAACTGAAACCCACAACTACACCATTAAAAAAATCACCTAAATTTACCACAGCATAGACTAAAAAAACTGCAAGTGAACCCCAACGTATAGAGGGATAAAACTATGCAACCTACTCCGAAATAGGCTTAAAAATATTCAAGGCACAAGGAAATTCTTTACCCAACTGAAAAACTCTCCTTGAACGCCCCTCAACTACCTCAACATTTAAAAAAAATATAGGCCTACTGTCGGAGAAAAAAGTTTAGACACTCGAGTTTGGAGCTCTACAGAAAAGTAGGCCTAACCAACTAACTTAGAAAAACAAGTGGTATATATAAATTTTCGTTGTTTTATTCTACGTATTCCTGTGAAAACAAAATTTTTTAGCTCGTTTAGGAAATTTTTTATGACAGTCGGAAGGTAAAAACTGCCTGGTTTTAGAGTACCAAAACCCATCTTATGACTTTGAAAATTTGCACAATGTAAACTAAACGGCAGAAATTTATCAATCTTTAATACAATATGGACACATATATAATGAATTAATTTCTGTAGTTTCAGAATTTTTACTCTTTTTACCAAAAAAGTTTTTGTTGTAAGTTTTGTAAATCAACTTTTTCTCAAAAATGGCAAACGCTAGAAAAAAAATTATAAGCTTGTTTCGAAGGTGATTGTTTTTGTATTTGAAATATTGGTACTGCTCAACCAAATTGTTACGCATGTTATTTATATAAATTAATAAAAAACTGGATGATCTCGAGCCTGCAAGGGGTGCAAACGCCATCGCCCGCTCAGGAATCCAGTGCAGTGTTGCCACGATGGCAAGAGATAGTTTCCCGCAGGTTGCTGTTAAGATGTTTAATGCCCTGCCAAAATGTTTAGTAAACATGGAAGATAAGGTTTTCACCAAGAACTTAAAGGAACTTCTCCTAGCAAATCCATTTTACTCAATTGAAGGATTTTTTGAAACCTCAACAACACTGTCGCTAGCATAAGCATCCACCGCCGCTGCGCAGTCAGTATATTTTAAATGTATGTTTATTTAATTGTAAAATTGTAAATAGTAGTTTTTAATTATTTTGACGCTATCTATCCGGCCCAGGCTGGTCAACGATGAAGAGGAGGTATTTCAGGTATTTCAGGTAGGTATGGACCTTGACCGAGCGTAAGGTGATTCACGCAGTGTGTGTCACTGACTGACTCACATGAAATATCATGTTTTGCATTCTTACAAAGGGTCGAAAGTATTACCACCCCAAATATAGGTGCTAAATCTAAATTGTCATATTCGGAATATGCAATGATTGTCTGTGCTATAGGCCTATGTTTTTTTTTTAGAAGTGTGGGAGTGACGATGGAGGTCCAAAGCCCTCATTAGAAAAGGTGATGGGAAATGGTTAATAATTAATAATAACTGCTGTTCAGTTTTGACTCAACAGTTCGCAGCCCATCGCTGCTCAGTGTCCAGGGGTTCAATTTGGCAGCACTGTACGGGGTATGCGCCCAGTCAGAGCCGGTGGCAGTCTGGAAGTGCCGTATTCAGCCTCTGCACTATCCAAATTAAATGTTAACTTATATAAATAATAGGCCTATGCGTAACAATTTGGTAGAGCAGTATCAATATTTCAAATACAAAAACAATCACCTCCAAAAATAAGCTTTTAAATTTGTTTCTAGCGTTTGCCGTTTTTGAGAAAAAGTTAATTTACAAAAGTTACAACAAAAAATTTTTGGGTAGAGTAAAAATTCTGAAACTACACAAATTAATTCATTATATATGTGTCTATATTGTATTAAAGTTTGATAAAGTTCTGACGTTTAGTTTACATTGTGCGAATTTTCAAAGTCATAAGATGGTTTTTGATACTCTAAAAACAGGGAGTTTTTACCTTCCGACTGTCATAAAAAATCTCCTAAACGAGCTAAAAATTTTTTGCTTTCACAGGAATACGTAGAATAAAACAACGAAAATTTATAGGCTATGTACCACGTGTTTTTCTAAGTTAGTTTGGTCACTTTTCTGTAGAGCTCCAAACTCGAGTGTCTAAACTTTTTTCCCCTGACAGTAGGACCTTAACGACAAGACCATGATACACCACAAGAGTAACTTAACTTAACTTACATTCAAGAACGCACGTTTAAGAAAAATATAGTCAAAGACCTAGAAAATGGATGCAATTTGACGATTCCCTGATCGGAAGGTCGTGACAAAAACATTTGAAGTAAGAACCAAAGCCAAATGTCTGGCAGTGTAAAATAGCTTAACCCTCCGAGTGTCCATAGTTTAGGCCTTAATGTCCACCTATTTTTGGCGCATTTGCAAGGTTTTATTAAAACAGATCTGAAAAGCTTAAAACAATGTTAATTCTACTGTTCTATATACCATTTTGTTTGGAAAATCATGGGCTTCAATATTATACATAAAACATAAGGAACATTTGTTTAAAAAAAAATTGTTAGGTAAAAAAAAATATTTTGGAAAATTTTCAAAAAAAAATAAGTTTGCGCTCAATGAAATTGTATAAATTATAGGCCTATAAATATTTGAAAATAGCCACGTTGTTCTAAATTGTATGAGGATTACAAATATATAATAATATAAGGAAGTAGATTTGCAAATAAATAAGTTATGGGCAAAAAACAGATTTCAGTACATAGCGTTTAGCTAAGAATGCATAGCCTAACCATAGCTAGGAATCTGGCTGATAATTTACATCAATATCACTACCTACTTCTTCAGGGTCATCAACCAGCCCTTCAAAATCACTTAAATCTTCTTATAATGCACCACGTATATCCCTACTTTTGATTTTTAACACTAAAACAATGATAAACGTTATAAAACACATCAGTCATCGGTCCGAGGTTAACAAAGCTGTTTAAAAATACGCACGTCAGCTGTCTGCTACAATATTTTCGGAACTAAAATGAATAGCGCTTAGAGACAGACCTCCGGAGAAAGCTCTGAATCTAACAAAAAGAACGATACCTAACTCGATCCAGTTCAATCCGATTCAGTCAGTCATAGAGCCTTCGCCGTAAACGATGTTCGTGTGTCGAAAAATCGACAAGTGACACTACACAAAGTGTGTCGTGAGTCGATTTCTCGACAAGTGACGCTCGGAGGGTTAACTTAATAATTTGTTGCTTGGTTGAGAGCTCAAAAAGATGTAGAGGAAAACACTGTCATTATTATGTTAGGATAGAAGATGGACTATCAAGGGTTGTACTGGATGCTAGCATTACCATTTTAATAGAACTGTGGTCAAATTAAGGTCCAAGATAATCCCTCCTAGTCATAGCATAACTAAAATGACTTCTGCTAGACCTAGTTCAATTAATAGGTAGGGCATGATAGCATATCCAAACGCTAGGTTATTATATTAGGCTAGGACCTTTTTTAAGAAAAGTTGGAAGAATCTAAAAACATAATTCTAGTAGGCTCTACCGCGATCAAAGTACATAATAGGCTATAACTAATAAAGCCTAGTCTACGATTAAACAAAACATTTTATTTGTAAAATTATTGCAACAACTTACCTTTCGCAATGCGTTAACAAAAAGTCCTTTCCACTTGACAGCATTTTCTTCCCTTTCAAAATCGTAATTTTGTGGATCTGAAGATGATGGAGCACAAAACATAGCTAGATAATTAAAAACAATACGAAATTATTATTAACATTATCGTAATTAAAAGATGGCCGTCATACTGATAGTTTAGCTTAACTTAAGAACAAGTTATATTTTAACTTATGATCGGGGAGGAATGGATAAAACTTCTTGAAGAAACACTTCCTCTCGTTATGATTCCACAAACAAAATAGACGTCAAATCGTTTATTGTGATTCAGTATAGGTCTATTAACTAACATTTTGCTTCAGAGCGCCTACAAACTAGATTGTTACTGTTACTACGATGTTGCAGGCGGCTGCTGCTGGCTGCTACGCTAATATAGTAAGAAGACGTGATGGAAATATAGAATAAGAAACAGTGACAGGTGAAAAAGAGAGAAGCATCTAATAACCGAACCGTTGATTATATTATGTTATGTGTACAATAATGAATAATATATTACATATGTCATAATTATTATTATTATGTTTGGTTTTGTTGATGTTGTTGGAAGTTCTAACCGAATAAGCCCTCTTTCACACCAGCGCGGTACGGGAACCGTCCGGCAACGGACGAAGCAGTTTAGACTATTGAATCATATGGGAGCTTTCACACCAGTGCGGGTTCATTCCGTAGAATTGTAGAATTGTAAAAATAATTTAACAGACAAAATGCATGGATTTCAATCGGCAACAACAGAAAACAGTTTTTATTAAACAGGACAGAGACTTTGAGAAAAAAATTAAACATTGGAAAAAGTCGTCGCATGTGTCCTGCCACTTTACGATAGCTGCATAGATTGTGTGTTGCTGTTTTCCCTTAAATCAGCCGACCTTGGTCCTAGTTTGAAGGAGTCTTGAACTGGATTTGGTGGAGAATGTCAGGACAGTCGACTCTTCAATTGATAGTCTTGTGCAGCAGGACAGTGTCAGCTAGTCAGTCTATTTCCTCCAGTGACTGAGGACCAAGTGCCAAGGATATAGTGTAAATTGGCACCTGAGAGTATGGGAAGGGAAACCCCTTTAGGCCCAACATACAAACAAATCTTTGTTGGATATTTCCTCCAGCTCATTAATCAGAAACCTTTGATGAGGGCTCCACACTGGTGAGCCATATTCAAGAATTTGCTTCACCAAGGTCACAGAAAAGGGACTTCAAAAGCTTCTGAGCTGCTGAGCTGCTTTGAAAAACAGAAGATGAAGCCCAGCATGCTCTTTCCCAGACAGCACAGAGTTATCTATAGAATATCTTATAAACATTTCACTTGGATATTTAAGATATCCATAGATGATCAATATACAGATATTTATATTTGTTAGATATTGTGAAGAAGTTTAAATGTCACTAATTTCTACTTTCAACAGATATTAGATTTACAATATCTTAACAACTTCTAAAACTTGAAAATATACGGATCTGCTGACAGATCACAAAAAAAATCTAATAAATGCATAAAAACACAAAATAATTAAGATTTAGTCTGAAAATCACATTTATCAGTTGAGTATTTTGATTAAATAGTTCATAAAAACAATTAAAAAAAAACAACTAGAAAAAGTTGTTTATACCCGGACAGGTCTCGAACCGGATACTTTCAACTTATGAATCTCTTATCTTACCTGTGAGCTATCTGTGATTGTTGATATTACTAGTTTTCAAGCAGTTAAAGAGGAGCCAACAGCGGCAACAGCTGCAATGGTCGCAATACCTAAATATTTTTGATACTATATTCGGTTTAGGCATCAAGTTGTTAAATTAATTGTTTTTCTGGGAGTTGGGGAGAATACTGATATCTGAATATAGATTAATTAATTACCATTAGCAATGTTATTATAATTGTTATATGATTAATTAATATTTTCCCTTAAATTGTTCAACCAATAAAATTTACTCAAATAAGTTAAATAATTTTAATTAAAATAAAATATTTGCATCATTATTACTATTTTTATTATTATAAGCAGGTGTATTATTATTATAAAAAGATGTTTAATCATACATTCAAAGTCAATGGTATAATGTTTTTACGGAAAGGCTTAACAGTTTTTTTGGGGTTTCTTACATCTTTTGGATCGTGCGAGACTTGTGTTATTATACCTATATTACCTGGTGTAATGCACATTTTTTCCCTTCTGACTAAAATATTTTGACTTTAATGAAACACTCCCTTTGGAAAAGTGCAGTCATTCACATAAACATCAATAATGCAATTTATTGTCCACTTTGGGCTGATTAAAATATTTTGATTTTTTAACGCGTAGCACGGATTAGGGTAACGGAGACAACATATACTATAATTCATCCTACCAAAATAACCACATATAAACTACAATTAAGATTTAGTTTGATTTGTGTTTGTTGATTTGTTGGATGACTTTAGATCCTGTGTTTTAATAAGGCTAACTGTAACATTCAATATTCTTGATTGAAACAATAATGCACTTATCAGCATTTATCGTCTTTATAATCAATCTCCAATTGTCAATGTAGGATTGATATTTAAAGGATATCTGTTCGTAGATATCTAGTACTGAATATATGTACAATATTTTTAGGATATTGCATCTAAACATTTTACAGGGTTAGTAAAAACTCTTGAGACCCCCTGTTAATTTTTTAACGGCCCATAATAGAAAAACTCAACTCGGCACACCTTTATGGCATGTTATTAAGAACTTTTTAGGCATAACCGCCACTTGGTGTACATCCCCAAAATGGGGGATTTTGGGGGAAACTCAAAAATTTCAAATAGTAAGGCCCATCGAATGATCCCTCATTTTGAAGGTCCTGGTAAAAAAAACCAACAACACAACTATAGGTCTCTATATCAATCCAATAAAAAATGGCAGCCAATTGAAGTTAAATTTAACTTACAGCTTTCCAAGTCGCCCCACAGATTTGCTTGAACCTACACTAAGAATTGTCCAAAACTATAGTGGTTTCTGAAGAAATGCTGGAGGAATTTTTGATAGAGTTTTCAAGTGACTAAAAAGGAATGTCAAGTAGGACAAGGAAGTCCCTTGCAGGATTTTGTTTTCAAGAAATGGAAAAAATGTCTTTGTTAAGTTAAAATGGCAAAAGATAAGCTGTGTTTTGATGTGCTATTTCTATTTATATATATAGGGTGAATATTATTGAGTTAGTACTATTTATAAATTGGGACGCTTTCATTGCCTCACCCTGTACATTTGTTAAACTGTACAATTTAATGATAAATATGCAACAATCGATGGTGTAACAATTAAAGTTTAACTTGAGCTTCATTGTATCTTATTAAAAATCTCAAGCTGCTTATTTGTGTGGTTTCACTTATGTTATCACCATGGGGAACGAGAAAAAAATGTAATTACAAGAAAACCCGAGACAACATGCAAATACCCCCTTTATTATTTTTCTTAAATTGATTTCTGATACCTAACTAACAATATGTCACACAGGAGAATTTCAGATATCACACATCGATGTCTCAAAAACAAACTGGTTTCACCTCTATCCTATCCTGATAAATAATGTTATGACGAGTATGGGGAGGGAAGGATGTAGTGCATGATCGCGAGCGCGAGTTCCATATTTGGAGCTCTTTAACCGACTGCCACAAACAAGCTCCTCGGTTTGGTGGTAATATACACATTGCACCGATGCTGACGCTGACACCTCTGGTTAGCAGAACAATCAGGCCACACACCCCATGCCACGACCAAACCATCATCAAGTAAGATTCAGCCATCAGCAGTGCATGTGCCGAATATGTTTGTAAAACGAAACAATGATGTGCTCCTTTCGGGTCGCTGTCTACTTGTACCGGTGTCTAGTTGTACCTGCTGCATTTACAACTTGACGGTGGTGCGGACGTCTAGTTGTACCTACGTCTAGTTGTCTCTACGTCTGGTTGCACCTCTTAAAATGTGCAAGTACAACTGGTCAGGTACGCCACCGTCTATTTGTATCTCATACGTCTGTGTCTAGTTGTACCTACGACTAGTTTTACCTACGACTAGTTGTCCCCACGTCTAGCTGTACCTACGTCTAGTTGTACCTACAACACTAGTTGTACCTAAGACTAGTTATACATACGGCTAGTTGTATCTGCTAGTTCGCATCTGTACAAGCCAGGTGACACTACTTGTCGGTGGCATACACGTCTATAGTTGTACCTACATCTGGTTGTACCTACGTCTAGTTGTACCTCTTAAAAATCTGCAGGTACAACTAGTCGGGTGTGCCACCGCCTACTTGTACCTAAGTCTAGTTGTACCTACGACTAGTTGTCCCTAGGTCTATGAGGTACAACTACACATAGGTACAACTAGACGGCGGTACAAGGAGACGCGGTCCCCTCCTTTCACACTATCTGATTTTGCTTGTCCGAGTAAAAGTTCGATAAGGGGCCATAAGCTCCAATGGTTGACTAAAAGACCGTAAGAAGCTTGCAAACCGTGAAAGATGCAGTGCATTTAGCTTCTCAAACTAGCTTTGGCTAAAAATAAAGTTAAAATCACTTTCAAAATATTTTGGCAATCTGTTGTTTAAAATTGAAATTTTTAACAAGTAATTTCTATTAACCTCTGATCATACAATACTTTAAATTTAAAGTAAAATGGTTTCCCTTAGTTTTTGTTGCCTAATTTCTTGTATAAGTTCTTGTAGGTAAGATGTTTGTGTCATCCTATGCTTTTATCCACATTTGTGTGGCATCTTCAGGGGTCTTCCCATGAATTCATAAGAAGATTGGTTTACCTGATATTGTTTTTTGAAAGTTAAAAATAGTTAAACTTTTTATTTACCATGTATATGTTTCAAAACCATCTAGAGAACTAATCATTATATTCAATACCTTCTGCCACTATATGGGTATGATTTTTAAAATAGTGGCTTACATTTGTTTTTAAAATTAAAATTGACATAACTATTAATGTTGATAGATAAATCTACATGACATAAATTGAAAATTGATTGAAAACTTATACTTCAGTTCTGAAGGTACTGTACTTGAATTGATTCAAAACTTTTAATAAGTGTTGAGTTAAGTTCATTGTTTGTTTATACAAAAACCCTTTATGGAAATCCCCAAAGTTTCATTTAACAAGAAAAGAAGGAAGACGTTGGTCAAGAAGAAAGTGTAATGCCATTCAACAGTCATGCTTTGATAACAACAGTATCAATTTACGGTACTGTTTTATTGCTCAATATCCTGTTTACTAGATGTGGTTTACAGAGATAGTATGATACAGAGGATACAATGTTATGGGACAACCTTGCGCTTTTAGCTCTTGAATGGTGGGGTGGAAATGAATTAGTACAGAGCAAGGAGAGCTGGAACGGCGATGGCCACATAGCTTTTTGTACAGCAGTTGTAGCGCACAGGTCTCCCTCCAGCGTGAGCAATTTAGTACGTGATGGTGAGGGGGGAAAAGAGCGGGAGGGGACAAAGAATAGAATTTGCTCCAGACTTCAGCGACTAGTTCTAGGCACCACTATAGTGTACCATTGAATGTATCCTTTGTATCTTACTTCACTGTGATTAAGCTGAAAATCCAAAGGATGAACAAAAAGACTGAATTTTATCATATGAATTTTTTTCAAAAGTACAAATCATGCGGCAAAGTCAAGAAAGAGACTTAACTAGCTGATTCATGACTACAGTACAGTTTGATGTACTATTCGTCTGACGAGGTTCTGTCTTTGAGCTGGAAGGACGATGCAAACTCCTTTGCAGACTTGGCAGTTTGTCCCTCAGCTGCTAGGTATTGCTCTACCCCAGTGTTGGAGTGGGAACCACAGATACCACACAAACGACCCTGCAGAGCATTCCCTGCCTACAAACATAAAATGTGACAGTGATTATAATATCATCACAATATAAGTTTTTTAAGCCCATGTTTTCAGCCCAAAAACTATGTATTGACATTACGTTAATGTATATAAACACATAATGAATAACAGAAGTAGTTTAATTTATATCAAGGGTTCAAATTACTTTTTGGGGTAACTCATGAAATGTTGATGAGGCTGTCACATTTTTTTTTTATAAATGCAAAACTTAGCCTGAGGCGTATATCAGACTAAAATTGCTATTATAGATCATGTCATTATTTTGATGAAGGAAATATCGTAGTTTTTTTTTAAATGATGAATCTAAACTTAAAATTTTTAGGACTTTTGTCAGACAACTGTCTTATTTTTTTTTTACCACAGACAATATATGAAACCAGACATTGACATCACCTTATGTGAAACATAAAACGTTAATCCTCACCTTGACAACAAGAGAAGAGTCAGTGTATCGAAGGACGAGGTGGTCGTAAGGCAGTTGGATACGCAGGGAGGAGTCCGGAGTATACACAATGTGCATCACCACACGGCCCTGTTTGTCACTCACTACCATCACGGAGTGTTTCACATCCAGAAGCTGAAGTTTGTCGTTGAAATACACCTTGGGTCCCTCTTCAACTCTCAGCACAACCGAATCGTCTTTGTTGATTTCAATTTTCTGAAAAAATGTAATGTTAACTGTAGGAATTAAAATGTCACATTTTCAGAAGGAGCAACTATGCAATACATAACTGTACCATAGACTGTTAAGACATTAAAGTATTTTCTTCTTTGCAATATTTTCATTTAATAGCATCATGACTCAAAAGGCAAATCACAAATATGTAGTTTTAAATGTTTAAGAATCATACATACAAATTAATATTTACAAATATATAATTATTTTTCAGTGTGGCAGATCGTGTGTAGATATATTAATATATAGTTGGAGATTACTTCATCGTTGGGAGGGTAGGGTAGTCGTACACTAATCTAAATTACTGTACTGTATTTACATATTTTCCGAGATTTCTTCATTTCTATTGTGTCACCAGTTAATAAATAATACATATACATCACGAGACATGGCATGAAAACATTTAAGCACGAGCATGGCTAAAAATCTGATGACCGACTGATCAAGCCTTATCACTAAAAGAGTAGGTGGACGACTGCTGTGATAACACGTGTACCAACTTGGCTGCAGGCTGCTCTAAATTATATATTTGTCCTGTTTAGTTTATAATAGTTTCTAAAAAATTGGATTGGCTGCTGAATTTGTCTGGGAATTAATGACCAAGTTGTATCCTTTGGCTGTACTGGTATAGATGTGGACATTTTCAATACAATTAAGTTTGTGATCTTTGCTGCCAATATGAAGTTTCTAAACTATCAATTTCAGAATAGTCGTGTCAATACTGTTGAATATGCTCAGCATAGTTTGAGACAGGATTGGGCTTCTTTATAGGGCTTATGTGTTCTTTATGTGGGCTTTAAAAAATCTACCAGTCTGTCCAATATGTAATAAGAATCACATTCTCCGCACTTGGCTTATATCCCTGAATTTTCTAATAGGCATAGTATTCCTTTGTTGTTTAGCTGACAGCTAAGGTCATATATTGGCAGCAAAGCTCAAAAACTTAATTGTATTGAAAATGTCCACATCTTCACCAGTACAGCCAAAGAATCCATCTCAGTCATTAATTCCCAGACAAATTCAGCAGTAAATCCAATTTTTGAGGTAATACTGTAGTACAAATTAAACAGGACAAAGGTATAATTAGAGCAGTTGGTAAAGGTGTTATCAGCTGTTCCAGTCTGCTACCAACTCTTGCAGTGATAAGGTTGGATCAGTCGGTTGTTAGTTGCACGAGCTTAGATGTTTTCGTGGTGTCGTAAAACGGCCGTGGTGCTATAATTAACAAATCAGAATTGGGAAGATAGTAAGTAACCTATATATATTTATATAAATATATAATAGTAGAAAAGAGCAGTTTGTTCCTAAATTAATGTAAAAATAAATCCTTAACACGTTGGGTGCTGATGACGGGAATTCCCGCAGTTGCTTAACATTGAAATAAATGCAACTTTTATGTTCAAACATGTCGACAGCACAAATAGTGTTAAGCTGTAACTTAACAACATTCCTATTTAAGTTTTAAAGCTTCAATTTTATTCAAACAACGGGATATAGTAAATTCCTAAATTTTTTTAAACATAGTTCCAAAATCCAAAAGTAGATTAAAAATGTTAAAGTTGAACATAAAGCACTACCTTGTGGTAAGTGTGAGACTTTTTGGTATTGCCGAAGGTGGTAATTACATATTATAATGTTATGTAGCAAATTATAAGGACATACCATGGTATTGTTACTTGATGGTTTGGCTAGGACAGAGATTCCATATTTCCTTGTACGATCGTGTAAGACAAGATGCCAAACATCCTTCATTTTGTAAAGTGACTCTCTTCCATCAAATGTTCTGAATCGCTTCGAGGAGACACCACAGTATTCTGAAGTAAAAGACATTTGTTACTTCCATATTTTGATAATCAAGAATTTAAGTTTATTGCAATATAAATATCACAAATTGCATGAGCATGATGTCTTAGGAATTTGTCGCTAGCTACTAAAAAATAGCATGGGCCTAGATAATTACAAAAGTTATTACTACTGTTAAGAGTGCTTACAAAGTGAAAGTCAACAAATAAAACCACCTCAATGCTTTCAGATTGTTTAGGCTGCGTTTACATTGGAAGCACGCTTGGGCAAGTAAAATGGTAGCGCACGCTTGCGCAAGCGTGCCGTGCCCGAAGTTGTGGTTATACTACGAGCAACCAAGCGCAAGTGCCACTAGTCTCAGCAGGACAGTACAGCCAAAATTGACATGTCGCACGATGAGGATATTGTGCTAGAGAATGGAGTTTTGAAGTTTGTATTATTATTAGACTCTGAACGAGTAAGGGGGGAATGGGTAAATGATTTTTTATGGATCGAGAAGAAGGAAGGGAGTATGCCCGGATTTTTGCTGATCTTCTGCAACAACCAGATAAGTTTTATGAATATTTTAGAATGATGCCAGAAACATTTTACCACATTTTAAAGAGAATAACACCAAATATTGAAAAGCATTCCAACTTCAGGAAGTGTATCTCTCCCGAAGAAAATCTGATGGTTACGTTAAGGTAATTGAAAGGGCATTATGTGTACAGTATTATTGTAGTAGTTATTGCTAACAATTACATTATGTTGTGAATAAAAACAAATTATTACTGTGTTATTTTCCACTGTTCAAGAAATCAAATAATTAATCACTAAAATCTGGTGGAAAAATACATGAAATACAATAATTAATTAGGCAATGGGAACCCCTGGTTGTAGCCTAAAACTAATTGATCCTATATAATTGGTCTTCTTGCACGAACAGCATCAATCAACACCTCCGTATCCATGCTGAACAACTATAAACTTTACCAACAGACACAACCGATGCTACTGTGTCGGTGAACCACAACAAAACTGAGGCACGCTTGCTTGTAGAAACAAATATTTTTGTTTCGTGATTTGAGAAGCGCAAGCTTGTCCCAGCGTGCGCCTGCTAGTGGCGAGCACTGTAACCACCACTGGTCAAGTCGCCACCGGTTTCCAGCAATCTGCTACAATTTTGTTTCAAAGGGCAAGCTTGGCCAAGCGTGCGCCACCATTTTACTTGCCCAAGCGTGCCTCCAATGTAAACGCAGCCTTAAGGGTAGTGAGGTATTTAACACAGTATTTTGAAATAATGTAGCCTATGTCACAATAACATTAAGTTTTATGTGAGGACAGAAAAATGCATTAAATTATTTTAGCAAACTGTTAGTAAAACATACCGGGTGTCCGAAAAAGAACTCCCTAGTTTTAAAATTTTTTTATTTAGCCTATTGTACAATATACAAATTACAATGACTGATACATTAAATGAAAGTTAATGAAATTAAAGTTTTTTTAACACTGGTACACCTCGATATGCGAACCATTTGTAGCTCTGCAGATATCAAAGTGATTTTTACTCATTTTTATCATTATTTGTTATCATTATTATTATTTATTACCAAAACTACGCTCAAGGTCAAACAGGTGTACCAAACTTATAGGTATATATAGTCAATGCTAAAACTTACAAGTATACTCTACAGCACCAAAGGATTAATACTCATCCATTTAAACTAATACTATCGTGAGGTATTTTTGAGACTAGGGAGCTCTTTTCATACACCCATTATTATCAGTTTATAAAGTAGGTAGACAGAGTGAATAGAATATTTTTTACAGTAATAGGCCTATTACAAAATTTTGTAAATGTATTTTTCCATTTTATTCTTGATATAATGGCAGCGCTCAACTTAGAGGACGTTCCAGGACCGATAAGTACCTAATTCAAATACAATTTTTTTATTTTGTATTAATGATTCAATACAACATAAGAGAGAGAAGTTATGGGATTGTAGAGGTAAAAGAAGAGGGGAGTTCAAGCTCCTGAATTGTTGTGTGTTTCCAGTAAGACCTCAAATTGTTGAAATCATGCACTTGATATTTACCAATGACCGTTGTGCCAGTATTTTGAATACATAAATGGTAAAAAACTGGACAGCAATTTTGAAATATCCAGATTTTTTTATAGAAGATAAAAAGTTGAATAAATTGTGGATTCTGAATTATTTAAGCTATTACATTTTCTATTTAATAGTAATTCAAGAATAAACTACCTACCGTACTGAAATATTCAAAAAAGATATAAAAAAACTGTAGTAAAATATCTTTAAGAGAGGTCTACATCTCCTCTTTCTATATTCCATCCCACGTTCAATGTAAAAGTCAGAGTTAATTGTGTTTCTTATTTTTTTGGGTGAATATACTGTAGTTTATAACAAAGTGAGAAAATTCACTTGTTACTTTTTAAACTCAACCAACCATCTGAGGAAATGATGGTAATTCTGTAAGTTTGGTTATATTTGTATAAGTGTGACTCTGTTAGTTAGGAGAGGTCTACTGTGTATACAAAGTGAAGATCTTGTCACCTGATGCAGCGTCAGGCTGAGTAGCCCACTCTGCCAGGGTGGACATTGGCAGCTTAGACAAAGGCAGTCTGTGGATCTTGGCGCTGGTCACTGGGGTGTACACAGACATTTCCACAGACCGAGTCTTCTGATCAACATCCACCAACATACTCATTGTGTTGACTCCTTCCCCGGACTTCTCCTCTGTCCCTGGTATCACTACTTTAGCAGCATTTACGTACTTCACGACCATGTTCTCCAGGAACTTTGCCTGAAAATGTCCCAATTGGATAAAAATGTCTTCAATTAATTATGGAATAACATTCATACTGAACTATTGAATCACAATGAAAAAATAAAGTTAACTAAGTTGAACAGATTGAGTTGAATTGCATAGCTTGATCCAAAAGATAGAGTGCTGCAAATAATCCAAAATGTTTGCCAGTATTTTCTCTAGATCAACCAACAAACAGATGATCCCTGAGTATGAAGTCTCATTTGATAATATTTAACCTAACAACGGTATGGCCATGGCTTACTGTGGTAAAGATTGGTATTTTTAAAAAAGTATACATATATTTGATGTTTTCTGTATGGACAGTTAAATGTCAAGTTTTTCCAAAATTTGTAACTTTTTAAACATTGTTAAATATTGTTATTGCTATGTTAAATATTAATATTGTAGCTATAGTTTGAATAAGAGTAAAAGAAGGTTTCAATTTACAAATGCATTCAAAGTAAAAATTTAAAGACCATAGTGGATCAAATTTTATGTTTATATTCTAGTAGGTCTAGTATCTTTCCTATCCAGTTTTATAATTGACTACTTTCTTGTCAAATCCATTCTATAAGGTTTTAAGAAAGAAAAATCGGGTTAAATTAGTGGTGTGACGTTTAATGGGATTATAGTTACTTACATCATTGCTGTAATATACTGAGACATTGCCGAAACTAATTTGTTGAGTTTGTTCCTTAAGCTGTTGACATTTGAACTCAATGGCTGCATCATCTTGGCTGCATGACTCTAGTAGAGGAGAGCCTCTAAGGTTCATCAGCTCAGTTCTGCTTACACCTAACTTTGTCTAGAGGGGTCACAATCCAAAAAAATGTCAAAACAGCATGACAATGAACTGTAACTTGTTCTTTATAATTTTAGAACAACAAATAATAATCAACAAAGTCACACTATGACTATAATAATAAGGAAACGTACAATTTGATGGTGGGATTTGGAGAACAAACGCCAAAGAACCAGGAAAAAATAAAACTTACAAAAAAAGGAAACACTATTAGCAAACTGAAACATTGTTTCCCTCATTAGCTTGTCAACCCTTTTAATCGGTAAGCAGTGGGAGTACCTAACTATGATGTTTTATGGGTAAAATCACAAAACTGCAGTGACTTTTTAACCGTAATATTTACAGCAATTGGAGATTGTGCCAATTCGTTTAGGGTTAAAAGAACCAGAATATACTAAACTTAAATAAATATCATTCAAACAGTTTTGTGTAAATTCAATTTTTCGGTTAGTTGATGGGTTTTTAGGCCTATAAGCTAGGGTAATCACACACACAGATATAACTATCCTAGAAACCCACTTTTTGGGTCCAGGAGGGCCCAAAATATAATATTTCCACTCAAAACTTGAACTCAAAAATCTCGACAAAACAATACTTTCTCCATGTACTATATGTAAAGGGGGAGAAAATAAAAATTTTAATCAGATAATTTTAGCACAAAAAAGGGCTCTGAAATGGTAATTTCACACTTTTAACGGCACGGCACAATTTTTCTAGAAACACACGAATTTGATAAATTTCTGAGTTTATTTTATGTTTGCTATTTTTTCAGCAAGAGTCAAAGATTTGTAGGTCTGTGGGTATGTGAATGTGACTTTGCTACTTGGTTTTACAATGGTCGACAATAGCCAGGGCTGCCCCTAGGGTTGGCGGCACCCGGAGCAAACGTGGTCCCGGCGCCCCCTCCCCCCCAGTAATAATAGTCGCATTCGCATATTTCAATACTATGTTAATACAAATAGCCTCATCGCCCAGGGCAGCCTGCCCCGGTTGCCCCCCCCTTTGGACTGCCCTGACAATAGCTATAAGCTAACTCAATAAATTTGAAACTGAAAGATAAAACAGTGTTCAGAGGTTCATTGTGAATAATCAACTGACTTAGTTAGCTAGCCAAACAAGAGTTAGCAGGTAGAGAGTGGGCCAGAAGGCGACTAGTGGCAAACAATTTTGTGGCTATATATATGACGGAGTAGTGAAAAAGGAATTACCTTGACTGGGTTGTGTGGTGCAGAGTATTAGGTCTCATTCCAAAACCAGGTTGTGTTTTCATACAGTTTTTTTGGCCCATTGATCTTGTTCAACCATAGTTTTCATACTTTAATGTTGAAAAACCATTTGAATCACCCAAGATTATATTCACTATACATGAATTTGAAAATGATTATATATGATAGCTCTAAGGACCGAGGAAAAATTAATTGATTTTGCATAAAATTAAAGAAGTTTTTCGATTAAAGAAGATTGAACCAATCCCCTTCCACTGTAGCTTACATCGTAGCATGTTAAGCTTCAGAAATATTCTCAGTGAATGATTATCCAAGGAAACTGTGAGAGATTATAGTATTAGGTATATTTTTTGTTAGTTAAGGATTTTGATTAACTTACCTGCATGAAAGCCTTGATGTTTTGGTTGGATGTGGTATGGACAAAGTCTAGGAAGAGGTTATGTTGAAGATCTTCTGTAACTCTGCGCTTCAGATCAGAAGATATGTCGACTGGGTCTTCGTGTATAGCCGTCAGCTTAGTCTGTGTGAACAATTGTTAATTTACATTACATTCCTTAATCTTTAAAAGAAATTGGAACAGTGAGATTGAATTTTGATTGACCTTTCATGTATCTAAAAATAAAATCCCAATATGAATAGTAAACAATTTCACATTCAAGACAAATTTTACATTTGTTTAATGTCTAGCATAAATGTACACATATTGCAATCTTAGTCTGTGCTTACTGGTATACCAATATTTTAGTTCAACGCTGGTATACTCTGTCATTTAAATTTTAAATTAAGAAGCTATGAGTTTGGAGGATTTTCCTCAGCTGGTTTGCTTTGCAAAGCTCAATGACCTTAGATATACCAGTACTATAGATAGAAAATGAACCATATTTAATTATTAATGTAAAAGTTTCTATTCTAGCTACAGTAGAATAGAAACCATACCACCATGGTAGTATTGATTCCATTTAATATGAGTTTATTAAGTTGATACATTGTATTTTGTACACACTACAAGAATTTAAAAGAGTTAACAGTGGACCATGTAAACTAAAGAACAATCTTAATTCCACTATACCACCACCATGCTATAGTAATGGCAATAGGCTGGTACCAGCTAACATCATTGTTTTTTACTAATCATTATTTATTTTAGTTTGGGGGAAAGTTTTACATATCCTATTGATCAAAATATAAAATAATAATGGCTACAGGAATTTGGTACATACTTGACTTTGGTCTCTCTTGACGAACAGGCCAAAGCGATTCACTCTCCTTGAGTATGTCGAAGCATAGGCAACATAGGCAGATATACCAGCTGGACCACCAGCCACAGCTGACTGGATATCAACTGCATATACCACTGCACTTCCACCTAGAAATACCATGGTTTATTAGTTAAAAATCAAATAATAATACTGCTTTGTATTGCATTTTTGAATGACATCATCTTAGGAGAGCTGTCTGTATATTTAGGTATCCATTGAGCTTCTGCAGATACCAGAATGTATGTCTTACATCTAGGTCTGGCCAATTTTCTGCATACACACTTGTCAACTGGCAATGGGTTTCATTAGGAGTTGGCCCCCATCCTACATAAACCTGGTCACAAAACGTGATTCACACTTGGCAAGAGTGTCGATTTTCCCTCACAAGGTTTTTTTTAGTGAGGGGAAATGGCTATTATTGTAGAGGTTTATTTATTTATTTATATCAACGGATACACCATTTAAAAAATAATATATATTTTAGGTACAAGAGCAGAAATAAATTATATAATTTCATTGCAAATAATAATAGAAGTTCATCAAGCATTGACAAAAAAGCATGGCAACAAAAAATAACAACAAGGAAAATGAATTGAAACAAAAACAACCATCAACGTAATTCAACAAGTACAGATAATAACAAAAAAAATATTTCCTCAAAATGTAACAATATTTAAAAAAGGTTGAAGGTTGAAGTAAAGAATAAGGTGATGGTCTCAGTTTTGAACTAGGGATCGCTTGGCCGCGATGGGAGCTCCATGATCAGCCCTTGTATTTTTTAAATATCAAACCCAATAAATAACTTACTGTGTATTTTCACAATTTATATTATTATGATGGGGAATTTCATTAGGGGTGGTACTGGTATCTTTGTATCCAGCCTGATAAGTTTTGAGAATTTAAAACTGGATTGGCTCTGTGTTGAAAAGAATTTTGAATGTTCTGGTGTATTTATCAAGGCTTTTAATTTGGCTATAGTATCGGTGTACCATTCACCATCTGGAGACAGTAACATCTTTCTCGCTAATTTGGAACTGTTATTAATATTCTTAGATCGTTTCAAGAGTAATATAATAATTGGTGGTGACTTCAATGCCAAATTTGATGTAAATAATAAACTACAAAGCGTGAAGCAGCTTGTCTACACTCTGGAACAATTTAACTGTCATTACATTAACAGAGCGCCGACTAGGTTCAACGCCTGTCTCGACAACATCTTTACCAACATCTCGGAAGAGTTATATTCTTCTAAAGTGGTCTACCCTGATATGTCTGACCATGATGGGCTGGAGCTTACAGTGGAGTTGGTCCAATCTTCTACTCGACCAGAAATACCTACAGTTGTCAATAGAGACGTCTCTTTGAGGCGTTTACAAGAATTTAAATCCAATTTACTACAAATTGACTGGCTGCCTCTGTTAAACTTTGGTAATTTACCTGCTGAGGACTTATTTAATGTTTTTTTCTACACTCTTCTGGATGTTTTTTACATAAGTTGCCCGGAGAAAATCGTAAGAAAGAAGAACAAAACTTCGAGTGGTGCAGGAAAATCTTGGTACACACAGGACTTGAAAAAAATGAAAGAAAGGACTATGGCCTATCGTACAATACTCCAAGCTTCTCCTAGCGAGGTGGCACTTAAGGCATACAATTGCAGTCGGAAGATCTACAAATCGGCAGTCAACCAGGCAAAACTAGATGCAAACGACAGATCCATCGAGTCCGCTTCCAACAAAAGCCGAACAGCTTGGAACATCATCAAGAAGAGCACAACCAACAATGTTCCGGATGTCGAGGTGGGAATTTCTCCTGAGGAGTTTAACAACTTCTTCATCAGCTCAGTAGAGGAAGCCAGAAGTACCATCGATCAGCCTGATGTGTCTTCAGAGGAACTGCTTCGTTGTGAAGCTCACCTTGAATGGAAATATGAGTCCAGTGAGGAGGTTATAAGTGAAGTGCGGGCCATGAAAGCTTCAAAAAGTAAAGATGTGTTCGGCCTATCGGGTTACATAATCCGGTATATTCTGAGTGCAATATTGCTTCCTTTGGTGTTGTGTATCAATGCGATTTTTAGGGAGGGAGTTTTCCCAGGAGTGCTGAAAGTAGCAAGAGTGGTTCCTATTCACAAAAAGGGTTGCAAAAGTGATGTCAAGAATTATCGACCAGTGTCATTAGTGCCTATTTTAGGTAAATTAATTGAACGGATTGTAAAGCACCAGGTATGTACACACTTTGATAGATTTAAGCTTTTTTCTGCATGTCAGTTTGGTTTTCTGAGTGGAAGGTCAACTACGGATGCCATTGATTGCTTTGTTTCTGGGATTTTGGAAGCTTTTGAGGGAAGGAGTCTTGCTCAGGTGACTGCGTGTGATTTGAGCAAGGCTTTTGATTGTGTCGATCATGGTCTCTTGCTGTGTAAATTGGAGCACTATGGCATCCGTGGTTGTCCTCTCCAATTTTTTAAGTCTTATTTAAGTGGTCGTTCACAGTTTGTTGATGCAAAGGGTGTGCATTCCAGGTGCATTGAAGTTAAAACTGGGGTTCCCCAAGGCTCGGTCTTTGGTCCCCTACTCTTTTTGATTTCTGTCAATGATTTACCACTTAGTATTGAGGGTTCTCAAACCACAATGTTTGCAGATGATACAACGTTCCTAACTGTTCACCCTGATCTCAATAGATTAAAGTTATCTGTAGAACATACAATGAAACAAGCTGGGGATTGGTTTAGTGCCAATAAACTCCTTCTTAATGTAGACAAGACACAACACCTAGTTTGCCATACTAAAAACAATGATTTGGGCTCAGGTGTAGTTTGTAAAGAGGTTAGGCCCATAAAAGTCCTGGGTGTGTTGATTGACAGCAGCCTTTCTTGGTCAGCTCACATTGATTTAGTATGTTCAAAACTGTCAAGAGTTATTTATTTAGTGAATAGGTTAAAAACTGTTGTTTCTGAGAAATATATCCGAGTAGCCTATTTTGCATTTTTTCAGTCAGTGTTAAGCTATGGTCTGATTCTCTGGGGTAACGGTAGCAATATAAGTGATGTTTTGTTACTTCAGAAAAAGGCACTTAGAATAGTAACCAAATCAGCTCTCAAAGCCCATTGTAGACCTTTGTTTATAAAAACTAGGATATTGACTGTCATTAACCTGTACATATATGTGTGTTTACTTGATGTTAAATTAAAATTAGGAGACTTGGCTGTTAGAAAAGATTTCCATTCTCATTATACTAGATCTAACTCTCTACTTGAAATTCCGTCCCATAGACTAAGTAAATGTGCCAGTAACCATTCAATCATGAGCCTAAAGTTATTCAATGTATTGCACTCTGAGTCAAGAGCGTTGCCTGAGTTGGGTTTTAAAGATAGGCTATACAACTGGCTTGTTGAACATCCTTTTTATGTAATTAAAGAGTTTTTTGATGTAAAAGTTGTTAAGTTTTGATGTTTAATAGTTTATCTAGTATATTCTCCACCCAGCCTACAGCCTTCCTTTTACTTTTAAATTTTTACCTGTTTGTCTGTGATATTAGCTTATTAATCTAGTCTGACTGGGTTACTGTGTAACCCTATTTTACCATAATATGTGACTATGTCTATTGCAAGATTGTTTTGCTTAAGGACAATAAAGGATTTCTGATTTCTGATTTCTGTATATATAGGACCAGATGATTTGACAACAGGTGGTCTGGAGTTGACACTTGAGTAAGATAATTCAAAACTAAGTTTATTGCCACAATTTGAGTTTTACAAATATTTTCTTAGTAAACAAAAGATATTGTATTTTCTTAGAAAGTTTATATGAGGCTAATATTTGCTTGTGTCAGATTATTGTGATACAGGTAGTGTAACAAGACTGTGTACTTGTACATGTTTGTGTGTGGTTGTGATAAAAAGATAAGAAATAAAAAAATGAAGGTCCAACTTACTGTTTATTTGAGAAAGCACTTGGTCTAGAAGGTAGGAGGCTACATTATTTTTAACAGAGCTTGAGAATGGATCAACTGTAGAGGCGTTAAAACTTCCCTCAGCCGATTCATAGGTGACAGAATACACCTGAGGTGCAGGAGATTTCCAATCAACCTGAAATCAGTTTTTCTTGTGTTAATTTACAATAAAATATATTTAAAATGCACGTATAATATCCAGTAATTTACTGTCACTATTTGTCTCACTATATAAAGGGAATACTGTTTTGCTTTGACTGACACTCACAGAATTCTAAACCGCTGTAGAAATAAATTTACATTACCTATATTAAGGATATTAAAAGGTCAAATTTAGTAAAGTTTTGGGTTTTCAAGTACTAATTAATGCTTTAATTTATTTACTTAAAAATAGTGTTGTTTAAAAAACAAATTGAAATGAATTGAATTACAAAAAAAATATTTTTATTAGCATATTCAATGAAATACAGTACCAGTAGTCTATGGGTTAAGCATGACCAATTAATGTTCTTTAAAACATAATTTGAAATCCTAGATGTTTGTTTTATTTTCCATTAATACATTATTTAGATATAAAAACTGAGCAGTAGGGCTATCCAATATTTTTAAAAGGGCTTTGTTGCCTATTTTAACCTTGCATTTCACTGTCCACACATTCCTCATGCATGTGCGTAGCATGTATCCAGCAAAGCAAGGATTAAGCTGTACGTACGAGAATCAAATGTATACTGAAAAAATCTAGTTGGGAGTATCAGGATGGATTCACAGTCTGTCATACTACTGACTTAGCCAACAACTCATTGAACCGAGATAATTTTGTAAATGTTTGTGTTAATACAGGCACATCTGGATTTTGAACATTACCTTTCCTGAAATGGTAGAGACTTCATCTTTTGGGTTGTTTCCGTTCCTTGAAGCTTCATTGCTGTCACTGCCATCATTGTTCTCCATAGATCTACCGTCCGAGTTTTGTTTGTTAGTTTGTGAGTTATCTCTTTTGTCTCCAGATGGATTTTCTGTGGTAGTTGGTTCATTACTGTCACTGAAGAGTCCACCGAAAAATCTGAATGCAGCCATGACAGGACTTTGTCCGAAAGATGTAATTTTGTCCAAAGAAGATAAAACTCTGCTAATAAGTGTGTCTCTTGGGGAATCGTACTCCAGAACTCCCAAGGATTTGGATGCCATGCCTGAAGTAATATGACAAATATTAGTGAATAAGAAAATTTTACAAAATAACGCTATCCCTGAGTCCTTTTAAATGTCAGTTAGCTAATACATAACAGAACATAAGTGAAATTAATCTAAACGTACACTTTACTAAACAAATAATAAGACTCCTGAAAATGTCAATCTTTTAAATGTAAAAATTAAAAACTATAATATATGTATCCTTTTTTTATTATGTTATAGTATATAACGTAACTAGTACTGAAAATAAGTGTTTACCGGACGAGTGTGGTCGTTCACTTGCGAGACGAAGTCGAGTACGGGATTACCATACAAGTCCGGTAAACATATTTTGGACGAATGAAGTACGATAGTTTACGTCATACTACTAAATCTGTTAAAATACTTACTACCAATTAAAGGACTAACAATCACTAGTTGTTATGTTTTTGTTTATAGCCACTCATCACCAAATACAGTATAATCAGCTGGTAATTGGTGTCCGTTAAAACTCATTACAGTACAGTAAGTAATTTTTTTTGTTTTTGTCCTAGGACGCTAGGCACGAGCCTGGGATTGTTTTTCACATTATTTCAGGCTAGACCTAGGGGTTACAGCATTATCACTTAGATAAAATCTATTGGTGACTTGGCGGGGATCGGACCCGGGACTTCAGGGACTGAAGTCCTGCGCTCTAACCACTATGCCAGCTCGCTCCCCACAGTAGTACGTAATGAAACCCCATTTGATTAAGCTGGCTGCAAACAGCTGTTTTCTGGAGTAAATCCTTGCTAGGGAAGTTCGTCAAAATAGTGTAGTATGACTAAAAAAATTATGTTAGAGTATGACTGCCAAATATTTTCTAAAGCTCACTTGTAAACTTAAATAAAATTACAAGTAGTTTAGCTTCCTTTTAGCGAATTTCCCTATAGGGAAGTAGCTATTACCGTAGCGTAGGTGGCACGGTAAGACCTAGACCCGGGACCGATTTACTTTTTCATTTTGACGTTCCCAGAGGCCAAAAACACCATTCGTTCAAATTTTTATATATGTATATATATATATATATAGACATATATATATATATATATATACGTCCGTGAACGCGATAACTTGAGTAATTTTTGTCCGATTTTGATGAAATTTGGTTTAAAGGTGTAAAGCGGGATAAACTTGAATGAGTTCGCAAACCAGCACGATCGGACCATGGGAACGGGGCTTTACGGGGGGTTTTATGGGGTAAAAATTGGTTTTTCTCACTTTTGACCCTCAAAACACAAAATTTCCTGATTTCTCTTTAGACCTTTTTAAAGAGCTTAAAAAAACAAATAATTTAGTATATAAAAGTATTTTTGTTCGATTATTAGTAATGGAGAAAATTAAAAAAATTGTAAATTTAAAATTCCCATGTTATTCTTATGGAGAATATTGTCAAATGTTGTAGTTTGCTTGTTTATGAATATATTTTGATCAAACTTGGCAAATTTATTTATTTTGTACTAAGCTATCAATATTTTACTCAAAAACACACTTTATTAGTTTCCTTGTAGCAGCAAACCTAGGTACTCGTTAAACCTAATGTTATTAACATATATTTAACTGAAAATCAATTCAGACAAATGGAAATTCGCTTAGTCGGCAGGTTTGCTGCGGCGGGGGTATTTATATAATTTTTAGCAATTTAACATACAAATTTATACAACTCATTTCTTTCGAAAAAATATGACATAGGTATCATAGGTAGCGGGTTTCATGTTCTTTGTAGTTTTAGACGGAAAATTGTTTGTAAATACCTCGATAAATTGTCAACACACTTCTCAATTCTCTTTAAATCTCTCTCAAATCAACACATCCTCTTTCATTTTAGCAATTTTAGCTTGGTTAGCTAGGCAAGTTGCCGTTGGTGTAAACAATTAGGATTAATTTTAACATCAGCTATCTTTGATGCTGAACTGGAGTACCACTGTTAGTCTTTCTATGTCCTCGTCTTGTGATGTTCAAAAGGCATCACCACTCTGCAGACATAGCAACATGTGTTTTTCAACATTGCTGCTGACCTACCAATGAGTGTTAGACAGATTTTATGTTGAGTAGTAAGCTACCACTGGCCATCCAAGGGACAAAGACAACCACTGTGAAATTTATCCGATCTACTGCTCAAAATACTATGGCCTATCTTTCTTTCGGATCGCAACGGTTTTAAGAAATGTTTATGTAATTCACTAACTCATCTATAAGAGTGTGGATCACATAAATGTTTATGTTTAAAAACTACTTGCTATTACTGACTATATAAATTATTTACTCACTTAAGGAGAAGTTTGCAGTGACTGGATTCAAGGAACTCATAACAGTTTCGAAAGAACGAGGCTCCATGTTTGTAAAAAGCATCGGGAAACCAACTACACCTCTTGCTTGTTTCCAAAAGTCCATGGCATTGAAATGTTCCCGTCTCTCTGACGAGTATACAGTGTTCAGAACTCTGCCCAAACCAGAAATTGGCACCTGAAATGCATTTTCAAAGGGGCACATGCAATAACAAACAGACCAAAGGAAGAATATGTGTTTTATAACTTGTAGCTTAAAACACCGAAACACATATCTGAATATAACTAATGAACTATGTAACAAAAACTTTACGTTGAAAATCAAAGATGGTAAATTTAGTTATCTTGGTTTCTCCCTCCCATTCAGACACTTCACAACTGACGAGTCCTGGTCCAAACTAGGAATAGTCATAACCGTCTAAGGTTAAAACTAAAACAAATAAGTGACAAAACCACTCATTATCTATGAATAAATTTGTAAACTACAGCATTAGACTAAACAGTAAACAGGAATACACCAATATTTCAAATACAGCGCTTTCAGGTCAAAACCGAAATTGTGAAAACTTGTTTGTTTACATGTCTATGGACAAAGCAGCATGAGTGCATGACTCATATACAGGCACCGTAATCTTTTGAATCATTAAATTTTCAAATCATCAATCACCAATCAATCATCCAAATGGATCCAAATGAGAAGGAGTCTACTAAATACTAAATCTAGTTAATATATTACCTGTATAGATTCACCGGTCTTGATAACAATAGTGTCTGGACTCAAAAGAACAGGCTGATGAACTTTAATCTTCCGTTGGGATGTAAAAGGCTGCATGTTGAAATACAAGAGACGGTGTTGATCGATGTAATCGGTAGCAATTTTGATAGAATCACTGTTACTGTCGATGCTCGCCACCAGTCGCAGGGGAGGGAGTTGTACAAAGTTGGTCGCGTAGGCTCCGGCCATGTGAGCAATGTTATCCCAGGGACTCATCACACTCAAAGATGACATCATCTGAGCAGAATACCTATCAAGTAAATAAAGGAAACATTAAAACTAGTAACCTAAAAATGATAATTGAACCATCAAAATAATCATAAAAAGGTAAATTAAATATACAAATCAACCCAAAACCTTAATCGAGGACAAGGTTTTGTGTTGAACGGCAGAATACAAACTGATTGAGAGTTTAAGTAATTAATAAATGGATGAATGAACGGTTTATTCCACAAAAATCGCTGCATGATACAAAGGTTTCAAATCTTTACAGTAACTATAAGCTTTTGCAAACATAAAGTAATCTCAAGAATATCACATACGAAAAAAAAATTTGAACTTAAATTTTGAAGTAATAAAAACTAACAAAACCAATCGAAGTCAATACTATAATTTCACAGCCAGTATAATAATTTGTAATTAGGTCTGTGTTTTCAGCAGACATAGACAAAGCTCTACCTGAGCATTTGCTGGGTTGCTATAGTCTTTTAATAAACTAAATTAGTTTATTTGATTATTTAAACAGAAGTTGAGATCAAAAGAAATAAAAATTTAATTTCATGACGATGGAGAGATAATACAATTGGAATGAAAATGAGTGATGGATGCCTGAGCAGTGAGCATCCATAATAATTTTCCTAAAACTATTACAAAGGACTTTATTTTCCAAATATTTTATACCCTATATTAATTGAACTCACATGAAAGCGGTTTCAAAGCCCAGACCGTCCATGGTAACATTAAGCTCTGTTTTTCCACGAACAGTCCAAGGAGTACGTACAGAGAATTCTACTGGGAATCCCATTTCTGTAGTTGTTGAAATGTGGAAACCATCCATATCTGTCTTCTGATAAGAGAATGATTTTCCTTCTCTCAGGACCTCTGAAACCAGTTTGCGTCCTCCTGAAGAGAAAAAAAAATATTTATGACAAAACAGTCTATACAGACGAGAGCTGAAAAAAGGCGAAACTCTTAACACCAGGTGAGTCAATAGCTCTCCACTATCAGTCCCAGAATAAAATAGCTTGAAAAACTTTAAAAACATTGGTTTCTTATATGCTATGTTTAATGTTTTATCAAATGTTTTATGTATAGAGTTAGTTATGACAATGCATCTATTCTCAATGCTATTATGGGTACTTTGATATTATCCGGAGGCCGCTTATTTTAGAGGGATTTTTTTTACCGGAGACCAAAAATAACTACAAATTTGGAAAGAACATACTTTAATTAATTTACTGTCCAAATTTGAATTGGTTACGATTAGCGGCCTTTGAGTCCTGCCTCCCAGAAGACAGCGATGTCGGCGAGAATTGAGTTGAATGTGTCGCCACCGCTTTACTCCGTCAGGTATTTTTTTTTTTTTTTCCTAAGGACGCTAGGCACGAGCCTGGGATTGTTTTTCACATTACTTCAGGCTAGACCTAGGGGTTGCGGCATTATGACTTAGATAAAATCCATTGGTGACTTGGCGGGGATCGAACCCGGGACCTCAGGAACTGAAGTCCCGCGCTCTAACCACTACGCCAGCTCACTCCGTCAGGTATACAGCACGCTGCGGCAGTTATGTTATCACTTATCATAAATATGATTGTATGACTTTCCTCGTTTCGTTATGAATCGAACGATAGCAGATGAGTCGTACTTTCGCCCACCAAATACCCCAGATACAGACGGTGACAGGTGACGATGTGCGCGCTTCGGTCAACAACCTGACCTTGGCCTACTTGGAGGGGATTTGGTGTGTAAAGTATGACTCATATAAACAAATTTTCTCTTGCAAATCATTCAGTCATATTGATTGTAGATATATTTTTATGAGTATAAAATTTAGAGCGGAAAGCGGAAAAGTTATTATGTAAAATTTAGGATTTTTAATTGGACACACTACCTTATTTAAATTGTAATTTAAAGCAATAAAATTTCACGCTCAAAGATAATTTATACAAATCTAATTTTCCGTATTTTACATTGGTTTATTTATTGATAAAGATAATACCTTTAGCCATTGACTGGATTGTTTCCTTGTTGACTGAAATCATTCGTTCCATAACGTTGTTGATTTTTAGGTGCAGGTCAGCCTGAATAGAAGGCATGTTGCGGGTGTGAAGCTTAAGGGTATCTTGAATTTCAGAGATGGTGTGTGTAGCTCCTGGGTTACGAGATTTTGGAATTTGAACATCGCTTGAAGGAATTAGCTCTAGAAGTGCGCTCCATAGATCATCTGGATTTGATACACTGAAGCTAGCCTGTAACAAACAGATAAACAATGAATGCATTCAATAAGTAATATTTTAATTTGTCATCATGGAATGTATAGTATCGCAGTGCAGTAAAGATAGAGAGGATACATTCAGTGGTATACTTATGTCGTGTCTAGCAATAGTGGCTTATGTCGGGCTCTTTCTGGCTCGGTACTAGTGTTCTGTTCCGCCCCACCATTCCAGAGCTAAAAGTGCACGAGCCCATAAGCCTTTTTTCTCTGCATCTTATTTCTCTGTGACAGTATGTATCTGATATCAAAATTTAATTTTACTCCTAGAACCTCTTACACACTTCTGGTGTATTCACTGTGTAATTCTTACATTGGCCCAGGGTCCAAGAACACAAGAGGTTTTAGGTTTGTTGGGGGTGCAAGGTAGAGAAAAATTCCCCCACAAAGGTAGGTTGGTGATGTGACGCAATTATCTCTTGGGCCCATAGCATATCTAGTGCAAACCGCCCATTTATAATGTGGCCTTGAAATAGAACCCGGAACAAAAAAAACCCTCACACTAAGTTTGCTGTCTATATGAAACTAAGCTTAAACAGTTCAAGGTGTTAGCTTAAGTACAATTTCCCAATGTGTGTTTTGAGTAGAGATACAGACATAATCTTTAAAAATAATCATTATATAATTTTAAGTTTAAAGTTTCACCTCCATGTTTGTCCTTGAGAAGCCAGAGTAGCGTGAGCTATGTCTGTAATATAGGTTGGAGAAGTCGCTAAATTGCATCCAAGAGATTTGCTGGATGACAAGTTTCTGTAGGTCGCTGGACATAGATGAAGTCATCATGTTGAATGGTCGATTAGCGGAAATCTTGCTTGGTCTTGCAAGAGAGACGACTAGTGCTGCTGCCTTGGTCATATGACTGTAGATGGAATCTTTAGCCCTTGCAATGTTGTGGATTGTGGAAGACACGAACTGTGACACCGCTGAGCTTGGTTCATACCAAGTAGAGATTGCAAGTCTTTGCCACATCGCAAGGCCGGGCTCTGAGTACACTAGAAGTGCCGCAGATGCAATACGAGCACTTGCTGGCATGGAGTAGTTGTGGTATAACGACATCAACAAAGGTGCTATCTCAGGTTGCCTCTTCAGAGCTTGGTATCTGAAATTCAACTTTCATTATGTGTCCATCTTGTTGATTGAACTTTATATAAATGGGGAAGAGGCATTACAAATGTGGTGTTGAAATCTCATAACTTGTTTGAAATGAAAATCGGTATCCAGGTTTTGTTATACAGAACCTGCATGCCGTGCATATACGGTAACATAAAAGAAAAATATACATGTAAAATTGAAATTCAAGAAGTTTTATAGAGTGATTTTCAGGTGATAGAATCCATCAACACCTTCTTAATCAATTGTGTGATAGCTTAGACAAAAAGTTTAAATTATAATATGGGTTTTGGGAGAAAAATAGCTATACTGTAGAAAGAGACTGTCTAAGAAACACATTGACCTAAACTTATCGAGATTCCTTTCATCTTTGTTAAGATTCCTTCATAAAATCTTACCTTGCAAGAACACTTTGTAATACATTTTAATTTTATACGAAAATACCCATTTTCCTACTAATTCAGTCTCACACTTCTACTTACTCTTTCAGTTTTTATTATTTAGGTAATTTAAGTATTTGTCTGTTAGTTTTCATGATACAAAAGTTGGACTAAGAGTTCCTCATAAATTCAAACATACCTCATAGCGAAAATTGCAGAGGTTCTGTAATAAGAGGAGTACTTGGGATTGACTGCAATACTTTTCAGAATTTCAATGACATGAGGACTTCCCACGTTGCCGAGAGCTTCGATGTAAGCTCGTCTCAGAGGAGCATCAGAGCTGATCTTGTGAGAGAGCCAGTCAATGTAACGAGCAATGTAGCTCTCATCACAGACCGGTGTCAAAATGCTGCTAAACTTGTGTTGTCTAGAGGCTTTGGCAATGCAAGCACCTCGAACAAGGTTGGAGAATGAGAGGACAGCTGTGATTGTCAACTGTTCATCATCTTTTTCAGCAATTTGTTGGACCATATCCTAAAACAGAATAACCACTATGAGGCTATTGAGGACAGTCAAGACAAACAATGTCAATTTATTACATTGTATACAGTGTGTGAGAGAGTAATTATATAACCATTCACAATGGCAAACAAATCTGTAAGAGTAGCAGTAAATCATAATATACACAATATAACCATATATTTTAAGATAATTTCATGAGCAATATAATTATTTTTTTTGTAACTGTTTTTGGTATCTGTTTGGTTGTTTATTCATTGAGTAGTAAAACATCTCAAATAACTGAAGAATTTCATATGTCTATACGTAGAATATTTACGCTGTGGTACCATTTGTACCAATAAAGGATCAATAATTAGTTTATGAGTATATTCAACGCTTAACCGTATTCACTTTGAGCTAAAACTGTTCAAATAATACAGGACAAACACTAATGTATATAGGAGGAAAGCTCAATCATTAGTTTGATAATGAACCTGTTTACTCACAAAGAAATCTTGGATGAGATATTTGTTGGGTGAGAAAATGTGGTTGGGAAGGGATGAAATCATCTGAGCTGCCTCCTCTCCCTCAACTTGTTGCCTCTCAATCCACCCCTTGATGATTTTGAAAGCTGGGTGACTTCCACACATGGTAATTACATCTCGGAAAACTTTTCTGGAACCAATAAAACACTGTTTGGGTAAAGTTATGGTCTCAACTCCCATCGACTTTGAAATAAATACATTTTTGCCTTAATGATTCCTATACATTTATTTGACTAAAACGATGAAATCAGTGAAAGTGGATTTGGTATGCATTTATGGACACAAATTAGACTTTTTTCCATTCCAAACACTTTAGCACAATCCACTGTGCATCATGCGTTTAACTAAAAAGCAATAACTTTTGTGTTTATCTCAAGCTAAAAATAAAAGTTGGATGAGTGGGTAGAATGGAGTGGTTCTATGTGTGTAGACTTGTTGCTGACTTAGAACATCAGCTGTTTGGCTGCTTCTTTAGTCGTGACTGTGCTAAATGATCAGGGACAACTGGGTCCATTTTCATATAATTGAAAAAGCTACTATTTTCCTCTGGATTGTACAAGAAACATTTTGATTACTGTAACCACTAACCTGCCCAGCTAATTTAGCACGACTAAGAAACATTGGAAATTTTAGTTCTCACCTTTCATCTTTCTTCATGGTGCTAGAGGCTCCATTGTGAACTTCAAAGACATCTTCAGAAATAGTGCTAAGCTGGTCAAACAGGAGAGATCTGCAAATATCTACAGCCATGCTGACCTTGTCCATGGTGTTCTTCTCAGGAAGGATGTTGATTTCCTTCAAGTCACTTGCAATGTCACTGACAAGTTGTTGCAGCTTGGTGTTGAGGCAAGAAAGATCATAGGAATTTCTGTGAGCCAAGGCAAACGAATTGAACGGCTGAGGAGGGGGAACTTTCTTCATGTCTTTGCTTGATATTTTCCAATGCTCCTCCAGATCCAACTCTTCGGAGTGTTGATTATTTGTCTCTTCTGAAAGTTGTTCGTCGGAGTCTTTTGTAGGCTTATTTTTCTTTGAATTTTTAAAAGGCTGTTCATTTTTCTCTTCAGAAATGAATCTACTATCATCATAAGATGATTTATAATTATAGTTTCCAAACTTGTTGAACATACGTTTCTTAACTGCGGTCTTACCGTTAGCAAATCCTTTAGAGCTTTTTTGTTGTTCATCTGAATTATCTTCTCTTTGCAGTTCATTAGAGTCTGATCTGTACTTATTCATTTTGTATTTTATGGAACGTTTGTTCCTAAATGCAGATTTGCTGTGTTCCCTGCTGTCGAAACTCTTCTCGTCATCCTCTTCTGTAGGGTTCATTTGTTTGGTAGGGTCAAAAGGCTCATGAGAATTGTCAGCTTCATCAGATTCGCTTTGACCTTTCTGGCATTTACGAGAAGAGAATTCCTAAAATCAGTATATTTGAAAAAGAAATAACAGTGAATAGGAAATCTAAAAAAACCTAAATAGACTAAACAAATTTCCTTTTGCCTGATTGAATTTGTACTAAAATAGTTCCTTAAACAAGTTGGTAAGATTTATTCCCTATTTTATATAACATTAGGCTTAATGAGTACTTGTATGCCTCTACAGGGGAGGAAATTGATTTTTGTGTGAAGTGTTAATAGCTTGAAATGGAATAAATAATTTTTGTTAAGTGTGATAAAATAATATTTCGAAATCCAAGCAAACTAATTCAATTATCCTCCAAAGGCATAACATATGGGATTTTCTGTTTGTTCTTTGTTTTAATAATTGTAAATGGTTGCAAGCTATTTGAAATTGTAACTGTCTCAGTAAAGGAGGTGCATATGCCATGATATCAAATTTATTAAAATACTAGAAATATTCATAAAGATCATCCCTTACCTTTGGTGTGGCAGAGTATGAATACAAGAGAGTCTGCATGGATTGTTTGTCTTGAGGTGCGTTAAATTTGCTTTTGAGGTCCAACACAGAGTCTAGGGTAATGTTAAGATTAGAATCAACCATGGCCAAAGTACTGTTTTTCAGATGAAGTTGAGCAGTTTTTACAGAGCTGCTCACAGAACTGAGAAGAAGCAAGTTGTTCATTTCACCACATCCAATCATTTGAGTGATTGAGGCTCTCTGAAATGAAGTAGAACAAATTTTTAAGCAATAGTGTTAAAAATCTGGATTTGAAAATTAATTTATTCACATAAAAATATAAAATCTTGCCGTAATCTGTTACTTCATATGAGTTTTCAAACTTTTCCACGCTGACATGAAATATAGATTAATGAATCAATTTCAGTTGGAATATTTAATTATTTAACACTCTTCAAAAAGTAAATTTTACATTATATTTTAATAAATACTTTGTTGTAGCTGAGTTGAACAAAGTTAATCAATTCTTAAAATCAGCATTATAGTAGAGTCTTGATTATCTGATAAACCTTCCTTGTCAATGTCAAATAATTTGCTTATTATTTGCTTAGCAAATGGGTTACATGTCCGGACTGTATATATATATATATGTTGTATATATGTTCATGTGTGTGTGTGTTTAATATTTCGACGACCTCATGAAGAGTGAAGTTTGATGTTTTTGACTAGGATCTGAAAAAGGCGACATAGTCGCCGAAATGATCGTCATCCACCCTTAGAGGAGTTATATAAGAGTCACAAGACAATAGTTAGGTAAATTAACCTCTTATTTAATAGCATGTGGTTTCTTGGTACTCGATTGTCTGTTGAGATAGCCACATAATACCGAAGGTCAGATAACTGAGACTCTACTGTAACACCTTTGGCAAAACATTATCCACCTCTGGAGCTTCTTGAGTTCTAATAATTGCAAGTCAACTTACAGTCCAAAAGCTACCACAGTTTCCACCTCCAGGTGTACAGTCACGTGTAGGGAGATGAGCGTGGTCCTCGCTCAACAGCTGGCAGTTGCTGAAGTTGCGGGACTTGGTGATCTCCCACAGTTGTTTGTCTGGACACAGATGCTGGTTGTCAGGTCCTTGTTGTTTAGGGAGAGGGTTGATCTCGTACAGCACCTCACATCTGCCTGATACACTGTCCTGTACAGATTATTCTACAGTTAGAGGGTATTTCAGCTGAGAACACTCTATGAAATCTTTACCTTAGTAATCATTTGATCAGACAACATCGTACCAAATACTAGAAGTGTATTCTAAAGCCTAAAGGCATGCTAGAGCAAAACACACTCTTAAAATTTGGATTTGGAAATTGAAATAGTATTGTAAAAGCCATAATGAAATTGATGTTACATCTAAAAGCGGTTTGGTAATGTTTTCTTTTAACAAATTTCCCATATAGGGAATAAGCTATTACCGTAGGTCTCGTAGTAATACCTGGACCCGGGACCAAATTTATTTTTTTGTTTTGAGATCCCAAGAGGCCAAAAACACCCTCTGTTCAAGATAATATATGTCCGAATTTGGTGAAATTTGGTACAAACGTGTAAACCTACATTTATTCTAACAAGTTCGGGAAGAAAGATCTAACTTTGGGAACAGGGTTTAAGGGGTAAAGATTGGTTTTTCCCATTTTTGATCCTAAAACATCAAATTTCGCAATATTTATCCAAACCATTTTGTAGAGATTACAAAAACATAATTTTGTATATTGAAACATTGTTGTATACCTAACGGTTACAGAGAAAATTTAATAAAACGCAAAATTAAAAAACCCCATCTCGTTCTTATGGAGAAGAAATAAACTGTTGTAGTTTGATTGTTTGTGGATATATTTTAGCCAAATTTGGCAATTTTGTTAATGCTGTAAATACTAAGCTATTAACATTTCAATAAAAAAAACACCTCATTACTTTCCCTATGGCAGCAAACCTAAGTAGTCATTAAAATTAATGTTTTTTTAAATGGGAAATAAATCTGAAAATTTTTTAATGGAAATTCACTTAGTCTGCAGGTTTGCTGCAGCGGGGGTATTTTTCTTTATTGCCTCCACCAGTGGAATTTGGTATGAAAATAATTCAAAAGCTGTCAACGAAAAAAGTTCAAACCCCTCCAATTTTTTTGGCTCTCCTAGAGATTGAAACAGTTCCTCTTCAGGTCCACCACACCCCCAAGTAAGAGGTTCCCAGAAGCAAGTGTATGTTGATGCCCCTACCTATCCATCTTAAAATAGAAGGTCGCTAAAATCTAAAATGCAATAGTAACGTCAAATAAGGACTTGACAACTCATTTTTCTGGGGATGTTTAGTTGTTGAATTTGAAGAGTTGATCATAAATCTCCATTCCCTTAGCACTAATCCTAATCAAGGTGTGGTAGTTAAAAAATTATTAAAAAACTGAAAAATAGTATTGGTTGGAAACTTTTGATGATATTATAGTTTGTGAAAATATTTTCTATGAAATGTCCCGGAGTTTCGTTCTACTTAGTTCCTCGACGTTCAAAGACTTGCCTCAAAGACAGAGTAGACGTCGCTGGTCTGAGTGTTGGTGAGCTGGTTCAGGTAATGACCTGGACGAGAGTTGTCCTTGAGGTACACCAGAAGGTGCGAAACTACACCCTTAATGAAGTTGACTTGCCACTCATCCAAACCTGACTGAATCACCAGTTCAGGACTCTGAGGAAGAACAGCAATTGATAAACATGTTATTAAAAATGACTTTGAATAAAGAACAATACAAATATCAAAGCATTCATTCATCATACAAAGGAGTTTCAAGTACACTAGCAAAATGGAATACTCCCCATTTTCCACTGTCATTCCACAATTCATTTGAAAATAAAAATAAAATTGCATTCTTTAGAAAATTCACAGTTTTAAATTCAGTTTTAAATGGTATGAGAATTCTTGCTATTTGGAATTACCATGGATCTTGTCATCTTAACGACAACGGTTGATGTAGTTATTGGCAGCTGTTTACTCTTGTTTTTAGTAGGATCCTCCGGTCCTTTCCACCATCCTTGAGGAAGATCTTCGTGAATTTTGGAGTAATTCATGTTGAAGAACTGGAAAAAATCATATGGTTTAAGTGTAAGGTTCAATATCAATATCTTCCTGGAACTTTTCACCTAAAACATTATAAAAGGAAACTTTAATGTAAACGGTAAAAAGCCAGTGATCAATATTAATACATTTGTGAAATTTTATAAGGACACCTTCTGTAGTGAGAAGTCTCAGGGTGTCAGTTATGTTACTGGAAATACAAGTATATTAGCATACAAGCAAAAAATAAAGAGCCTCTGGTGTTATGGACGACAAGAAGGGAATATCCTACGTTCATAATGTAAGAAATAAATATAAAACATGAAGTGTGGTTGATTAACATTCACCCTGCAGCAATGTAAGAGCAAATAAAATCTTGACAATAGATCATGATTTAGAAGAACATTTTGAACCTTAAAGACTTACCTTAAGAAGGAGGACTCTGGAAGAGTGGGTTTGGACTCGTAGCTCTCCCTGGTAGCGGAACCCTGCATACTGCAGTTTCAGCTGAGGCAGGCCCACTACATCTTGGCCTTGGATTGTAAATGAAAATTCCTTCTGGGGCTGCCATCCTTTATACATACACAGTAGCAATATTAACTATGTGATCAAATGCATGTGAGAATGGTATCAATAGATTAGTGCATTTTGCAAACCCTTAAACACTCTTCTGATTACATTTAAGTAACTTTACAAAGTTAGTTATACCTGCATCCATGGACTCTATCTGCAGAAAAATCCAAGCCAAGATCAGACAATTCTGACTCACAACCATGCAACATGAATAAATGTCTAATAGGTATGTGAAATAGACAATTTAGTATAAGCCTTCCACAGCTCTATCTCAGAAAATCCTATAGATTGGAATGCCACACAACACCAAATAATGTCATATACATTGCATTATGACTACTTCTGCTAGCTGTAAGAGATAGTTTGGATTGTAAAGCATTAAGATCATTTTAATAAGTCAGCAGCTGCTTGTTCGGTCCCCTGACTAGTCTCAACAGTCAGAATGTAAAGAGGGCACTAGATTTCTGAACCATTCGTTTATTAGGTGATTGACAGCTGCTAAGCTAATATCACAGAAATTCTCTGGTCCAATTGGAATGGTATGCGGCATGCGGTATTCACACATAACCAACTCCTCTGCACACTCATAGCCACCTATGCCTACATGGCCCAGTACCCAACCAGGCTGTACAGAGTTGTGTGTTGCAAGCTTGCAGATAGCAGTATAGCACTCCCAAATTGGTTTTGAAGTAACTTCACTTGAGTGCTTTGAGAGCTGTCTGACAGTCAGACAAAATTACATTGTCTTCTGGCTGGCTTCTGGCTACACCTAAATTGGCGAAACCAAGATGTCCCCAATTTCTGACTGCAAGATGGTACAGAATTGTCCCAAACTGCCAAAGTGTTCTGTTATGGACAATCCACTGTTTAATCTAAATCCTGAGTGCCCATCGATGAGAGAGCTGTCTGTGTACCAGACGAAGCTCTCTGTTTCTGACTGGGACAGTTTCTGACGTTTCCACTAATCACTAATCGCTAGAATTCAACTGAAAAAGTTTTTGGTAAAGACTACTTCTGTTCATGACATCGAGGTCGTATCAAGCATGGGATACGCAGCCACAGCTTTGGTATGGGTGCAGTGACCTATTCCTGTCAGGGCTTCCTTCCAAAATTAAGCTTCAGATAGGCTGTCCTGCGGGCTTAAGATTGGATGTGGATGACTAGATGTAGGAACCCAAGAGCAACTTGTAGAGTTACTGAAAGGCTTTTCTTATAGGCACCAGTTGAAATACATGTGCAAACCTTTAGGGTGGTTTACAATTTGGCTATGATAGGTACCTGACTCATATTTATCCACCAGACTAGCGAACCGTAGGTAAAGTGAGGCTTTTCCACAAACTCATATAGCCAAGTACTATATGGTGTAGTATTCCTCAAATGGTTCCTGCAACCCACCTTGGCCACTTGCAGGAGGGAGGGCAAGGATGTCATTGCCCCCCACCATAGAAAACGTAGAATAACAAAAATTCTGAAGGTTTTGACTTTTGGACTGCTCAAATTGTCCAAAATAAATTGGTGTGGTTTGTAAATTGTGTAATCATAAATAAGGTATGTACAATACACTAACAAACCAAAAATGTGGAGGGGTTTTTCTTTACTTCAGGACAATATACCGGTTTACTGAGTAGGGACATAAGGGCATTCAGTCAATCATGAAGCATAGCTGGATTACTGCTATCTTCTCCTGGAGATGTGAATGAACCAAACTTGCTGATTTCCCAATTGCATTGAGAGTTATGATCTCCAGGCTGTTTTTCAGATTTTGAGATCAGTTCTCATCTAGGCTGCAGTCCAACGCCCCAGTGTTGAGTGTTATCCCTCTCATGGCTGCAGACAGAGAAGTGAGTATCAAGGAGAAGTTCTCCTCGTAACTTCAGAGATCCCAAGCGGCCTTCAGAGATATCAAGGAGGCTGCTGTGTAAACTCTCAGCAGCCCCCCTAATACATGACTTTTCAGATATCAGGAAGCTGTTATCTACTAACTACAGAGCCAACATCGTGTTACATTGGCCTAAATAGATATAGATTGAGCAATCATGGCCACATAAAATGTGTATGAAACAGGTTAAAAAGATAAATGATAGATCCCAACCACACAATGGAGCCAAAATTATAAACACAGTCTTTGTTTGGATTTCAATCCTTGCCACCAAACCGCAATGTATCTCAACCCAGAATATGGGAATTTTCTTATCAATAGCATCTTGGTTGAAAATTAACATGATAGAAAAAATCATTGACGCCAGACTGCAATCGCTCCGTCTTGGACTCGGGTGTTCTATTTATTCCAAAGTATCACAATTATTGAGAGTTTCAATAATTTCAACTGACAACTACTAAAATATCTGGGGTAGCTGAATTTTATCCCCCTGGAATTTTACCCCTTGAGCAAAAACTGACGTCACAGCCTAGGAGGTAAAATTCCGCCTGCGAAATGTTAAGTTGCGCAACATGTGATCAATAAATTAAAGGTGGAATTAAACACATCTTTTCACGGTTGTGAATTTAATCATAACAAATTAAATTATAAAACCTACAGTGAACGGGCCAGAATTTTAACCCTGGACTTTTAAATTAAATTTTAAAATAAAGTACTGTATCAAAATAATTCAAAACATGTAAAAACATAAGTTTTCTTACTGTTTCTGTGAAAAATATTACTAAAACAATTGTCATACCCTTAACACTTTGATAATTCGGGGACAAAGCCTAGGTTGATACAGCAAAGGTGATAGAATCTTACTTCACTCCATAATAAATTACACAATCTAGCTAAAACAAATAAATCCAAACTAGTACATGGTTGTTGGGCTAAAAGTAAAATTTGATTTGATTGGACCAGCTGTCTGAAATTATTGTGAAATAAGCATGCTCAATAGTTCTGCATGAAATGTCTTATCCTACTAATATTATAAATGAGAAATTTTGGATGTATGGATGTATGGATGGATGTATGTTTGTGACAAGTGAACGCATTAACCACTGGACGGATTTTGCTAAAATTTGGCATGATGATAGCTCACATTCCCGATTAACATATAGGCATATTTTTATCTCAAAAATCCTTTCGGGCTCCGCCCCAGTGGCTCTATAGTTCCCCATGTTAACCTTATGAGTATTCATATTAAAAGGAAATTAAATAATTTAGTCAGCTGTTTCAACTAAAAAGTTGGTTCTATGATATGCAAAAGCATTAAAAACTTACAAGGATTACCAACAGGGTGTAGCACTATATTTTTTTTATTTTTATTTATGACAACAGCTAATTTGCAACCAAAAGGTGAGTGAGCGTAGCGAACAAACTTCATCCTGGAGGCGAAGTAGCGTAGCGAACGAGCTAACCTGAAGGCAAGTGAGCGTAGCGAACGAGCTCCAACCTAAAGGTGAGTGAGCGTAGCGAACGAACTTCATCCAGGACGTGATTGAGCCATGCGAACGAGCTCACTTATGAAGTAAAACGGGGCAAAGCCCGCGGGTACAGCTAGTTTTAATATAAATTTATTTACAAATTCTTATTATTTACAAAATAAATTATGTCCATCAATTTTTATAGTCTATCTGGCCAGGGGGTAAGATTCCGGGAGTAAAAATCCGGGGTAAAATGATACGGACAGGGGGTAAAATTCCGGCTTTTATTGCTAATCTAATTTATCACGCTCTGTCTATTGTCATTAGACTCCCAAAAACTTGAGAGCGCTCAGATGACTACGTTTGTGACGTCAGCTCTGCTCAGAGGGTAAAATTCCGGCGACCCAAACGTTGGATAGCCTACTATCATGCAATTTTTGAGATTTTGAGCATTGAATAAACCATTTGAGCATTGATGGACGACAAAAGCTCTCAAAATATAGTTAGGTGTTGTGCGTAGTTATGCACTAGTGTTAGCCCACATAAGGCATTTTACCTAAATGACGAGCCTAAATCGAAAATTTATATTTGGAGTAAAATGAATATACATCAGCATGTAAGTATAGGGAGCAACTTGGAATATATAGTCCAATCTACAGGTTCCTGTCTAATTTCGATTGGATGATTTCAAATCGTTGCTGAATGGTAGGCCGATCACCATTCAACTGATAATAATGCAGCTTTGATCTTGCAAAAAATAAGAGCAATCCTAAAGCAAATAAATAAATAATCCTGATGCACCTAAATTCAAAATTTGGAAGACGATCCTAAAGCCTTTTTAGCTCAAGGAAAAACTTCATCAGAGAGAAAAATTAATTTCAAACCTGTAAACTCCAGCTATGTGGTTCAGTCCTTCATTTATGAGTTCAACTCGTAAAAGCACATCAAGCCTGACTCGAAATTATTCCACTTCAGTAGAGGAACGCTACTCATAACAAAATACTGGCTATTATACCCGCGTTATATTACTTCAGTAGTATGTTTTCTGTGCTTCTAGCTATATAGAACGACAAGTGGAGTTGATGTTCGCACGAAAATACTGCTGTAATAATAGTGGCACTCTACCCGATCCACCGTTTCAATGACTTTACATTTACACTCTTTCACTCTTACCACTGATTAGTTCTAATGTAAGAAACTTTAAGTTAAAATTATGACATCGACATTCCCATCCTCTAAACATTATCTTCCTTTCAATAGAGGAATCACAAAAATCACTTAGTAGCAAATTATATCTTGGTAACTGGGGACTACCACTTTCGTACTTTGTGCCGACCAGTCTAATCGCCCTTAAGATCGGGCCGGGGCGGGGAGTTACACTTTTATGTTTCAAAATGATTTCTCAGTTACTGTGGAGTGTGGACTACAGCTCAGTTGCTGTTTTGAAGGTTATTGAAGGCTATGGAGTTTTAGAGCGTACATCTCTAGATTGTTATTAATTTTTAAAGTATAGTTTGCATTCAATCGATTAAATAGGATAGCGTGTTTGAAGTTTATAGTAAAAGGGGGGCTGTTAATATCGGAAAAGGACACCAATCGGTGTTTTTAATGACAAGGAACGGTGGTGCTGCTACAAGAACGGCTGTAGAGCGTCAGTGTTAATTTAGACGAAGTATCTATTTTCTAGACAAGGGTGTCAGCACAACCACCAACCTAGAGGTAAGAAAATTCTATATTGAGTAATATTTTAATTTTTGATTAAGTGCATCATTACTGCATAGTTTTTACAACTCGTCCCCATCCAGCCAGCAAGCATGAAGATAAAAACTTCTGCAATTTATTTAACAGAGACGTATTTGGATATGGGAACAGCTCTATTCCCTCCTCACATCTGAGCTGTGCGGAAAGTGGACTTGTGGCGAACCACCAATGCGTGCGAGAGTTTCCACTTTCGGTATGTTAACAAAGAAAATTCACAGCTGCACCCTAATTTTTTTTTATTTTTGAAACATTTAAAATTGATGCATGCAGACAGACGCGTATGTGCGGCTAAACACATCGGAGGTCCCAAAGAGCACGAGGAAGACTATTGGAAATAGGGTCTCCCTTAAAAAAACAACCAATTAAAAGAGCACAAAGAATTAAAGAACAAAAAGATTTCTCAGCATAGTTTATGTAAAGTACATAGGATACAAACATTCACCACTGTAGGGGTATTAAATATATGATGACGAGTTGGCTGTTATTTATTTGTTTGTAGTATGTTGTTATAATATAGTCTATTGAAAACTACAGTATTATATGTTGGTAGATTACTACTATATAGTTTTTAATCATCACAATAAGCATAACTTGGTATTGAAACCATTATTTCCTTCGCCTAAATATGCAGTATGATATTCGTTTTTATCACAAGGAAATCGGACACAAACAAAGTTGTAATAATTGAAGTGAAATAGGCCTACACACTCATTTCTGTCGTTATACTCCTTCTATCTATAGGATTAGCTGATAGCTGATAGCTACGAACGTACATACACAATTATTTTGTTTGAATTGAAATAAATTTGGATGCACTTTCAGAGATATGAAAACAGTAGAGCCAATAATTTACAACGTTACTAAGACTAAGCGTTTTTATATAATCCTAACCCAATAGTAAAAGTTGACTGAATATTTCTTAAATGAGTTTGACCATGCTGATACTGGTTATACCCTAAATTAGAATACAAGATTAAGATGTACATTGAACTGTATGCATAAACGATTAAAACAAAGCGAATCTATATCAACTAGAGTCAGCTAAACGTTATCATACACGTGTAAAGTATAAAGTTGCAAATAACCAACAAAATGTTATTATGTAAGGAGGTTAACATTTTAGTTGTAAGAATATTTTAATTCAAATATTCCAATAAAATCTTCACAGATTTTCTCGGTGTTTTGATGGTTTTTTTAAATACTAGACTAGACCATCGTTTTAGTTTATTTCACTTACCGTAGTCAGCAGCAAGGCAGCCACATAATACCACTGTAACAATATCAACATATTTTAGTATATCAACAAAGAATCAACAATGTAAAATTATGTCCAAATACATTTTTGTAAGCAAGTTCATTAGGCTTTGATAATTCGAATACATATCGAATTCAAAACAAATAATAACAGTTTAAATTTGTAACAATTTTTACTTTATCATGAAAATGTAGAGTTCCCTGTCCTCCTTCATTTCCAATAGATTTTGACATTTCAACAAAAATAGTTTCCATGTACCTATTCATGTTATAGCTTGTCCATAGCGCATCTGTTTTATTATTGTGCAATTTGTCTGTTTTGTCATTGCACGAATGAATAAGTTTAAGATCACAATAACTGATCAAGATGTAAGATTATTTACAAATCAAGCTTATTAACTTAAATAAAACATGAAATGTAAGTAAAATGATTTAAGTTGCTAAAACCCTTTGTAAAGTAGCCACTGCACTGTTGTTGCTTATATTTTCCACTTAACAGAAATAGCTATTTGTGTAGAGCGCAAAGTTCGTCATTTCCGCTCGAGAACTGTAGATGGCCATACACTTCGAGAGCGGCAATGTGCTCGTAATACCATAGATTAAAAGAAGTAGTGTCTATACTCCTTTTATCTATGGTAATACACACAAGAGTTTTTTCTATCACCATGATTAACTTATCATAACACTTAACTTTTTAGTTGTATACAAAATGCCATTTAGGTTATGTTATTTGCTTATCGAATTTTAGTGCTTAAGAAATTCCAACAATAAAATCAGCTTATGTAGTGATTTAGCGAGCGGGAATAGTAATTCCTGCTCTTGAGCGGAAATTAGCTGTTTTGCGTACTGTTTACAGATGTGGAAATGTGATCATTTCCATGCAGTGGTAGTAATACTATATTACGTCATTTACTTGTGCCTTAGATTAAAGGATTTAATCTGTGCTTCTACTGTACATCTATTGATTGGCCATTTAAGCTAAATACACGTTATAGTACAGTAAATAGAGACAAAAATAGGGGGGTTAACTTAGAAACGGTCCGGTAAGTATAAACTTTTTATATGCAGTCTAGGATGGTAAGTAGGTGTTTAAAATGAAAAATGCACAAATCTCTTAAAAAATATACCACATGCATATTTTATTCAAACATTTTTTAGATATTGACTTGGGACGACCACCGAGGTATTGGGTGGTTAGTACTTCATTTATAGAGGGAACTCATTTTTGGCCGCCATCTTGGATCCACCATATTGGACATAAATAAAAAAAATTTAATGATAACGTTGTGACACATCATTATAAGCTAAATTTTCACGCTGATTTCAATGCCGAAATCTGTTTCTAAATATCTGTTTACGTTTTGAAGATATATTCAAACGAAAACTCTCCCCCATACATTTCTTATGGACGTTTCGTACTTTGAAGATTTTTAAAGATCAGTTTTCTTATATCTCCAGTTCTTTTCAACGCTTGCAGTTCAGTCTAGCCTTTAAATATTCTGTGATGTAAGGGCTTTCATTTGACCTATTGATAATTCAAATCGAACGAGTTAGCAACGAGATACGATCCCCAAAACAATATTAAATTTAACTTATTTAAAATATGTTTTTAATAAAAGATTTATATCTCGCGTTGTTAATACGTCACCAAGTTTAAAACACCTACTTACCATCCTGGACAACATATAAAAAATTTAGACTTACTGGACCGTTTGTAAGAACATACCTCTATTCACTGGACTATTATTTGTAATATCACCAAGAGGCGAAATAAGTTGATAGATTTTGTAAGATTAAAATTGAATAGATCGTTAATCTATAAATTTGGGTTTTAATTGTTATTTTTTATGTATTTCATCCACATCCTAGGACGGTAGCCCCTTATGGATCTGGACCGTTTTAAACATGACTGTACTTCAGGCTTTTTTGTCCTGACACTAGGCACGAGTCTGGGATTTTTTTCCACATTACTTCAGGCTAAACCTAGGGGTTGTGGCATTATCACTTAGATAAAATCCATTGATTTGGTGGAATTTGAACCCGGGGCCCCAGGGACCGAAGTCCCACACTCTAACCACTAGACCAGCTCGCTCCCTAGATCTAGGCCTAGAGTCAACTGAGATAATGCCATAAGTGATATACGGGATGTGAACCCGTAACTTTGGGGCTGAAACCCTGCGCTCTACCATTGACTATACACAGAATAGACCATGTGATATGAAAGTTTGAAGCCAAGAAAATAGATGAAGTTCAGGACCATCTCACCAGAGTTTACTAGTGTATTGGGTTGAATATTAATTAAAATCAATGCAAGTATGATAGCATTGACTTTATGATATTAGCCTGATTGATTGATTTATCACTTAACACAGAATATCGTCATTAATTGGTGATCATCTCAATAGATTGCACCAGGTTTTTTGTCTTCAAAGTTTTACATTACATGGGAAATCTATTCTGTGTATGGTCAATGGCTCTACACTTGACCAGCTCACCCTCTTAAGACTATTCTTATAAGCAGTATATTTTTGATTGCAGTATTGCAGTATCATAGTTATATTTCAAATCAAACCAATTATTATTTTAAAAATTGCCTCATCACAGAAAAAACCAAAATGGTTTGTTTTCTTTAACCCATCGTTAGTCAATTAGTCACGAGTAGATATTTGTTCTCACATAATTCAATTTGTTTAGAGTTTGTTTTTATTCGTATCGATACTTGCAATCATCAAAACTACTTGTGATATTGTGATCAAAACTTAAAACACTTGTATTTAAAATGTTGGTTAGAAGTCAAAACAAGCCTATACTTTATCAATCTACAAATTGGTTTGATGAAAAAAAATGTAAGTATCACGTTTATGAGTAAATGACATCCTGAAACTTTTATATTTTTATAGTTCCTCATTATGCACATAGTAATATAAAAATAAAATAATGCATCACAAATAAAATAAAATAATCCAAACATTTACTGTAAACTGGCCTTACACTGGCGAAAAATACAAAATTCACATTCGTTCGGGTTCGATACTGGTTTCCAATAACTCACTTATTTATAATTACTGTACAATTTTTACAAACTTTGGTGATTGATAATTAATAAAAATATGTTGAATGTTTCCTTCCGTCTAGGAACTGAACTTAACTCGATATTAGTATTTAGGGAATGAATCCAATATTATAATCCTCTCTATTTTAAGATATTATGATGAAATTTCGGACGTCGTGCTGTGTTGTAATCAGTTATCAATTTTTACGTTATTATTTTATTATTATTATTTACGTTATTATTTTACGTGTAAGTAATTTATAACTTTCCCACATGATAAGGCAACACCATGGTAAATGTAATCAAACCCATCGCCATACAATCCCTCCAACTGCAGTTATGTCCATAAAAGAACTGCCTCCGTCAGCTAACAGCGGTCCGATACATGTTTTGACCATCAAGGGTCCGTCAGACTACATTTCTTCAGCACAACTCAGTTTTAGTCAAATTTCCACATGTGGTGTCAATATCAATACCATCACCAAGTGCTATAATTACGTGTTTCAGCTGGTGACGTCATCATATAGTCTCAATGCAACACACAAAATCTAAGTTCATAACAAATTTACAATTTTAAAAATAGTAGCAATGTTTCTGCTAAGCACGTTATTCGTAACCTAAATATATTACATTTGTTTATTGTACTGAGGCCATTGACTTAGATATGCCTACTGAAGTAGACGTCGTATTTGTATGGACTAATTGTAGTTATTTAGCTGTAATTCTTTATTCAAATAGGGCTTAGTTGAATAAGCCATTCAGACACTGCGCTGTTGTTCAAATTAGATTTATCCTTAGTTTTATGTAGTAGAACCTCGATAACAAGACTCTCATGGGGATTATTAAATAAGACTTGTTATCAAGGTTGACTTCTTATTGAGGTTTGCAGTAACATGGTAATTTAAATGTAAAATAATTTCAAGGGGATTTGGAAATTGCACTTGTTATCAAGGGTGGCTTGTTATCGAGGGTCTTCTTATCGAGGTTCTACTGATAATTGATAAGACAAAATATGCCATAGTTTATATCACAATTAGTTTAGTTATCCTATTAATTTGGCTTGGCTAAAAAGTGTACGTATTCGAGATGAATCAGTAATTGACACCATCCCACTCTGTTGATTCCACTACAGTTAGTAAATTTAAATTTAAAATAAAGTCTACAGCTTTAACAAGGGCACTATCTGAGAGCGGGGAAAGATGGCAGTAGACCCTGAAGCACGGGAGTTGGGAGGTAAAAATTAGGACATTTTCTGTAACAAAAATGAAAGTAGCACTTAACATTTTGCTTAACTAGTTGTGTATAACGTCTTAAAAAACCATGAAAACTTAGTTTTTGGACGCCCATAATTTTGCACATTCCAAAACCACCCCGTAAGCTACCCTTCGAACAAATTTCTCCAAAGCCCTTGAATGGAAAGTCTATTTGCATCAACTATGTTTCAAATATGTAACCTATCTAAAGACCACCAGCTGAAGAATTACAGTAGCATCTGCCGATGAAGGTTTGACATCGCAACTTGTTACGAACTTATTTCAAATTAAGCCGTTTTGACAATTATCGCAATCTTACACCATTCCATTAGCTAGGGCTATAAAACATCTAATTGTAATAATCTGATGTAAATAAAAAAACAACTAACCCACAATTGAGAGATGGGTATATTTGTTTCTATGTCATATGGAAGTATTGAAATTATAATACGCCTGCTAAGGCCGATTGGAATTGTACTTGTTTAATGCAATTTTTAATAGGTAAATAAAAAGTCTTACCCGCTAGGATTGTAATAGTAGAGAACGGCGTCGGCGACGCCATGGCTGTACGTCTGCTGCCGCTGCTGATCTGACCAAAGGGACACGGGCGCTGATATCTCTGCTGACTGGATGCTGAGCAAGGGTCCAAAGTTGGTCCTTATCTTGTGCATGCTCGCTGCTTTGCGTCCGTCATATTATCTCACCGAAAGTTGCTTCTGAAACGCAAACACTGAAGTTTAGCAGACCAGAGAATGCATTAAGTGATGGGAACAGTTTGTACTGTATTGCATTTTTAGATTCTATATACAATTACAATAATTTTTTTGTTGTTTTGGATTTCGTTCAAAGCTTGATGTTCAGACAATTATTGACGAATTATTGACTTTTGATATAAAAACACATTCAGGTACTGTATAAAGATATTCAGTACAATGATGACTGTGGGACAGTTATTTATTATTATTATTACGTGTTTTATACTATAATCTCAAATTTATTTGATAAAATCCTTTATTAACTAGTGTACGGTATTTATTTTTCATGCTTCATTTGACAGATAAAGTAGTATTATTTGTCAAGTTTTCTATATAGCCAATTAATTATTTTATCTAATTACAAAGTGCGCTCCCGCTGTGGAAACGATTCTAAGGGTATTGTTACTGTATTAGTTGATACGACAAACCTGATGCTATAGTTTACATACAGTTTCCTTTTGGATCAATCTCGCAAGAAGTTAGTGTAGTCGAAATAAATCTGAAATTTACATCATCACACTCTCTGTCGGTAACTATACTTAACTATTTCTAAACGACAAGGTACTTTAGGTGAAGTCAATACTTCAGTATGATAAATATTTTTGGACATCACTCACCTTATTGAAATCAGGAGAACACAGTCCTTGTCATATCACATAAACACAGTTCATTGCACATACACATTGATAAAAAATACAAAAATAAAAATAAAACTGAATATAAAATCACAGACTTAAGTTCATATACTTAACTAGAACATTTTTTTCTTAAATTGGCTTCACTTTACATTGGAATGTAATATTGTTCTATCCATTGTTCCAAACAATCTTTATAGATAATAATATATAAATCAAGTAGTACATACTATAACTTAGAGTAAATATAAGCATTTATGTGATCCAAAATACTGATGCATTATGGCAACCAGTTTAGCCTCACATACGAGTCATCCTCAGACCATCGATATAATATCGATGTCTCAGACCAGTACTAAGGATGGTGAGTCTTATATGAGTCAACGTTTTTGCATTACTAAATATTAGGCCTGCAAACCACATAAATGGAGGTGTTTACACCAACGGATATAATTAAAAGTAAACGGAAGGTTAAAATTGAAAAAATCAAGTGTCAATAAAATTAAAGTTATAAAATCGAGTAGTGTATCAGTCTTTACACGATGAATTCACAGTCAACTGGATCTTTGGCGTTGTCCGCTGAAAACGCTAACAACCCCACCACGGTGCTATCTGATCAGAACATCTACATCCAGTCATACGCAAGATAATAGACAAGGATCTCAGTGACGTGTCAATGAGGAGGCGTGAGGTAACGTCACGATATCTCATGTCTATCACAGCAACCGGTACACCAGAGTGTCTAATATAGAGTACACGACACGACAAAAACACACAACTACGGCATGACAAGGAGGCATATCACAGCAACCGGTACACCAGAGTGTCTAATGTGGAGTACACGACACGACAAAAACACACAACTACGGCATGACAAGGAGGCATATCACAGCAACCGGTACACCAGAGTGTCTAATATAGAGTACACGACACGACAAAAACACACAACTACGGCATGACAAGGAGGCATATCACAGCAACCGGTACACCAGAGTGTCTAATATAGAGTACACGACACGACAAAAACACACAACTACGGCATGACAAGGAGGCATATCACAGCAACCGGTACACCAGAGTGTCTAATATAGAGTACACGACACGACAAAAACACACAACTACGGCATGACAAGGAGGCATATCACAGCAACCGGTACACCAGAGTGTCTAATATAGAGTACACGACACAACAAAAACACACAACTACGGCATGACAAGGAGGCATATCACAGCAACCGGTACACCAGAGTGTCTAATATAGAGTACACGACACGACAAAAACACACAACTACGTCATGACAAGGAGGCATATCACAGCAACCGGTACACCAGAGTGTCTAATGTAGAGTACACGACACGACAAAAACACACAACTACGGCATGACAAGGAGGCATATCACAGCAACCGGTACACCAGAGTGTCTAATATAGAGTACACGACACGACAAAAACACACAACTACGGCATGACAAGGAGGCATATCACAGCAACCGGTACACCAGAGTGTCTAATATAGAGTACACGACACAACAAAAACACACAACTACGGCATGACAAGGAGGCATATCACAGCAACCGGTACACCAGAGTGTCTAATATAGAGTACACGACACGACAAAAACACACAACTACGGCATGACAAGGAGGCATATCACAGCAACCGGTACACCAGAGTGTCTAATGTAGAGTACACGACACGACAAAAACACACAACTACGGCATGACAAGGAGGCATATCACAGCAACCGGTACACCAGAGTGTCTAATATAGAGTACACGACACGACAAAAACACACAACTACGGCATGACAAGGAGGCATATCACAGCAACCGGTACACCAGAGTGTCTAATATAGAGTACACGACACAACAAAAACACACAACTACGGCATGACAAGGAGGCATATCACAGCAACCGGTACACCAGAGTGTCTAATATAGAGTACACGACACGAGAAAAACACACAACTACGGCATGACAAGGAGGCATATCACAGCAACCGGTACACCAGAGTGTCTAATATAGAGTACACGACACGACAAAAACACACAACTACGGCATGACAAGGAGGCATATCACAGCAACCGGTACACCAGAGTGTCTAATATAGAGTACACGACACGACAAAAACACACAACTACGGCATGACAAGGAGGCATATCACAGCAACCGGTACACCAGAGTGTCTAAAATACAGTACACGACACGACAAAAACACACAACTACGGCATGACAAGGAGGCATATCACAGCAACCGGTACACCAGAGTGTCTAATATTCAGTACACGACAAGACAAAAACACACAACTACGTCATGACAAGGAGGCATATCACAGCAACCGGTACACCAGAGTGTTTAATGTAGAGTACACGACACGACAAAAACACACAACTACGGCATGACAAGGAGGCATATCACAGCAACCGGTACACCAGAGTGTCTAATATAGAGTACACGACACAACAAAAACACACAACTACGGCATGACAAGGAGGCATATCACAGCAACTGGCACACCAGATTTTCTTCCTCACACGTTGTGCCCATTGCGGGAGTTTGGAAGGCCGGACGACGTCCCACATTTCAGTCTTGTGTAGTTGGATGCGGCAGTTATATCACTGAAGAACAAGAAGGCTCCTAGCCCTTCTATAGGGTATTGGGATACTCTATTGTAGTATTGGGATACTCATCGTGGTTTCCAAGAAGGTTAATTAATCCTTTTGAACACTAATAATGTCTGCCTCCCAATGGGGTGTTCCGGTACCTAAAAGTCGCCAGGCTTGTGCTTATTGGGAAGGGAAGAGAGACACAGACCTGCCAACCTCTTACAGACCGCTCTGCATGTTGGTCACCACGATGGGATTGTTCTCAAGAAGCTGATCCGTTCCCAAATGAGTTCAGCCGTGGTCGCTGGCTGCGGAGGACCTGTCCCTTCGTCAGTACGACTGCAGGAAGGGGTAGTCAAAAGTCGACGCTATTGAGGAGGTGAAGCGAGCCGTGATGAATGTTAAGGGTTTTAACTACTACTCTTGTCGGATTTTGAAACACTATGTGCGAAACGCATTTCATTCCGCGAGGTAGTGCAACATGCCAGACGCTCCGGGAGAACACATGTCCCGAAACGGTATACCTCATGCGCATCACAGAGCGGTTCTTAATTTATTGCTACGCAACCCGTGGGTGATGAGTGCCACTTCTGGTGCCCCTCAAGAATCCATATTTGACCCGGAGGTCTGAGATGTCTGATAAACCGTTTTAGTAGGGTACGCAGATAACGTTGCGGCTTTGATAGCTGCACGTGGCGTTTGCTGGCCCTGTGGCCCATCTGAACTGAGTGATGCGTACCATCAACGCACGCAGGATGATTTGGGCCGATCACGGCCTCTCGCTTGCTCTGAGCAAACCCGAAATCATGATTCTGACCAAAAAGTGAACTGACATCATCGTTTGGCCAATGTCGGAGTTCCTCGGTCCAGTCACAAAAGGCTGTTGATGCCTGCGGTCCAGTCCGTACCCCTGTACGGTTTGTATATTCACGTATACATTTGAAAGGCATTTTTTTATTAAATTAATGGAATGACCCTAGTTTATTCTGACTAGGTGACAACAGATGATATACTAAGAATTGTGTGTTATTTGATAGATTTTTTATCATATAACAACTATTGTATGTTATCTGCGCTGTACGTAGATTACCGTTGTTGCAACTGTTTGTATTTGGTTGGTACATGCGGTTCTCATTTGTCTGTGGTACAAGATGGAGAAGCTTCAAAATGCATTTTTAAGAAGGCCTAATCAGTCTGATAGATGTCTTTAATGGTTCCACACATATACAGAAATGTTTATAGTTTAATCTGACAAACGTAAATTCCGTGTTAAATTCATTCTCTACGTGGAATGTTATGGCGCAACGATGTACTTGTCAAGTTTTCAAACCATCAGACATTATTAAGTGTTCCTAATTTGTTTTACAAGGAACGTCGGCAAAGTTTACCGGATCAACATCAACCAGAGACGCGTGCGCGGTTTCGATCCAACCCTACAAAGCCGTGGCGTCCTGCGCGGCTCCTAATGTTTACTGATCGGCCCTTTAAAAATTGTTTCCCCGCTATCATCACCCTTTCATGCTTGGCTTTCAACCGTTTGAATGAAAACTATAATTCACGAATGCCAATGCGTACCCAAGGTACCTTACAATTTTACTTCGTCTATAAAAAGTATCTTAAAAAGGTGTCCTAGTGTATAATTATATGTAGGTTATATG